GTTAAAAACTCTCAGAATTTTTTTTTTTTTGTCTTCTTACTTTTTTGAAAGTTTTGTGCCTTGATTTTGGACTAACCTTAGAGTGAGGAGAAATAAGAGTTGAACAGTGACCAAATATCTGTTACAGTGAATGAAATTTGAATCACCACATCTTTATTTTTTACTATGGTAAAGGCTTTGAGAATAAGTTTTTTTTTCTCTAAAATTCTCCCATTATTTTTGTAAATCAAAGTAGCCAATGTAGACTTAAGGCATGACAGATACAGTCTAAAAGCTTTTCTAATTCTTTAGCAAGCCATTAGCTAGAAAAGAATATTAAAAATTCATCAGTGTTCAACCCACTGTTTTCTGGCAATTTACCCTAGGGGTTCCTGAATATACTGGGAGGATTCATGTATCAAACAACGAGGAATTGATTTAGACAAAATTGCTTTGCTTTTTGATCCCACAATATCTGGAAATAATAGCCAATAAAGTCACCTTAGAATCAGCTAGGATTTACTAACAGATAAAATGAACTGACAAGAAAGAAGCCCAGAAGTCCTTGAGGAAGACTTACAATTCAAGATGTGGCATCTTTGAATATGGTGATTATACTTTAAAGGAGGAATTACTATCATGCTCATTTAAAATTCTTTTGGCTATCATTAATTCTTCAGTGAAGGATTTACATTTATTGTGATTAAATTACTTTTTAAAAAAGATTCACACTTTTCTGTATTAATGTAAATGGAAAATGTAATGTTCTAGGAAACTTTATCAAGGGGAAACCCAAATTCCCAAATCTAAATGTTTATTATAATTTCTCATAATACAATACACACAGTAACTAGCAGCTATAGATTGCTTCTGGTAGCTATCATGGGATTTGTCGGGGTATCTATTGTGTACAGTATTGAACAATTAAGTTCAAGAAAATTAAATGTCTTAGTACTATTTTTGATGTGATGGAGTACATTAGTTATAATACTATGTCATGGAGGGAAAATGTTTTTTCTTCATCTGTGTGGAATACAATGCTACTACTGTTGCTCTTTGAAAGAATAAAGATCAGTCAGTGTATTTTTAGGAACTGGCACTCTGCTTGACTTATGCATAGACCAGTGGTTGTATTTTTCAGTCAAAGGTTGACATTTTTGTCTTTTTAGGGAAGTAAAACAACATGTGGTCTCTTATATGAATCAATTTTATGAGCCTAGTTTACAAACTAATTTAATTATCTAGTAGATTTTATTTGCCTTTTAGTAACCACCAGTAAACCAAACTGTTTAAACTTGAAGCTCCTAAAATTTCCTTATACAAAGTGCCAAATTTAATCAACATATACATGGTATCAAGTTGTTGTTTTTAGTGCTGAGGATATATCAGATATATTTGCTTCTACATAGTAAACATATATAAAACATAAAATATGCTTCTGTAATATATATGTAATATTCATTGTATTGCCCTCTTAAAAGTATAAATTGAAGAGATACTAGAAATAGGGCTAAATATTAGTGAAGAATTTAAAACCATTGGGACCCTCTGTATTATCAATATTTTTACCTTTTCACATTAAAAGACAGAGCTATTTTGGCATGTATGGCATGCTTGTGTTTATTAAAGTAGGACGACATACTTCAAGCTAAGTTTTATTTAGAAGCCCACTAGTAAATAAGATAATTTCTTGGCTACTCTCTGTACTGACAGGGCTATTGGGATCTAGGTACAGGTCTACTCATTAGGTTCCTGTAAGTTTGAATCAGAAGAATTTAATGGAAAGAGATCTGGTCTAGACAGGAGGAGGCCCAGGTTCAGTATTTAACAGTATTACTAGTTAGCAATAGGATTATTAGTATCTCTTTTTTGTCCCCTCTGCTAAGTAGATGGACTGAATTAGATGCCTTTTAAAGTGCCTTTTAATTCTAAAAGTCTGTGGTTTACAAAAATCTGGAGATAACTTTATATAATTCTGGGGTCTTGGATAGGAATGTAACCCACAATTTTAGCTACATTTTTCAGGACATGTTAGTGAAGCCGGAGCTTCTACTTTCCCCCTCCCTCTCCCTCTCTCTCCTTTTTCTCCCTCTCCCTCCCTACCTCTCTCCTTCTCTCTCTCCCTCTCTCTCTCTCTCTCTCTTTCTCCACACACACATACATATATATGCACTATGTATGTTCATTTGAAAAAAATACTTTCTATGTATGAGATCTTTCTTGGCTAACTTTTATAAGTTTTCAGTAAGATGTTGGGAGAATAGGTAGAATTATCTAGCAGTGATAGTTCAAGATGTGGAATTAAATGAGATTACTTGGGTAAGAATAGAGGAGCAGACAGACCAAGAGTCCACATTTGAGGGGTAAGGAAAGAAAGTACAAGTAAATAGGAAAGGAGCAAAGAGTCAGAGAATCAGAATTTTGTCACTAATATTCTTTAGAAAAGAACTTGACTAAGATCCACGTAGGAATAGAATTCATTGCTAGATGAAGATACACCAGGCATGAAGATAAAGGGTAGCTTGAGAAGACAGTTTAAGCCATGCAATTCAATGTACACAAGTAAGATTTATGTCGTTTCAGACTTTTTTTCAAAAAGGGTGGTTGAATCATGATATTGAAGGGAATAAATTACAAGAGTTGGTACCTATATACATTAACCAAAATGTGATAGCATGCTGAATGGGAAGGATTGAAGTCAGAATCTTGAATGAACCATTCGTTCATTCAACTAATAACATGTAGAATTTGCAGACTGATAAATTACAATCAGGTTGGTAGTTGCCATAGTGAATATGGTAAAGTGCTTGAGCAAATGATGTAAATCATTCTTGGGCTTAGTTTATTCACTTGTAAAATTGTTTAAAAATAATTTTAAACTTCTTACTCTTACTACATAGAGTAAGATTCTGAGTTGTTAGACTGTTATTTACCTATGAGAATTATGAAATGCATTTGTGTGTATTTACATTTAATGTATACTTTTGGGAATTCACTATACACTTTTTAGAACAATTTCCCCTACTCTGAAGTTGTCTTCTCAGCTAATGAAGTGTAGTAGGACAACCATATTGAATGAATGCCCTGGTCTGTTATATTATATCCATGCTACTCTGTCTTCAAATACATGTTTTATATGTTCAGGACTTGCTTTTTCTTGATATTTATTTAGTTTTTTTGGTTGTTTTTTTTTTTGGGGGGGGGGGTCCGGTCATGGGGCCTGAACTCAGGGCCTGGGTGCTGTCCCTCAGCTCTTCAGCTCAAGGCTAGCGCTCTACCACTTGAGCCACAGCACCACTTCCGGCTTTTTTCTTTTTTCTTATGTGGTGCTGAGGAATCGAACCCAGGGCCTTGAGCATGCAAGGCAAGCGCTCTACCACTGAGCCACCTTCCCAGCCCCTCTTGATATTTATTTAGTAAGGAATAGTTTTGACCCATAATGAGTGATAAAGGGAAATGGATAAAGACTATTGTGCTCATTATTAAAATGCAAGCTTTAGCCAGGTGTCAGTGGCTCACATGTATAATCCTAGCTACTCAGGAGAGGAGGCTGAGATCTGAGGATCATGATTCAAAGCCAGGCCAAGCAAGAAACTCTGTAAGATTCTTATTCAACCAAGTTAACCAGCACAAAGCCAGAAGTAGAGCTGTAGCTTATGTAGTGGAGCACCAGTGTTGTGCAAAAAAAGCTCAGAAATAGTGCTCAGGCCCTGAGTTCAAGCTCCAGGACTGGTACAAAAACAAATACATAAATAGAGGCCAGTGGCTTTATATGCCTGTGAAAAAAAAGGTTGTGGAAAAAGAACATAAAGATTACATCACTATTCTTCCTTCGATATACTAGACAGTCATAAATTGTCAGAGGGCTCATTTGTGTCTATTCCTTTGATATAGGGTGACTTTGCGTTCACAAATATTAAGCTTGTACTGTGTGTGTCCTGCATAGTGCTAAATGCAGGAGATACGTTAGTGATCATGATGAGATTGAATCATCTTGGATTTTTTGTTTATCATATATTAGTATGAAATAGAGAATTAAACAAGGGACAGAGCTTCTATGTGACCAATTTTGTTCAAGCAGGATGTTATATGACTGTTGTTCTTACTGGTTCCTGGAAATGAACAAAAGCCCTGAATAAACTGCGTGTGTGTGTGTGTGTGTGTGTGTGTGTGTGTGTGTGTGTGCGTGTGTGTGTGCGCGTGTGTGTGCGCGCGCGTGCGTGCGTGTGTGCGCATGCGTGCGCCCATGGCCATGCAGGTGCGTGTCATTCCTGGGCTTGAACTTAGGGACTGGGTGCAGTTCCTGAGTCTTACTTTGTTCAAGGTTAGCCTTCTACCACTTGAGCCAACACTCACTTCAGGATTTTTGGTGGTTAATTGTAGTTATGCATCTCATGGCAGTCTAGCTTTAAACTATGGTCCTCAGATCTCAGATCTCAGCCTTCTGAGTAGCTCAAATTACAGGTGTGAACCAACAGTGCCCAGCTAAATGTATCATTTATCACTACATTTGCTTCTTCCTGTGATATGAGAAAAAAATGTTGAAATTAGACAGGTAACTGGATCTTTGAAGAATATTAGCATGTATGGACATGTAGCTAATGGGTAAGAACTGATTTTGGTATAACGTTCAATCTGTATTTGTAGACCAGTCCACTTAAAAAAAAACCCACACTTAAAAAAATTACTTAAAATTAAAAACAAATGTATACCGAGCACTGGTGGCTCATGCCTCTAATCCTAACTACTCAGGAGGCTGAGAGCTGAGAGCTGAGCCCAGGCAGAAAAGCCTATGACACCCTTATTTCTAATTAACCACTAGAAAACTCAAGTGAAACTGTTAGCTCAAAGTGGGAGAGCACTTGCCTTGAGTAGAAAAGCTCAAAGACAGCAGCCTAGGCCCCCATGATGGACCAAAAATATTAAAATTATCTTTAGTTGTACAAGGGGTTTCAGTTCGGATTAAAATTTGCTTTTATTATATAAAACAAACCCACATTTATTTCACTTTTTGTTTACAGGTCCAGGGGCAAGTTCATCCTACTCTTGAGTCTAATGATGATGCTCTTCAGTATGTTGAAGAATTAATTTTGCAATTATTAAATATGTTATGTCAAGCTCAGCCACGAAGTGCTTCAGATGTAGAGGTATGAGAATTTTTTTCTTCTTTTTAAGCATATCTAGTCTTTGTGTAAACTATTAAATATTTGCTTTTAGGCTAAAGCGAACAACTTTTTTATGCTAGAAGGATCTGGTCATACCTTTAAGAGTAGATGTCTCTCTTGTTTCTGTTTGGTAAAGTCAGCTGCATTCTATAAATGTTACCTTTAATTTTAGAAGCTCAGAAACAGAAAATATGTGAGTGATAGTAGTCTAATAGATCAGAACAAGAGAAAGAGTTGTTTAAATATAAGATTTCACAGGTAAAAGAAAGCAGGATGTAGCCATTGTTGATAAAAGTTGAACTAGAGGAAAAGGTCCTTAAAATGAAACGTTTAAAGAAGTAAGAGACTATGAGAATATTTTTTTTCTTTTGTGCCAGTACCATGGTTTAAACACAAATCCTTGTGCTTTTGCTTGTTCATGGCTAGTGCTCTACTATTTGAGTGATGCCTCTAGTTTGGCAGTTTGATAGTTAATTGGAGATGAAATCTCTGACTTCTTTTCTACTCAGGCTGGCTTTGAACTGAGACCCCTCATGTAGCTAGGATCCTGAGTAGTTAGGATTTCATATGTGAGCAGCCAGCACCCGACTCTCTCTCTTTTCATTTATGGATTAACCAGTGTGCACAATTGACTTGGACAAAAGAAAATAATTTTTTAGATGGTCTTTTCCACTTTTCCTCCCTTCTCTTACCTTTTTCACCCACTGTTACTATTCCAATATTTTCCTTCCTTTCCTTTCCCCCTTTCCCCTTGGGCTCCTGTCCTTTAATTCTTCATCTCAAGGCTAGCACTCTACCACTTGAACCACAGTACCATTTCCGGCTTTTTCTGCTTATGTGGTGCTGAGGAATTGAACCCAGGGCCTCGTGCATGCAAGGCAAGTGCTCTACCACTGAGCCACCTTCTCAGCTCTTATTCCAATGTTTTTGACGTTTGCTTTTACTACATGGGAGTAATATTTTAGCAAATAGGCAGTTGAGATCGGTTCACTCATCTTTTTTCACAACAATAATTCCTTTCCACATATTTTAAGTGAATTTAAATGATCATTTAAAAAAATGGGCTCTGTGTGTCAGTGGTTCATGCCTGTAATCCTAGCTACTCAAGAGGCTGAGATCTGAGGATCGGGGTTCAAAGCCAGCCTGGGCAGGAAACTCCATGAGACTCTTTATCTCCAATAAACCACTCAGAAAACCGGAAGTGGCTCTGTGGCTCAAGTGCTAGAGCACTAGCCTTGAGCTGAAAAGTTGAGGGATTGTGCCCAGGCCCAGAGTTCAAGCCCCATGACTGACAAAAATAAATAAATAATTAATAAGTAAATAAATAGGCAACCAGTGTAGCCAAGAACATAGATGAAGAATGAATTAAACCTCTTAATTGATAAATGAGCTCATATGATGTCTTTAGAGTCATTGTATTTCCCCTCCCCAACTCCTGACACCCCATCTCCAGTTGGGACATGGAGATGTCTCCTTTTTCCATTTTAACAGTCACTTACAAAACTAGTCAGATTTATAATCAGGGATGGTGTTTAATTTCAGTCCTACATAATAGTTAAATAATCAGCAATTTAAATGTTGAGTTGTGTAATAGCGACCTCTACTGGTTTTAATTTAAATACTGCTAGTGAGTTAAAAATTTGAGGTGATGTAAGGAAATTCAACTATTATAATAACTTGCATTCTTTCAAACTGATTAGTTGCTCGAAATTAAGTTGAGACAAAAACCAGTGATTTAGGGACTGGGACAGGTGGCTCAGTGGTAGAGCGCTTGCCTTACATGCATGAGGCCCTGGGTTCAGTTCCTCAGCACCACATAAGAAAAAAGAAAAAAGCCGGAAGTGGCGCTTGGCTCAAGTGGTAGAGTGCTAGCCTTGAGCTGAAGAGCTGAGGGACAGCGCCCAGGCCCAGAGTTCAGGCCCCACGACCAGACTCCCCCCAAAACAAACAAACAAACAAACAAAAAAACCCAGTGATTTATAGAGGATTTTATAGATAAGTTATACTATATTATACAATTGTTAAACTATATATATATATACAATTGTTACCAATGTAAGCTGGGCACTGGTGGCTCATGCCTGTAATCCTAGCTATTCAGGAGGTTGCTATCTGAGAATTGCTGTTCCAGGCTGACCTCGGCAGGAAAGTCTATGAGATTCTTATCTCCAGTTAACCACCCAAAAAGCTGAAAGTGAAGCTGTAGCTCAAATGTAGAGTTCTCACCTTGAGCAAAAATGCTCAGGAAGAAACCCCAGGCCCTGAGTACAATCTCCAGGACTGATTCCCCGCCCCCCCCCCCCCTCTAAAAAAAGGTTACCAATGTAAACTATTGATTTCCATGATTTGTAGATAGTTTGGAAGTTAAATTCTTTAACATGATAAAGAAAAACTTACAGGTTTAAATTGCAAAATGCCTTGTGATCTAGTAATTGGTATTGAAAGTAAATGAGTATTAGATTTAGATGCTTGCTTCTTGAGCTTAAGGTCTTGTTCCTTGAAAGTTTATGAAAGTATGTTAAAGCGACTTATGCTCATTCTTGTGATTAACTTTATTTAGTAAGTTTAGAGTTCAGTATATAGATATTCCCCCTATATCATAGAAGGAACAATTAGTCTCTTAATTTCCTAGTTAAGAAATGAATATATTGATAAATACAATTTTAAGTATGTTTGCATTGTACATTATGTCACATGTAAAGAGCTTTATTTTTGGTATTCTTTAATTTTAAAACTAAATTTCAAGCAAAGGTCACTATTTGATTTGTTACTTAGTTATCTTTCTATTTCCCAAGGAACGTGTTCAAAAAAGTTTCCCTCATCCTATTGATAAATGGGCAATAGCTGATGCACAATCAGCTATTGAAAAGAGGAAGCGAAGAAATCCAACTCTCCCAGTAGAAAAAATTCATCCTTTATTAAGGGTAAAGTTGAAATATTGCCTTCTTAACTTTTTTCTTTTTTAAAAATTGTTATTATAAAGGTGATATACAGAGGGGTTAACAGTTGCATAAGTCAGGTAGTGAGTATATTTCTTTTGCCTTCTTTTGAAAAACAAAACAAAGCCCACCCTTTTTCAAACACTAAGAATATTTGAACCAAATGTAAAATTATCTTGTTTTAAGTCTTCCAGGGACTGATGTAGTAGGGAAGGATGTTGTGAAAATAAAGTGTAAGTTGGGCAACAAGACCTAAGGCAGTTCCATACCGATGGTAATAGCAAATGTAAGGGACTAAGAAAAGTTATTATTTTAGATTTTGTTTATCCCAGGTGTTCCTAGAAATACAAAGAGCATGTAAAATTATTATTATTATTATTTTGCTGGTTGGACTTAAGGGTTCCTATAAATCCTTTAATTGTTAATGTGTGTGGGAACTTTTATGAGATTGTCATACGTCTGTGTGTTGTCTTTGAACAAATTCTGTGAAGATCTCCTAAACTAGCCAGCCCTATCACAAGTCAATCAATCAAATAAGTGCAGGAAACCTTAATAATGTTCTGTTGTATTTAAAACAAAGAAGAAACTACTGATTAATTCACAGCAAAAGATGTAGTTATTGTAGCAACTAAAATCTTAGTGATACTTCAGCAATAAATTTTCATATAGTATAATATAGTATATATTTCCATATATATGCAAAATGTTAATAGTTACATGTATTGTCTCTGCATTTTATTCTCAACATTATCATCTTCAATTTGTAAATGATGTACAAAGGCGAAAGCAATTAAGTGTCTCCCTATGCTAGGTTCATAAGACTCTAAATGATAGTGTTAAGAAATCTAGGTTGCCATAAACTTGTCAAAATTGAAAAGTTTACCACTTGGAATGATGTTTAAGATGGTTGGAAAGTTATGTTTTTGCATTTGGTGGGCGAATAGAGATGCCTTCCTTTATCTTGTTTGAGAAAATATGAAATCTATGAGAAATTATTAAGCTATTAATAATGGATAATTATTAATATCCATTAAAGAATATATTCTTTAATCTTTAAGATTTTAATTGGCCAAATATTGAATTATAAGCTAAGAGAATGAACAATTTGAGATTCACATGTTCTTAATGGTCCTAAATTTTTGAGTTTTATCATTGTGAATATCATTTCAATTTATGAATACAGTTTACCATGATATAGCTAATAATTTTATATTTTTGCATGGTAAAAGAAACCTAACCCAACTTATAATAAACCTCTTTTTTCCTTGCCATCTGTATATTTTTTATTTTACAGAATCTAGATTCTTTTTAATTATTAATTTTTTTATCTTCATTTGGTTGTACAGGAGTTTTCAATTTACCAGGTCCATATCGGTATATGATCCATTGTGATCAGCCACCCCTTCCATCATTCTCCCCCACTTCCATGACCTCTGCCCCACAAATCAAATCACTTCCCAGTTGTTTTTGGACAAATGCATTAATTAAATTATTATGATCAGATTTGTTCACCATTCCTTTCTCCATTCGCCTTTCTTCTCCCAAGGGGACCAATCACAGGTGGGACAGACAGAGACAGAAATAAGGGTGGATGTGATAAAAGTATATGCACCTATTAAAAAATAGCAAGGCGTTTTTTGGCAATAAACCTCTTGTTTCATTTTTTTCTCTCATTAACTGAATTGTTTAGAATTTGTTCTCTTTTCGGAGTTGGTCAGCTCAACAAAAGAATAATTTAGCCAGGTGCTGGTGACTCATGCCTATAATCCTAGCTACTCAGGAAGCTGAGATCTGAGGGTCATGGTTCAAAGCCAGACTGGGCAGGAAACTCCATGAGACTCTTATCTCCAATAAACCACTCAGAAAACCACAAGTGGCGCTGTGGCTCAAGTGCTAGAGTGCTAGCCTTGAGCTGAAGAGCTGAGGGGCAGCGCCCAGGCCCAGAGTTCAAGCCCCATGACCGACCAAAAAAAAAAATTTAAAATTAGTCTAATAATAGCACTGATTAGTTTTTATATTTTCTTCACAACTACTGTTGTTTGGTAGGACATAGCATGATTTTTTTTTCATAGAAGCAGCCAAAGATATTAGGAATATGCAACTAGCATTTTGGGGAGTCCATATTCCTATGGAAAGGATAGAGATATAAGACTAAGATATTCGGGCTGGGAAGGTGGCTCAGTGGTAGAGCGCTTGCCTTGCATGCCTAAGACCTGGGTTCGATTCCTCAGCACCACATAAGCAAAAAGAAAAAAGCCGGAAGTGGCACTGTCTCTCAAGTGGTAGAGCACTAGCCTTGAGCTGAAGAGCTGAGGGACAGCGCCCAGGCCCAGAGTTCAGGCCCCACGACCGGACCCCCCCCCCCAAAAAAAAAAAAAAGACTAAGATATTCCTAGATAACAGTGAGATGCTTATTGTTACATTATCTAAAAGAGAAAACTCATATCTCATAGTTACTTCCAAGTATTCTTACTTAGATGCTAGAGAGCATTTGCTTCCCTACATCAAACTTAGACTTACCTTTCTAAGTTTGGGATTGTCTTTTAAGCTATACCTCCACTTGTGGAATTATTATTATTATTATTTCATTTTTTTGTTGGTCATAGGGCTTGAACTCATCCTGGGCACTGTCCCTGAGCTCTTCAGCTCAAGGCAAGCACTCTACCACTTGAGCCACAGTACCTCTTCCAATTTTTTGATGGTTAATTGGAAATAAGAGTCTCACAGACTTTCCGGCCCAGGCTGGCTTTGAACTGCGTTCCTCAGATCTTAGCCTCCTGAGTAGCTAGGATTACAGGTGTGAGCCACCATCGCCTGGCACTTGTGGAATTATTTAATAGTTATACTTCTTCAGTAGTGTGCACATCCAATGGTAATATTGCCTTGTTTTTTCTTAGCTTACATTTTAAAATAATGGTACACATGTTCATAATAGAACCACTGGAAATTATGAAATTCAATGTTGACAGTCACAGGCCTCAGTAAAACATTTTAATTAGTGTGTTAAATTGATACTGTATGATGTTTAAATGTGCTTTTCTTTAATTTTGCAGGAGGTCCTAGGTTATAAAATTGACCACCAGGTTTCTGTTTACATAGTAGCAGTGTTAGAATACATTTCTGCAGACATTTTAAAGCTGGTTGGAAATTATGTAAGAAATATACGGCATTATGAAATTACAAAACAAGATATTAAAGTGGCAATGTGTGCTGACAAGGTAGGAAACATAGCTTCTTTATGTTATATTGTATTATGTAATGAGGGCATTTCCAGTAATCTAGTACTATTTAGATTCTGAATAGGTATTAAATGTGTAGTATAAAAATGTGTCTAAACATACTGTTTTTCTCCTTAAATATTACTATAACTAAGGTTAGTTACAATAATTATATTCAAACTGATTATTTATTTATTTGTTTGCTTGCTTGCTTGCCAGTCCTAGGGCTTGCACTCGGGGGCGGGGCACTGTTACTGAGCCTCTTTTGCTCAAAGCTAGCACTCTTATCACTTGAGCCACTGTACCACTTCTGGCTTTTTCTGTCTATGTGGTCCTGAGGCATTGAACCCAGGTCTTCATGCATGCTAGGCAAGTGCTCTACTGTTAAGCAACATTCTCAGCCCTCCAAACTGAATTTTTAAAAATATTATTTAAATTGAAAGGTTTAGGTGCTTATGGATTCACTTGACAATTTTTGAAATGTTAAGTTACTGATAGTTTTTATTGCAATAACTAGATTTCTTTTGTTACTAGTTGTACAGTACTTCAATAATAATACTAAGAGTAACATGAAGCATGTACATGGTTTATGATACTCCTTTAAGATAGATGATCTTACCTACATTTTATAAAAGGGAAGTTGAAGTTCAGGGAGAAAAATAATAGATCCAGAATTTTCTGAAAAGATTCAAAGCTTAGACTTGAACCCCAGATCTGAATCTAGATACTAAGTCATTGCCTTAGTGTGTGTGTGTGTGTGTGTGTGTGTAAGTTGTGGAGGTTGTGGAGGTTGTAGGGCTTGAACTCAGGGCCTGGATACTGTCCCTCAGCTTTTTTGGTAGTACTACCACTTGAAGCCACAGTGCCACTTCCAGTTTTCTGGTGTTTAATTGGAGATAAGAGTCTCATGGACTTTCTTGCCCAGGCTGGCTTTGAACCTTGATCCTCACATCTCAGCCTCCTGAGCTAGGATTACAGGCATGAGCCAATGGCACCTGGCAGTATTTTCATTTCATGAAAATGACTAAATGACTTTGCAGAAAATACTTTGTGATAAAGCATTTAATGCTATTTTTCTTGCTATATTCTTACAATTTTGAACACTCTTTCTCATTAATGAATGCATTTAATTCTTTTTTTCTTTTTAAAACAATTTTTTTATTGTGAAAATACTGTACAAAGGGGTTACAATTACATGGGCAAGATAATGAGTACATTTCTTATCAAGCTCCATTTAATTCTTTTAGTATCTACTCTTTAAGAATAATAGAGCCGGGCGCTGGTGGCTCACGCCTGTAATCCTAGCTACTCAGGAGGCTGAGATCTGAGGATCGCGGTTCAAAGCCAGCCCGGGCAGGAGAGACTGTGAGACTCCTATCTCCAATAAACCACCAGAAAACCGGAAGTGGCGCTGTAGCTCAAGTGGTAGAGCGCTTGCCTTGAGCTGAAGAGCTGAGGGACAGCGCCCAGGCCCAGAGTTCAAGCCCCATGACCGACCAAAAAAAAAAAAGAATAATAGAGTAAAAATTTTACCTGATCTGAAGAATATTAAATGCTTTGATATTTTAAAATGAATATTTGCTTTTTAAAGAATATTTAAGATGAATGTCAAATGTTTGATTTAAAAAATGTTTTCTAATGAATCAGATCAATAAAATATTTTTGAATACCTACTATATGCTCACACAGGGAGGGAAAAGGGAAAGCAAGAGAAGTAAGAGACAGGCTCTTATTTGTTGAAGGAAAGCCACTTACATTTGTGAGCAAGCACAAAGGAGCAGGTTAAATATTAGGTGTAGTGGTACTGCAGAAGTTCACAAGAAATGGGAAGATGAGTTTCAGCAGGTAGTTGAGTTATACTCAACAGATGTAGGAAAATAGACCAACAGAATGGCTGTAAGCATTATTTGCATATGAGAGAGTGAGACCATGTAGTAAAAGGTGAGGAAAGCAAGTATATGAATAGAGGACACAAAGTCAGAGATGAATTTAAGACAGGTACTGGTATTGTCACAAGACTTGGAGGAGGCATCTGTCATATCAGAGAAACCAGAGAAGCTGTGGAATAGTAGTTGAAATAAAAAAAGACAGTCTATATCTTTTTTTTCTTAATCGTTTAAAAACATTATTCAAAGCAATTGAAGGCATTTACCTTTGAATTTGACTATAGATTCCTATTTTATACTTTTTAAAAATATTTCTGACCATATAGGTATTGATGGATATGTTTCATCAAGATGTAGAAGATATAAATATATTATCTTTAACTGATGAAGAACCTTCCACCTCAGGAGAACAAACTTACTATGATTTAGTTAAAGCATTTATGGCAGAAATTCGACAATATATAAGAGAACTAAATCTTATAATAAAAGTGTTTAGAGAGCCCTTCATCTCCAATTCCAAATTGTTTTCTGCTAATGTAAGTATATTGTATATTTGTCTATCATTTCACATGTTGTTCAATTTTACTTAGGTTCGAATTTGTATACTTACAATTACTAACTTGTCAAAATTTTAAGTTGTAGAATGTAATTCATGGTCACTAATAAAATGCTTGAGCAGTTCAAGAGATTAAACCTCAAATTAAAAAAATAAAGTTTAAAGAGCTGATTATCTGTAAGTGAAAGTGAACTCACAGAATCTTCCATGTATTCCAGAGAACAAAACTTCTTGTTTACTTAGAAGATATGTATGTTTCACTTGTCATTTAACCAATATCTCAGCAGCCCCACCATACTGTCAGGCACTGTTCCTAGCAATGGGATTCAAAAATAAATAAGAAAATGTTTCTTCCCTAATTCATTCCGTCATTAACTTTAGTCAAAATAGATATTAAGCTGCAGTACAATGTGATAGCATGATAGTAGCTATAATTGAAGGATGATAGGTTGTGTAGTGATATATCGTATTAGTAATTCCTAAAGCCATAACCACACATCCATAGGCAACTGATGGAGAAACAGTGCTCTGTGCAGAAGCTGGATAGCTGGATTGGGGCTCAAGTTATGGTAATAAGTAAACCTTTTTTTTTTTTTGGTGCCAGTCCTGGGGTTTGAATGCAGGTTGTTGTCCCTGAGTTGTTGTTTTTTTTTTTCAGAGCTGAGGATTAAACTTAGGGCCTTTTACTTGCCAGGCAAGTGCTCTTCTTTCACTGAACTAAATCCCCATTTCCAGTTCTTGAGCTTTTTTGCTCAGGGCTAGTGTTTTGTTTTTTTTTTTGGGTCCGGTTGTGGAGCCTGAACTCTGGGCCTGGGTGCTGTCCCTCAGCTCTTCAGCTCAAGGCTAGCGCTTTACCACTTGAGCCACAGTGCCACTGCTGGCTTTTTTCTTTTTGCTTATGTGGTGCTGAGGAATCGAACCCAGGGCCTCAGGCATGCAAGGCAAGCACTCTACCACTGAGCCACCTTCCCAGCCCCCAGGACTAATGTTCTTAACATTTGAGATAGCTCCAATTCTGGCGTTTTGGTGGATAATTGGAAATAACAGTCTCACAGATTTTCCTGCCCAGGCTGTCTTGAACCCGTGTTCCTCAGATCTCAGCCTTATGAGTAGCTAGGATGACAAGTGTGAGCCACCAGCAATAAGAAAGTATTTAAAAATTAAGGAGTAGGACCAGGCGCTGGTGGCTCATGTCAGGAGGCTGAGATTTTAGGATCCTGGATTGAAGCCAGTCTGGACAGGAAAATCTGTACAACTCTTATCTCCAATTAAATGACAGGAAAAGCCAAAAATAGTGGTGTGGCTCAAGTGGTAGAGTTCAAAGGAGTTCAGGGCCTGAGCCCAGGTCCAGAGTTCAAGCCTCAGGACCAGCCAAAAAAAAAAAAAATTAGGAAAAGAAAAGAAAAAATAGGTAGGAGCCAGGGATATAGCTCAGTAGTAAAGTTCTTGCTTGGCAGGCATGAGGTCATGGATTTAAACCCCAGCACTGTAATAATAATAATAATAATAATAAATGAAGAAGAGTATATTACATTGGTAATTATTCAAGTCTGTAAATATACGAAAACTGTTGAATTACTTTAAATTGATAAATTGCATGGTATATAAATTATATTTCAAAGAAATGGCTTAAAATAAGAGTAAAAGCAGAGATATGCTCTATCTACTAATATTCTAGGAAAGATGCTTTATAGATATAGAAAGTAGATAACTGGTTTTATGGGAGTGAGCATGATTGGGGCATCAGGGAACTTCCTATATCTAGATTTTGGTGGGGTTTTACAAGGATTATCTTGAGCTGTGGCTCAAGTTTTAGAGTGCTAACCTTGAGCAAATGAAGCTCAGGGACAGTGCCCAGGCCCTGAATTCAAGCCCTAGCACTGGCAAAACAAAAAAAAAAAATCAGGAGTTGGGGAGGTGGAGAGGAAAGGGATGGTAGGGAAAAAACAAAGGAGGGGTAACAATGCTGGATAGGAAATGGACTCATTACCTTGCTCATGTAACTGTAACCCCTCTGTACAGCATCTTTGTAATAAAAATATATATTAAGGGGCTGGGAAGGTAGCTTAGTGGTAGAGTGCTTGCCTTGCATGCATGAGGCCCTGGGTTCGATTCCTCAGCACCACATAAGCAGAAAAAAGGAATTGAACAGTATAAATTAGGTTTACATTGAAGCAAATATCCCATTAAAGCCAAGGCAAATTTAGACTTTCTTAGCCCTTAAATAAATCATCACAAATAACCTCTATCAAAGGCAAGGAAGGGGCTGGGAAGGTGGCTCAGTGGTAGAGTGCTTGCCTTGCATGCATGAGGCCCTGGGTTCGATTCCTCAGTGCTATATAAGCAAAAAGAAAAAAAATATATATATATATATTAAAAAAGACTAATACTCATCAAAAAGTACACTTAAAGTAGGTATAGCTTACTGTATATAAACTATATCTCAACATTGGCAAAAATAAAGTCAATGATAAAACAAATTAAGTCAAATAATAATAACCAGTTTTTTTTTTTTAAGTAACAGCATGACATTGATAAGATTTCAGATTCTACGATACAACCTTTAAGAAACCACTTTAAAACATTTTAGTCTAATATTAAGATAATAACTCTAGATGAGATGTCCACAATAGGCAAATCTGTAGGTAGAACGGTGGTTGCCAGGGGTTGTGAAGACAGGAGAATGCAGCATGCCTCGCCTGTCTTTGTGGGATAGTGAAATGTTCTAGAATTTAACAGTGATGAGTGTACAACTCTTAGATATACTGAAAAACTGTTGAATAGTAAGTACATTTTACAGTCATAAATTATGTCTCAAGGAAAATTACAAAAGAAAACAATACCACAATGATATAAATAGACTAAAGATACTCCTGCTGTTCCCTATTACTTATCTATGTATGTAATGATACACTTTTCATGTACTTCAGCCAGAATGATATATTGCACCAGATTGGACACAGAAATGGAAAAATCCTGTTGTCTTCTATTAAACTTCATTTTAGAGATTTGCAAAAATGTAAAAAAGACCCCAAACTAAAAGATCCCAAACCTGTCATTTTTCTACTAACCAGTTTTTTGCTGTTTTAGAGTTATTTTATGTTACTTTTGTTAACATATAGTAGGTTTATTGTTGTTTTTAAATGAATTGAATATTAAAAAATTATTGACTTTAAACTTCTGATATGCTAAGCATTGATGGATATAAGCAAAAAGCTTTTTAAGAATATGGAGTCCTAAAACTAAATAGTATGGATATAAGCAAAAAGCTTTTTAAGAATATGGAGTCCTAAAACTAAATAGTTTGAGAATTGCTGATCTAAAAATGTATTTGTAAACATGAATCATTGCAAAAGAAAATTTCAAAGTCTTTTATTTATATATGTAAGTCATTAAAAATTTCAGTGTATATGCTATGTTATGAAATAACTTATTAGCTCAAAATGTGTCTGCTATTGAATGAGCTGAGTTTATTTTTTTACCTTCTCAACAGGATGTAGAAAATATATTTAGTCGAATAGTAGATATTCATGAACTTAGTATAAAATTGCTGGGCCACATAGAAGATACTGTTGAAATGACAGATGAAGGCAGTCCCCACCCATTAGTTGGAAGCTGCTTTGAAGATCTTGCAGAAGTAAGTGCTTTAATTAAATAACAAGCTAAGTCTGTATATAAACTTCTATTTGTATTAAAATTTTGAATCTTCATTCTTGCTTTCAGCTAAAGTAATAGAAAGTGTTGGCTGCTTATCTGTTACTGCCTTCTTAGTAAGATTCTTGTCATCATTCATTTCTGTTATTTTATGAAACAGAAACGGTAATCTCATTATAGAAAAGTAGATTCCACAAAAGAGAGACCTTACAGCTAGCATGCAATATCCTGTTGTAAAATCTTTCACAGCAATGCCAACAGAAGTTGGGCCTCAATGAAGAACCCGAATCTGGAATCCAATTACTTGTATTGTACTCTGAGCACTGTTGTCTAGATGAGCTTGGGCACAGTCAGGGTGGTATAGCTATAGACAGCATTGCTATTTAATTTTGTGATTATGGGTGAGTTATTTATTTCTCTAAACATCCATATATGTTTATCATCTAATGAAAGCATGATCATAACAGGACTCATGATTTTCTTGTGTGTGAAAATTAAGTAACCTATTTGTAGTACTCAGCCAACCATTCTTACATAGTAAACTACTCAGTACTCATTACAATTAAAAATAGGAGGAATGAGGTACACAAGAAAATGAGGTCTAGGACCTAGATGGTTCAGGGGCCAGAGGGTACAAAATCTGGTAATCTTCAAGGGCTAACATGAGAGTCTTAATATGTTAGCATTGACAGTCATTCTGTAATCTCCAGTTATTCTCTGTTGTAGTCTTACTATGAAATCTACTCTATATTAAATTTTATTTTTCTCCTCTCTATTTTAAGAGAGCTATAATAGAATTCAGAAACTAGAAAAAATACTATTACTACCCCTACTCAGTATTCTGTTCTCTTTAGCAAAAAGAGAAAAAAAGGAATTGTCAAGATGATTTTCCCTATTTGTAGTCAATATAACTGTCTAAATAGAAAATCCAAGAAAAAAAAATATATTATTAAAACCAGCAGTTCAGTGTAGTAGCTAAAGGACAGATCAGTGTGACTGTGGTAAGTTACAACCCATAGAATATTTAAGTATTAAAGACAAAAGGCTCCATTTACTAGAAGATATTTAAGAATCTTAAGACGTGTCAGATCTTTAAGAAAGTTCACAAAATAACAATTCATAAGCAATATCTGAATAAATGGAGCTACATCCCATACCATGTTTTTGAAAGGACAGATTCAATATGCTGCTGTCCCCAAAATAATCTTATTAGTCCAGTATGTATTGATCTAATCCTAAAATTCCTGTGTAAGAAAGGATAGCCAGGCTGTGGTGGCTCAGGCCTGTAATTCTACTACCAGGAGGCTAAGAAGGATCTTGGTTTGAAGCCAGACCAGGCAGAAAAGTCTGTGAGACTCTTATCTCCAACTAACCAGCAAAAATCCAGACTGGAGGTATGATTCAGGTGGTGGAGCACCAGCTGTGAGCAAGATAGCTACAAGGCCCCAAATTCAAGCTCTCATATTGGTGCACACACACACACAAAATAATAATAAAGAAGGGGAAAAAAAGGAAGGGAACCAGGTATGACTGATAATCTAGCACTTGTGAGGCTGAAGCAGGAAGATCATTAGTTTGAGGACAACCTTACTTAAATAGCAAGTTTGAGAGTAGCCTGGCATACAAAAACAAATAAGACAAAAGTGACAATTTAGAGGAAGAGTAAATTGAGATAATTTGTCCTGTGTTACACATTAATATTTAATGTGGCTGGATGCTGTTAGCATGAAGGATCAAAGTAAAACTTGGACTGCTTGCTGGTAGCTCAAGCCTGTAATCTTTGCTGCTCAGGAGGCTGAGATCTGAGGATCACATTTTTGTCCAGCCCTGGCAGAAAAGTCCCATGAGATTTTTTTTTTGTTGTTGGTCATGGGCTTGAACTCTGGGACTGGGCGCTGCCCCTCAGCTCTTCAGCTACCACTTGAGCCACAGTGCCACTTCTGGTTTTCTGGTGGTTTATTGGAGATGAGGGTCTCACCGACTTTCCTGCCTGGGCTGGCTTTGAACCATGATCCTCAGATCTCAGCCTCCTGAGTAGCTAGGATTACAGGGTGAGTCACTGGCATCTAGCTCCATGAGATTCTTATATCCTGTTAACTACCAAGAAGCAGAAGACAAGCAAAGACTATGGTTCAAATGGTAGGGTGCCAGACTTAAACAAAAAAGCAAGTAAGCCCTTAAGGCTCTGTTCAAGCCCCAGTACGGGCCAAAAAAACAAAAAAAACAACGATTTATTATGTAGTAGAGTGTAGTATTGGATCAAATATAGATAAGTCAGTGGAACAGAAAAGAGTCCTGAAAAAATACATATATTCCTGATATGTGACAAAGATAACATTAATCAGTAAAGAAAGAAAAATTTAATAAATAATGCTAGGTAAAAAACTAGTTATCTGTATAAAAAAACATTTTATATCTTACATCTTTCACAAAAGTTATCACTAGATTAGAAATAGGAAAAATCTATGTTCATGAATTTGGAAAAATCAGTATTGTTAAAAAATATCTATAATATATGAAGTAATCTTCAATGCAATTTGAATCAAAATGTCAAATATGTTCTTCACAGACCTAGGAAAAAAATCCTAAGGCTTGTATGAAATTACAAAACCCCCAAATAGTCAAAGCAGTCTTAAAATTGTTTTCTTTTTTTATTAATGTATATTGTCTGAAATAATGTGATTTATTATGACATTTTTCCTACATGCATATAATACATGTTGATATATTCATTCCTCCATTAGCCTTACTCAAAGCAAGCAAGAGAGAACAAAGTAAGAGGTGATACACTACCTAACTTCAAAATATTATAAATGGGAGGTTGAGTGGGAGTGTGTGCCTTGCTGTGTGGAGCTCCACATTCTGTCTTGAGCGCAGACACACACAAACCCCCAAATTTGTGAAGCTGTTAGCAATGAAAACAATTTGGTCTTTGGCATAAAAACAGACACATAGACCGATGGGAGCAGAATAGTCTAGACATGAACCCTTACAATTAAAGCTCATTACTCTTCAAAGGGACTAAGAACACAGTGGTGTAGAGAAATGACAGTCTTTTCAATAAATGGTGTGGAGAAAACTGGATATCCGCAATTAGTGGAATGAAACTCAACCCTTATCTCTTACAGTGTACAAAATCAACTAAAACTAGGTTAATTTTAAATGTAAGACTTGAAACTACAAGGGAAATGCTGCAGGACATTGGAACAGGCAAAGATGTTCAGAAAAGAATTAAGAACAGAAAACAAGCAAAAGTGCACCGAAATAGAAAATGTTCATTATCTATACATCTGATAAAGAGTTAATACCCAGAATACGTGAGAAGTTCCCAATAAGTTACTAGCAAAAATAGAAAAAGCCAAACCTCTATTTTAAAAATTGACTTTACATAGATTGTTGAGTATCAGTAATCATCAAGGAAATGCAGATCAAAACTACTCTGAGCATCACCTATTTTATTAAAATGTCTATTATCCAAAGGACTCTCAAAGCTTGTAGCTCACACCTATAGACCTAGCTACTCAGGAAGCTTAGATCTGAGGATCACAGTTCAAAGCCAGTCTGAGAAGGAAAGTCTGTGAGACTCTCCAATTAACCTCAAAAAAGCTAGAATGACCAATGATAGAGCACTAGCCTTAAGCAAAATAAGCTCAGGGACAGTCCCCAGGCCTTGAGTTCAAGCCACAGGATCAGCACATACCCAAAAAAGACTCGAAGAAGGAATAAAACCAAACCTGTATATACTATTGGTAGGCACTCACAATAGAGGTATATGACCCAACAATTCACTACTAGGTATATGTTCAAAAGAAATGAAATCAGTATCTCAAAGAAACAATATGCACTACAAAATGAAGCAGTTAATGTGCTTTTAAAGATATTTACTTGCACATATGAATAATAAGATAGGATATAATAAGATATACATGTTAACTATAAAATTGTATAATTGTATAATATGGGAGATTATCAGTGACTCAATAGAGAGTAAAAAACAGTAATGTATTCATAATGTAGAATATTACTAAGGATTTTTTTTGGGGGGGGTCCAGTTGTGGGGCCTGAACTCTGGGCCTGGGCGCTGTCCCTCAACTCTTCAGCTCAAGGCTAGCGCTCTACCACTTGAGCCACAGCGCCACTTCTGGCTTTTTTCTTTTTGCTTATGTGGTGCTGGGGAATCAAACCCAGGGTCTCAGGCATGCAAGGCAAGTGCTCTACCACTGAGCCACCTTCCCAGCCCAGGATTTTTAAATAAATGGAAGAGCAACATTCATCAGAATAGATAAATCTTAAGCCCTAAATGTAACTGACAGGACAATTTGCAGAAAAATGAATATTAATATATAAATAATAATATGTGAAATTTGAAAACATGCAAACTAACAAATCACCTTTTTTTTCTTATTCTTGTTCTCATAGTGGGGCTTGGACTCAGGGCTCTTGCTCGTGCTCAGCTTTTTCCCTCAATAACTGGCACTCTACCAGACTTCCACTTCTGGGGTTTTGCTAGTTAGTTAGAGATATGAGTCTATCTATCTTGTCTCTTTTCTCCTATTTCTTCTTTTCCCTCTCTTCTGTCTCTCAATTTTTTGGCAGTTTTATGAGAACTGCGTCAATGAACTATATACACATGTATATATTTGGGGAAGCAGTGCTTCCTTATGTTTGGTTAGCAGGTACTATACCACTTGAACCACACTCCCAGTCAATAATGAATTTTAGATATAGAAATTGTTACTTCTGGTTTACAGAATATGAAATATTAAAAACTATGAGAAAACAAATGTTAAGCATCCATATTCTAAAGACTTATCCTTTATCTAATTGCTGATATCTGTATTTGATTGTTCAAGTTAAGCTTTGTTACTATTTTCCAGATGTAAGTCTGTCATAGCAACTCTTTATGGCAACTCTTCTGGCAAAACTCTTATGGCAACTCTACTGGAATCCATTAATGAGATGGCTCATATGATGGTCCTATGACTCGAAGAAAGAATTGACATACTTGAGAATATTAGATTTATTCTGTTAAAATTATAATTAATATAGGTATACCGTATTCATTTAGGAGCACTATAAGAAATATATAATTGTGCTGGCCTGGTCATGCTCATATTTTTTGTTCTTTTTATGTTTTACCTTTATTTTCTAAGGAACTGGCATTTGATCCATATGAATCATACGCTCGAGATATTTTACGACCAGGTTTTCATGATCGTTTCCTCAGTCAGTTATCAAAGCCCGGGGCAGCACTTTATTTGCAGGTATAGTCTTATTTTCTTCTTCTGGCAATATTGGGGGTTGAACACAAGCTTTATGCTTGCTACGCAGGATTTTTGCTCTGGTTAGTGTGTGTGTGTGTGTGTGCACACTCTGGTGTGTGTGTGTGTGTGTATGTATGTATGTGTGCGCTCTGGTGTGTGTGTGTGTGTGTCGGTACCGGGAGCTTGAACTCAGGGCCTAGGCACTATCCCTGAGCTATTTCACTCCAAGCTGTGTGTGTGTGTGTGTGTGTGTGTGTGTGTGTGTGTGTGTGTGTGTGTGTGTGTGTGTGTGTGTGTGTGTGTGTGTGTGTGTGTGTGTGTGTGTGTGTGTGTGTGTGTGTGTGTGTGTGTGTGTGTGTGTGTGTTCCACTCCAAGCTCTGTGTGTGTGTGTGTACCAGGAGCTTGAACTCAGGGCCTAGGCACTATCCCTGAGCTATTTCACTCCAAGCTACTTATTTTGCTCTACCACTTGAAGTGGAGTTCCATTTCTGGTTTTTGGGGGCTAGTTTATTGGAGATAAGAGTCCCACAGACTTTTCTGCCTGGGCTGGCTTTGAACTATGATCCTTAGATCTTAGCCTCCTGAGTAGTTAGGATTACAGGTGTAAGCTACTCGCATCCCACTCCAATTGTGGCTTTTTGATAGTCAATTGAAGAGTCTTAAAGTCTTTTCTGCCCAGGCTGGCTTCGAACTGTAATCCTTACATCTCAGCCTCCTTAGTAGCTAAGATTATAGACGTGTGTCACCAGTGCATGGCTGCTCTGGTTATTTTGAGCTAGTTTCTCACTCTTTGCTGGGGCTGACCTCCTGTTTATACTTTCAATTGTAGCTGGAATGATAGGTGAGTGATACTACACCCAGTCTTTTTTGTTAAAATAGGAGTCTCATTAACTATTTTGCTCTGGGTGGCCTAGAATCATAATCTTCCCAATCTCTACCTCCAAAATTGCAAGGATTCCAGGCATGAGCTACCATGCCAATGCAGGAATAGTAAATTTCAAATCAAGTTGTACATGTCTGAAACTGTTTTAAAATTTTAACTTAAATTAGGCGGGCACCGGTGGCTCATGCCTATAATCCTAACTACTAAGGAGGCTGAGATCTCAGGATCACGGTTCAAAGCCAGCCCAGGCAGAAAAGTCCGTGAGACTCTTATCTCCAATTAACCACTATAAAACCGAAGTAGTGCTGTGGCTCAAGTGGTAGAGTGCTCGCCTTGAGCTGAAGAGCACAGGGATAGTGTCCAAGCCCAGAGTTTAAGCCCCATGACCAACAACAACAACAACAAAAAATTAAATCCCTTTCTTTTCCAGTCAATAGGCGAAGGTTTCAAAGAAGCTGTTCAATATGTTTTACCCAGGCTACTGCTAGCCCCTGTTTACCACTGTCTGCATTACTTTGAACTTCTGAAGGTAAGAACTCTTTTAGTGGTATTTATGAAATATACAAATGTGTTGTTTTTTGGGTTTTGGTTTTGTTGTTGTTGTTGTTGTTCTGAGGATTGATACAGGGCCTTGTGCTTGCTAGGAAATATTTTCCCACTTGAGTCTGTCCTACTTTAGTTTTGATAGGACTTTGTGTTTTTACCCAGGCCTTCTACCTCTGCCTCCTCAGTAGCTGGCATTAAAGACATGAATTATCACTCCTGGTCTTGTAATTTTTTTTGCTACTCCATTTGTAAATTATTAGGCAAAGCATTGATGTACATATACCCATTTTCTTTTTTTCTTTTTCTTTTTTCTTTTGCCAGTCCTGGGGCTTGAACTCAGGGTCTGGGCACTGTCCCTGAGCTTCTTTTGCTTAAGGCTAACACTCTACCACTTGAGCCATAGTGCGACTTCTGGCTTTTTCTGTTTATGTGATACTGAGGAATTGAACCCAGGGCTTCATGCATGCTAGACAAGCACTCTACTACTAAGCCACATTCCCAGCCCACCCATTTTCTTATTCCAGTTAAGAAGCAATTGTAAGTAAATATGCAAAAGAGTAGTACATTTTATTCATCTTTAAAACTGAATATTTTCATTTTATGGAGTTTTGTATGCAGGGGTCATTGTTTTATGACAATATTGGATGTTTGTATCCAAATTTCCATTTGGGGACCTCAGTAGATTTAGGGACTCAGGTAAAGGATCCAATGTGAGAATAAGGATAAAATAATACAGAAATTCAATTCACTTGATTTTCATGACTCAGGTTTGCAAGTATCTCTGTTAAACTGCTGATCTTTGCTTTAGAAACTGAGTTTACATAAACCCAGTAAAAATCCCTCATTTGAAACCAATTCAGAATATTGAGAAGGACTGAAGGGAACCTTTTTCTTTTCTTTTCTTTTGTTATACATTGAAATTACGGAAAAGGGAAACCTTTAGTCTGTATGAACTGTAATTAGTTAGTGTAGTACAAAGTAATGTTCTGTTTTCTTTTAATAAAGTAGTCAAAAGAAGACATGTTAATAATGTTATTTTTCTAATAATTTTGGAATATAGGAACTTGCTTTATGTATTGATGAGTTAGCAGTTGCTTTCAGCATATCTTGACACTACCCTCTGTAGATAGCTGTGATTCACATTTAGGACTAAGGATTAATAGCCAAATCAATTATTAACTCTGTATTTTGGCCATCACCCCTTTCTAAACTCAAAGAGATCTTAGTTTTATAATCACAAAGAATGCATATTTTAAAATACCCATCTTTAAAAATTTAAGTTGAGTTGAAACTTAACAGAAGTGCCTATAACTTCTTTTGACTACACTAGTAGAGAAGAAATAAAAGTTCAGTTGATTGATTTTTATTTGCTTGTGTAATGCTTTATACAACGATTGAAGCAGGTATATCCGCAGTTATGAAGTTACTATTCCTGGTTCATTTTGACTATGGTGAAGGAGGGAGAATATGTTTGATCGACAATAAAAAACCTTTCATGAATCAGAGTTGCCTTGTCCCTTGCCAATTGAGAACCTTTTTTTTTTGGCCAGTCCTGGCAAAAAGCTCTTAGTGATCTGTTCCAGACTGCAAATGGCATACCATTTAAAATTTTTGATAATACAGAATTTTTTGTTCCAATTGTATTTTATTGGCTGGGAATGTGGCTTTGTGGTAGAGTGCTGGCCTAGCATTCATGAAGCCCTGGGTTCAATTCCTTAGTACCACATAAACAGAAAAGGCCAGAAGTGGCACTATGGCTCAAGTGGTAGCGTGCTATCCTTGAGCAAAAGCTTAGGGACAGTGCCCAGGCATGGAGTTCAAGCTCCAGGACTGACCAAAAAAAATCCCCCAAAACAAAAAAACAACCAATTATCTTTTATTTTTTCCTTTCTCTTTCATTAGCATGTATTAATTGTACAAAGAAGTTATAGGATGATGATGATTGTGTGTGTGTGTGTGTGTGTGTGTGTGTGTGTGCACGCGTGCTTGTTGGTCCCATGGCTTGAATTCAGGGCCTGTACACTATCACTGAGCTTTTTGTGCTCAAGGCTAGTGCTCTACTACTGAGCCATAGCTACACTTCTGGCTTTTGTTGTGTTGTTGTTGTTTTAGATAAGAATCTCAAGAATTTTCCTGCCCCAGATAGCTTTGAACCTCAATCCTCAAGTCTTAGCCTCCTGAGTAACTAGGATTACAGGTGTGAGCCACTGGTGCCTGGCTAGGATAATCAAAAGAGAAGCGTTTGGTATATTATGTAATTCCTTACAAAAAGTCACTGATGAAAGTGGCTCTTTTTCTTTTTTCTTTTCTTTTTTATCAGTTATAAGGCTTGTAGTCTGGGCCTGGGCGCTGTCCCTGAGCTATTCAGCTCAAGGCTAGCACTGTACCACTTGAGCCACAGCGCCACTTCCAGTTTTCTGATGGTTATTTGGAGATATGTCTCATGGACTTTCCTGCCCAGGCTGTCTTCAAACCATGATCCTCAGATCTTAGCCTCTTGAGTAGCTATGATTATAGGCGTGAGCCACTGGCAGCTGCCTTAAGTGGTTCTTTTTCTAAGAAAATAGAAATGTTTTATTGTAGAGAATATGAGTTTTTATTGTGACTAGAATAGGATACTTTAGATGAGGTTAACTATGATCACATTTGGTAATGTAATCTTAGGATGTGGTAGTTTTTTTTTTATTTTAATTTTTTGTGAACATACTGTACAGAGGGGTTACAATTACATGGGCAAGATAATGAGTACATTTCTTATCAAGCATTGCAGCTTCCTCCTTTGTTTATCCTTCACATCCCTTCCCAGCCTCCCCTCCACCCCCAGGATGTGGTAATTTTTTAACTAATTAAAAAAACTATTTGTAAAGTTAAATTACTGTTATTGTACTATGTTATTAAGTAGGCACCCATGAAAACTTGGTATTAAATAATTGCTTTGATAACCACAGGATGCTTTTTTGTTAGTCTCATTTACATACTAGCTACTGCTTTGTTTTTGTAGCAATAATAAACCACCCCTTTGATGTCAGTTAGCTTGAATTATTATTATATACTAGTGCCCAGTTTAAATCAGTTGTTAACTAAAAGAAGAAAAGAATGCTTATCAGAAAGGTCACCTTATACTGAAATTTATTTTAGATATTTACCTAATGATATGATGGACATCTAAAATTATTTCATCAGAAAAGTTTTGAGTCTGAAATAACTTTGGGTGTGTGTGGATTATTTGTTTTTGTTTTTTTCCAGTCTTGGGGCTTGAACTCAGGTCCTGGGCACTGTCCCTGAGCCTTTTTTGTGCTCAAGGCTAGTGCTTTACTATGAGCAACAGCACTATATCTGGCCTTTTCTAAGTAGTTTACTGGAGATAAGAGTCTCATGAACTTTTCTGCTTGGGCTAGCATCAAACTATGATCCTCAGATCTCAGCCTACTGAGTAGCTAAGATTACAGGCGTGAGCCACCAGTGCCCATCTTGGATGTATGGTTTTTAAAATACTAAAAATATTTTTAAGATGCCAGAGTATTCTGTACACAGAATGCTACAGTTTAAATGGTAGATAAATGGCAAACTTGAATCAGTTTTTAGAATAGAAAATCAAATGTATATCTAAACAGATTTATCTTTATATTCTTTGTGTTAGAATTTGATATTTTAGAATTTGATACGTTGATATTTGATATGTTAGAATTAGCAATATAAAAAATTAAGAATAATGTATCAGAGGCTTAATAGTCCACCTGTTAATGTCAAATCTTACTGATATAAGTATCTCTGGATTTTTGAGTAATTGTAGTCTCAACTCAGAGAAATAGTATATTCTTCAGTGGTACTTTCATTAAGCTGCTTTTTTTTCTTTTTTTGTCAGTCGTGGGGCTTGAGCTCTGGGCCTAGGTACTGTCCCTGAGCTCTTCAGCTCAAGGCTAGTGCTCTACCACTTTGAGCCATAGCTCCCCTCTCTGTTTCTGGTGGTTAATTGGAGATCAGAGTCTCACGGGCTTTCCTGCCAGGGCTGGCTTTGAACTGCAGTTCTCAGATTTCAGCCTCCTGATTTCAGCCAGCTTTTGTTTTGTTTTGTCTTTTCTTTTTTGGTACTAGGTATTGAACCTAGGACCTTGCACTTGCTAGGCAAGTGCTTTGTCACTGAGCTACATCCCAGCCCAAGTTGCTTTTCTTTTAATGTATATAGCTGCCTAAAGCCTAAACTTGAAAATGTTAGTGGTAACATTTTATTTGTCTCACAAAATTATCCCAAGAGGCAAATTGTTCAGAATAGTACAGGTGGAAAGTGCATTTATTTGGAACATAGTCTTCAGCTTGCTTACCAATTAATGTCAACATGTCAACATTTATGTATACAATGCCTACTGATCAAAGTGACCCACCTTCTATCAGTCTCCTTGAATTTTGTGTGTGTGTGTGTGTGCGCGTGCGCGCGCGCACGTGCGTGCAGGTAGATGGTACTGGGGTTTCATGCTTGCTAGATGAAGACTCTACTACTTGACCCATGAATCCAGTTCTTTTTCTCTCATTATTTTTGAAATTGTCTCAATTTTTTGCACTGATTAGCCTGGACCATGGTCCTTCTATTTAGACTTGCCACCACACCCAGCTTTTTCTGTTGCAGTTGGTTCTTATAAACAGTATTTTTCTTGGGATTGCCTGGAACTTGGATCCCAATCTCAGCTTCCTGCAGAGCTAAGATGACAGTTATATACTATCATGTCTGGCTTTTGATTGAGATGGGGGTCTCTTAGAATTTTTGTACAGGCTGGCCTTGAATCACAATCCTCCTGATCTTCATCTCTTATGTATTTTAGGATTATAGGTGTTACCTCCCATGCCCTGGTATAATATGTATATTATTAAGTTTTTTATGCTTTGGAAAACATCACATTAGCCTTTTATTTTTGTAATAATATGTAGAATTTCTTTATTTTACATAATTGAGACTGAACTTTTTTCTTATGTAAATACCTATAATAGAAACTGTAGGTTTTGTTGTTGGTGGTGTGTGTGTGTGTGTGTGTGTGTGTGTGTGTGTGTGTTTAAGAGAGAGCTGGTTTGAGGCTTGAACTTAAGCCCAGTGTGCTGTCCTTCAGCTTATTCATTCAAGTCTGTGATCTACCATTTGAGCCTCAGCTCTACCTACAGCTTTTTCCTGGTTTATATGAGATAAGAGTCTGCCAGGACTGGCTTCAAACCACAGTTCTCAGATCTCTTAGTCTCCTAAGGAGATGGGATTTTAGGCATTTAATCCTGGGCACCTGATAATTGTACATTTTTAATAAATATAAGAAACATAATTACTTTGAATATTTTGTCATTTTGTTTTTCAGGTCTTTTTCTTTGTGATAAAGTAGATTTTCTGAAATAGTTGGTGAAAATTCTATTGATAAAATACTATTTTCTGACTTTTTTATGTTCACCAGAAGCAAGTTTAGGAAGTTACTGAACTACTGTTAGTTATTATTACTCATACTTTCTATTAAATGCTACTCAATTTAAAGCTGCCTTATTGTGCTTGTGCTGGTTCACACCTATCTATAATCCTTATCTACTGGGAAGGATGAAATCTGAGGATTGAGAGACTTATCTCCAGTAAACCAGCAAAATACCAAACTGGAGATGTGGCTCAGTGGTAGAGCACCAACCGTGAACAAAAAAGCAAAGTAAGAGTGCAAGACCCCAAGTTTAAAGCTTTGGTTCTGACTCAAAAAAAAAAGCTACCTTATTATATTTGTCATTAGTAATGATCACTTAGGTCTTGTTAAATCTGGCATACATAGATATTTGTTACTAATTAAAAATGCACTTGAGGTTCATAAATATAGATATTCCTGGCTTTACTTAACATCTTAATATGTAGATACCATCAAGAGTTCTTTATGAAACTAATGTTAATTCTATAGAACTACAAAGAAAACATGTACACTCAGATTGTGTGTTACCATTTACAAAGCACTTTGATTTTTAACATCAGCCTTATAAAGGAGACCTTGCAAGCTTTTAAAAATCTCTGTTCAGAAAGAGAAAAATAAGACAGCTCAAGAAGCTTGCCTAAGCTTACACACGAGTAGAGTCAGTTCTGATGGCATATGTCTTTAGTCCCAATCCTGCTGAAGCAGGAGGATCACTTGAGTCTAAAAGTTCTAGGCTAGCGGGGGCAACAATGAGACCCCATCTCAATTTTTTTTTTTTTTTTTTGGTCGGTCGTGGGGCTTGAACTCTGGGCCTGGGCGCTGTCACTCAACTCTTCAGCTCAAGGCAAGTGCTCTACCACTTGAGCTACAAACCACTTTCGGTTTTCTGGTGGTTTACTGGAGATCAGAGTCTCATAGACTTTTCCTGCCAGGGCTGGCTTTGAACTGTGATCCTCAGATCTCAGCTTCCTGAGTAGCTAGGATTACAGGTGAGAGCCACCAGTGCCTGGCTCAGAAATTTTTTTCCTTTTCATGATAGTGTATCCTACATTGTATATTTATCTTACCATATAATAATAATCCTGATCAGTATTAATATAGTGATACAGTAATAATATAGTGATCAGAGACCTAAGACCAAATTCTATACTTAAAAAAAATCTTATTTATGTGTCTAGTGCTATGCTAAGTCCTGTAATAGTTAAAAGGCAGTTTATGCCTCTTGTTTCTCCCCCTCTCTCTCCCTCTCTCTTGTTCTCTCTCCCTCTCCCTCCCTCTCCCTCTCTCTCCCTCTCCCTCTCTCTCTCTCCCTCTCCCTTCCTCCCTCTCTCTCTCTCTCTCTCTCTCTCTCTCTCTTTTGATGGTCGTGGGTCTTGAACTCTGTGCCTGGGCACTGTCCCTCAACGATTCAGCTCAAAAGGAGCACTCTACCGCTTGAGCCACAGTGCCACTTTTGGTTTTCTAGTGGTTTATTGGAGATCAGAGTCTCACAGACTTTCCTGCCCGGGCTGGCTTTGAACCGTGATCTTCAGATCTCAGCCTTCTGAGTAGCTAGGATTACAGGCGTGAGCCACTGGTGCCCAGCTGGCTTGCTCTTGCTGTCTGTCTGACTTTTTCTCTTTCTTTCTTTCTTTCCCTTCCTTCCTTCTTTCCTTCCTTTCTCTCTCTCTCTCTCCTTTCTTTTTTTTTCTTTTTTTGGGTCCGGTTGTGGGGCCTGAACTCTGGGCCTGGGCGCTGTCCCTCAGCTCTTCAGCTCAAGGCTAGTGCTTTACCACTTGAGCCACAGCGCCACTTTTGGCTTTTTTCTTTTTGCTTATGTGGTGCTGACGAATCGAACCCAGGGCCTCATGCATGCAAGGCAAGCACTCTACCACTGAGTCACCTTCCCAGCCGTTTTCTTTTTTCTTTTTTTTTTTTTTTGGGGGGGGGGGGGCCGGTCGTGGGGCCTGAACTCTGGGCCTGCCCCTCAGCTCTTCAGCTCAAGGCTAGCGCTCTACCACTTGAGCCACAGCTCCACTTCCGGCTTTTTTCTTTTTGCTTATGTGGTGCTGAGGAATTGAATCCAGGGCCTCATGCATGCAATCAAGCATTTTACCACTGAGCCACCTTCCCAGCCCTCTCTCTCCTTTCTTTTTGTGCTAATTCTGGAGCTTGAACTCAGGGCCTGGACACTATCCCTGAGGTTCTTTTGCTCAAGGCTAGCACCCTTACAACCTGAGCCACAGTGCCATTTCTGGCGTTTTCTGTTTATGTGGTACTAAGGAATCGAACCAGGGCTTCATGCATGCTAGGCAAGCACTCTACTACTAAGCCCCATTCCCAGCTCTCTTGTTTCTTTTCATACATAAGTTGAGAAACTGCATATTACTGATTGTCACAAAGGTGTAGGATGTCTTTTTAACATGTTCCTCTTGGTTTTTAATGTGGAAAATTTAGTTACCTCTTACTACAGATGAAGAAAATACACAAAAACATTTTTAAAAGAATACATTTTATGACACATTTAACATTATTGTGGTAGAAAGTATTGAATGAATGTCATATTTATCCTTATATATAAAATAGGTTTATTATCTTATCCAAAAACTGTTCTTCTGGTTCAGAATTGTCCCTTTTGCCTTGTAGCAGTTAGAAGAAAAGAGTGAAGATCAAGAAGACAAGGAATGTTTGAAACAAGCAATAACAGCTTTGCTTAATGTTCAAAGTGGTATGGAAAAAATATGTTCTAAAAGTCTTGCTAAACGAAGACTGAGGTGAATATGCTCACTTTTTACATGTCTTCCTTTTCACTCTGAATATTGTGGTATAATATCAGGGATCCCAGTTCCGTACCCAAGTAAACAATGAAGAAAATAGTTTTAGTGACAAGCTTGGTCTTTCAGAGGAAGTGACATCAAAGCCAAGAGAATTTGTTATTGTTTGAAAAACCTTTCATATTTGTGCATTTTCCTTGCATACTCGCAGACAAGACCTCCTGAGAATCAACTGGTAAGCTAAAGGAGAGCTAGAGCAAAATGTATTCAGTAGATTTATGTCAGCATCATTGTTTTGTCAAAGTAAAATTAGTAGTGTCCTTTATTTTAGGGACTATGTAACTTGAGGCATTAATTCTAATAACATTGCTTCCACTTTCCTAATTATAGTATGTGCTCTATGTTTTTAGCTTTGGGTCATGTCTATTTAAACACTTCTAAATTAATTTTAATCTCTTAAATTTCTTTAACTATATTGGGCTACTTTTTAATATTGTCATTTTAAATATTTAGTAGCCAAGGTAGAAATAATCATTTTGTAGCTGAAATTATAGGATTGAATTTTGTTAGTAATTTTTGTTCTTTTTAGAGCACTGAAAAAAAATCTGTGACTTTAATTTAAAATTTTTTATAGTGGTGTTAACACTAATGTATTTGGCGAATTCATGAACACTTTATCAATGTGATTTTTTTACAGTGTAGTTTTACCTGTCTTTTATTTACATGAACTCTAGAGACTCTCCTCCGTATACTAATATGTCTTTTCCTTTATCCCAGTGAATCTGCGTGTCGTTTTTATAGTCAACAAATGAAGGGGAAACAACTAGCAATCAAGAAAATGAACGAGATTCAGAAGAATATTGATGGTTGGGAGGGAAAAGACATTGGACAGTGTTGCAATGAATTTATAATGGAAGGAACTCTTACACGTGTAGGAGCAAAACATGAGAGACACATATTTCTCTTTGATGGCTTAATGATTTGCTGTAAATCAAATCACGGGCAGCCAAGACTTCCTGGTGCTAGCAATGCAGAATATCGTCTTAAAGAAAAGTTTTTTATGCGAAAGGTACAAATTAATGATAAAGATGACACCAATGAATACAAGCATGCTTTTGAAATAATTCTAAAAGATGAAAATAGTGTTATATTTTCTGCCAAGTCAGCTGAAGAGAAAAACAATTGGATGGCAGCATTGATATCTTTACAGTATCGGAGTACACTGGAAAGGATGCTTGATGTAACAATGCTACAGGAAGAAAAGGAGGAGCAAATGAGGCTGCCTAGTGCTGATGTGTATAGATTTGCAGAGCCTGACTCTGAAGAGAATATTATATTTGAAGAGAACATGCAGCCCAAGGCTGGAATTCCAATTATCAAAGCAGGAACTGTTATTAAACTTATAGAAAGACTTACATACCATATGTATGCAGGTAAGAAATAAGAAGTGCCTGTTAATGTTGTTTTCCTGCTTTAAGCTAATTGTCTTTGCTGTCTGGCTTATTGTGTCTAAAATAGAAAAGTAACAACAAAGACTGGCTCCACTACTTTATATGTCTTAAAATTTTAAACTTTTTTTTCTACTTCGCCTTATCATCAGAGTTACAGATGAGAAAATGAGGTTCTTGGCTTAAATGTGCCACTATAAAGCAGAAACAAACAAAAATTAGTAATAAGTGATCATTAACATCTAAAAAGTATTTCTATTTCTCCACTTATTCTCTTTTCATTATTGATAATGATAAAAATAAGTACAAAAATTTTAGTATGCATCCACCACTAAAAGTGTGCTTGCTGGCTATTTAAGTTTTGAGTCTATAAACAATCCTTCAAGCCATTTTCTGGTTATTTTTTCTTAATGTATTACTGTTACTTAATAAAATAGTTATCACCTTAGCAGTTTTTAAGAGACAAACCTGTTTAAACACCTACAGATCAAATATAGTGGTTGAGAGATAAGGAGCATAAAATAATTTTAAGTAATTTTATTTTTTGTGATAAGGTAACATGATCATCTGTTTTTCAATCTTCAACTTCTCTGTGCAGTAGGAAGTCTGATAATTGTCCAGTTTCAGAGTTGTGGAGTGGAAAGAGCACTGAACTTTGATTTTGCACCTTCACTTGGCTGTGTTCTAATGTCTCACAACTAATTTTTCATCTATAAGTATTAAACATCAAACAGCTACATCTGTATCTTAGAACTAATGAAATGTTAGATGTGAAAGCTCTTTATAAATATAGATGTAAACCTGTTTTCAGAGAATGCTTTTATTAAAAAGACATTTACATGATTTCAAATCAAATGTGACTAAAAGTTATATTCTTAAATAGTTGAATGTGAAGATTAGATTCTATCACTATATTCCTTAGTTTTAAATATATTCATTCATTTATCTATTTAAGTAAAGATGAATAGAACTTAATATTTCTCCATTCGACTTAGAAAAAAAACACCAGAACTACTTCCATGGCTTGAAAGAAGGAAAATTAAAGTAGTATTTTTATCTGTTATACTACTTTATAAAAGAAAATGTTTCATATGTACATGTCACTGGGATAAATAAGCTAATGTTTAGTTTGGTTTTGGTTTTAGTTTATTTGATCTCCTACTGGTATAGATTTTTTTCTAGTTTTTCTAGAGTAACAATACTAGCTTTACAGGTAGTTTGGGTTCTTGAAGCACATATTTGGTAGTAGTAGGCCATCACTAAGGCATCTTGACTGTAGCAAAAGATAACTATTCCAGAATTCACTTTTTATTTAGTTTTTAGAAATTTCTGTATTCAGTGTGTTCATTTTGCTGATCTAAAAATTAAATAAAACGAAAGACAAACTTTGTTTTAAGAGAAGTTCCTTCTAGTAATGTCCTGAAAAATAAAATGTCAGTGTTGGTTTTAAAAGTGTTGTGACTCAGTTTTTGTTTTTTCCCTGCCTCTAGAGCTGGGGTTTGAACTCAGCCTCTTGCTTGTTAGGCAGGCGCTTTACCAAATGAGCCCCTAGCCCATGGCTCATTTTGTCAGTGTTCCTTTGAAATTTATTGGAATATTTTATGTCAAATATATTACTACTATAACTGGAATTTGCCACAAACTGTCATTTGTAGAATGTGAAAGTGTTATTATTAGTTGAGACATTCTATAAGGCTTGCTCACTGAACTTATTACTGGCAATATAGAATGTGTTTTTAATAGACCAGCTATAAACTTATGAAAACATGAAATCTATTGTTATTGTTGTTGTTATTTTGTGTCAGTACTGGGGCTTGAACTTGGAGTCTGGGTGCTGTTTTAGCTAGCACTCTACCACTTGAGTCATATCTCCACTTCCAGCTTTTTGGTGGCTTCCTGAGGAACTAGGATTGCAGATGTGAGCCACTGGTGCCTGGTCACCAATTATTTTTAAGGTCCTCTCCAGCTGAAATTGTTTTGTGTCTGATTCTGATAATAACAAATCCAGTTTCCATTGTTTTAAGAACTGGTCTACTTTTACCTTTCTTCAGCTTTAATAAACTAGGAATTTTGGCATGAGTATTTGTTTAATAAGTATTTTTATTGAAGAATATGCAGTACAGGCTATGGCTTACACTTGAAACAAAAGCTAACATTTAACTTGCGCATTTTTACTATAGAATTATAATAGAAATTGTTGTATACAATACATGGGAAAATTTAATAGCTAGTGGTGTAGGACAAGACGTAGAGGTGTTATTTAGATTATTATAGGTTGGTAAGACATTGCAAAAAAAAATCAAACGGGAGAGAAACTGGTTTAACCTTGCTTAAAGGAGAGATTAATTATGGCTTCAGCCAAATTGATTCCTCAAGGCATTAAACAATAATTTACAAAAGGAGGAGGCTGTAAATCTCTACTGCTAGGATAGACGTCCAAGCCCTCACTTTATAGAAAAAACCAAGATCCCTGAAGATTATATGATTTGCTAGAAATTTTTAGTTCCAGAAATTTGTTGAAGAAACCAGATCTCTTACTCTGTAGAGTACTTCACACCCTATTATGCTGACTCAAAGTGAATTTTTTTCATTTTAGAATATAATTTAAAAAAGTTATGTAGTGAATGATAAAAGTAAAAGGAATTACGAATGCCTAATATAAATGTGTTCATTTCATCTTTAAATAGTTAATAAAATTCAGATATTCTTGAAACAGCTGACTAGATAAACTGCCATTGTAATGCATAGATTTTAATGTGTTAGATCTCTCTCTCTAGCTTACTCAAAATGCTGGCAGTGGAGTATAATGCCTTGTGTATGCTAGATAAGCATTCTATTACTGACTTACGCTCCCAGACGTGTCATTTCATTATTGTTTTATTTTATTTCTACTTATTAAGACAGGATCTTGCTTATGTAGCAAAGGCTGGTCTCAAACTCAATGATTCTCCTGCTTCCGCTTCCCAAGTTTTAGGTATGTGCCACACACCTGGCCCATTCTATGTTTTGGTATAACACAGTCATTAGTCTATTGCTGTCATTTATTCTAAAAAAGAAAACTTAATTTTATTCTAAAAAAGTTAAATTTAGGTGAACTAAAAAATTATTTACTTGTGTAAAGGGTACAATAGATCTTTTGTGGAATTTAATTACACTGGACTTTTTGCTCCAGTGTTTCTGAACTATATTCACTGAGTATATCAGAGCTTTGGGATTTATTCCCAAATGCTAGGGGTAGGGTGGGGTGGAGAATTACCCAGTTGGGTTATTCTAAATCTGGCAGTAATATGAAGAGACTATTTCCTTACTTTGAATGAGCAATCACAAAGCAGTGTGCCCAAGGAAAGGTATTGGGAATAGGAAGTTTATTTCATAAAGTTATTGTAGGCAGTAATATACAAGTTCATTATTGAAACCTGACAATGTAAGTAGAAAAATGCTTGCTGGTGTATCCAGTTCTATTTTAGAGAAATGAGATGTCTCTTTGGTAAAGATAATAGATTCCAGAACTGACATTATTTGGAAATGGAAACTTTTATATGAAATTTGAGGAAAGAGAGCTTCCTTTGCATAGCAAACTTCTCCTTTATCAAAGATGGAATTGAAGAAAACTTAAACTAGAATATATTTTTAAAGTATTCAAAAAATCCTTTACAGTATTTTAAGACTTCTGTTTCATGCACTCACATATAAAATATTAAATCCACAATAATTTATTTTGAATGTGTGTCTTAGTTCTGTTTAGGCACTTAACTTTTAAAAATCTTTTGAACAGTTTTTGATCCATAGGGCAGTGCTGCTCTATTTTTAAACTCTGATTTTTTTTTTAAGTGTTTGTGCGTCAGCATAGCGTCTGTTTCCTTTTTTAAGGAATTCAAGAGTGATTGTTTGTAAGTCCTTGCTGGGGAGTGTATTGTTTCTTGCAGCTTTTAAACAGCTATATTAAAGGGAGTATTATCACATAAGCAGACATCCTGATTAACTACTGGGGAGGGGGGAATTATTCATTATCAGTCTCATCAATCTTGCCATATAAAATGTCAAGTACTAATCAAAATGGGGACACAAGGATTAACTTTATCACCTCACCATTAAACATTCTAAACATGAATGTAGATATATCTGAATTCCTAGAATTTTGGAATAATTCTGCAGTAAAATAACAAAGGTTTTATAATGAAGGAGACAGAGGCAACTATAGAAAGCCAGCAGAAAAACAATAACTACATCTTCTGTTTGAAACAGCCTGGCTCTATCCAGGCTTAGGGCTAGCAGGTATTTGTATAGAGAGTGGGGAGAGAAGCAGAGAAGCTAGTGGCCATGTTGAAATCTTAGTTCGGGGGGAGAGAATTCAAAAAGAAGAGTCATGTTGCCTATGTTGAAGCAGAAAAAGACTGCAGGGAAAGTTTTTGTTGTCGATAATATAGAAGTCCATTAGAGGATCATATTTAAGGAAGAAGTTTGCAAGTAACCTTTGTGAACAGTTGATAAACAGGGAACATCTAAGATTTTTTTTATTTTCTTTATGACTATTTATGTTTGTGTTTTGAAGACAAACTTGGACTTTTTTTTTATGTATCTGCCTTCAATTTCTGAAACGTCATGTTAGAATAAAGGTAGATGATGGTTGTCCACAGCCAAACAAGTATTTCTAAGCTTTTATCACTCCCTGTTAAAGTAGGTACTCAGGTTTTTTTGGTGGGGGGGGGAGGGAGGGGATTACTGGAGTTTGAACACAGGCATTCAGGCTTGCTAGGCTGGTGCTCTACGACTTGAGCCATGCCTACTCTTTTGCAGGACAAGCAACTTTCCTGCCTAAGCTGTCCTCAAACCATGATCCTCCAGATCTCAGCCTCCAGAGTAGCTAGAATTAGACATGAACCACAAATTTTCTTACAAGATCACATACCCTGTCCTTATTGATGGGTATTTTTTAGTATCAAATTACTAAGCTTTTTACATCATCAGTGAGGTAAAGATTTCCAGTGGTTAATATGGCATGGTATATGTTGCAGTCACTGAAGTGAAAAAATCAATGTAGTAGAAGCAAAAATAGCTTCTGGGGTAAATGGGCTTTTCTGTACAAAATTTCAGATATAACTATGTTCTCTCAATGTTAAATTATTTAATTCCTTGGTTTTTTTTTTCTTTAGGTTCAAAAAGAATATAGCCCGAGATATATGTAGCCTAGTTTCTTGCCTTATTTTCCCCCTTTTGGCAAGTCTGCTCTTCCAGCAAAGCTAAAAATAGCTTAAACTTGAGTCATTTTTAGACCCTGCTACACCAGTGATGCTTGTGGGAGTGTTGTTTCATGGCCAGAAGCTCTCTTTAGAATACAGTATACAGGAAGGTACAGCTGCTGCTTCCCAAAATCTGGAAGAAAACTTACCAAGACTACAAAATCACAATGTGATTGCTCATTTCTTAGTAGCTTCTGGTGCCTTTAACGAAGATTAGCAATTAGAGCTGCATTTGAACTAATCTATAGTGATTATATAGCTCATGCATAAATTGTGCATATTTAGATCTCACAGCTGGGGAAATCTTTAGCCCTCCCGCTTTTATGGTGCTGGGCCCAGGTCCAACCCCAGAGCCTTACATGTAGGAAATATTCTATTTGCTACGGGCCCAGCTCCTAAGGAACTCTTTAACCCAGGGAGGTGACATGTCACAGTAGAAAAGAGCACCAAGCACTAAGTCAAGAATCCTTTCAGCTCTGCCACTGCCCTGTGTGGCATTAGATATGTTAGTTCTTTTTCACCTGCTTCTCTCATCTCACAGATCCTGTGAATAAGTCAGGTGAAAGCTCTTGGGGACATTAGATAGCAGCCACCAGGGGCTGACGTGGCACTGAGGCATTCCTGTCTTTCCCAGCGTCATCAGCAGTTACTAAAGTGCTGAAGTGGCTTACGAAGATGAAAAGTCCAGTTTTCTTAAGACATACGTTTTGCTTTTATTCATTTTCAACTTCAAGGTACCTTTGATAGCCCACAACATTTTAGCCTGACTTTAGATAGCATTTGAGAAGAGATAGTTCTAGATGTTGTTTTTTAATCTTCCAACTGAAATACACTCTCCTTCATAGGAGGGGATGAGCGTACCCTAAATGTGGAGTGTAGATCGGGGATGCTCGGAGACCTCTGTACTGAGTGCAGGGGCTCTCTCTACAGTGACAGCTGAGGGTCCCTATGTTGCCACTGCTGTTGCTTCCTAAACACATGCTGTTTTGAGTGGCCTCACCTTACAAATAGATCTGCAGAACAGGAAGAAGATTCTTGAAAGGGAAGATTGTGATGAACGATAAAAATCTCTGTTTTAAAATCTTGTACAGCCTTCTGTTTTAAAATCTGTTCTTCTGGTTGAGACATTAGTCTTTAATTGAGGAACTCTGGAACTGAAGACAAACAATAAAATACCAACAGAAAGGAAATTATTAAGGAATTATATGTATTTAAATTGCTTTTATTCAGTAACCCACTCAAGGCTCAGAGGTATAAAACTAGAGGAAAATGGAACATTTAAAAGCTACTATATTCTTTTAAGCCAAGTGTGGTGGTACACATCTGTAATTCTACCATATGGGAGGCTGATGCAGGAGGATTTCAAGTTGAGGCCAGCCTAGGCTACAATAATATATATTTATTAGGCAAATTTTTCTTTAACTTGAAAAATCACTGTAGTTTTACACTTAACTTGTCTCTTAAATTGATTCATTGTCTTGACCACCACATGTTGATTAGATATAGATTTCTGCTTCATAATAAATCCATGAATTTGCCTTTTTACTCTTGGGGGTAAAAGTATGTTACAATATTTTAAGGGAAAAATTAGAGTGCTTCTTAATCAGGTAGAGTCAAACAGAAAATTTCAAAATACATTCTGATTTTACTAAATCATGTGCCAAGGAAAGATATGTACTTCTTAGCAAACTTTTAATCCACAGTGTCTGTATAGCTTGACAAAAATAAAGGCATTTTCTCCCCTTAAGGAAAGTACCATTTGAGTCAACAGTCCCTACTGTAAGTAGGAGAGTGTTCCCACAAACAATTCAAGTTAACGAACTTTTGCCTCCTTTTTTTTTTTGGTCAGTCATGGGGCTTGAACTTGGCCTGAGTGCTGTCCTTCAGCTCTTCAGCTCAAGGTTAGCACTCTGCCACATGAGCCATAGCGCCACTTCCGGTTTTCTAGTGGTTAATTGGAGATAAGATCTCATGGACTTTCCTGCCTGGGCTGGCTTTGCACCATGATCCTCAGATCTCAGCCTCCTGAGTAGCTAGGATTACAGGCGTGAGCCACCAGCGTCCGGCTTGCCTCCTTTTGTAAAAGCCTCTTAGTGCTATTTTTAGACCTTGGTGAAACTGAATTATAAAAGGGAATGACTATTTTTTTCCAGTAGGGGAAGATGTTTTTCCCCTGGTTATGCAGAAGGCCATCTCCTATGCTCACGACAGCAGCCTTTCTCCACAACTTTGGAGAATACTGTCAAGGAGAGATGGGAGTAGGCCAGGCCTGTAGAAGTGATCTCACTCAATGAGCCTCCTGTTTTACTTCATGGAGGTATGAATGAAAAGTAGGTCCTTTCATGGAAAGAGTTGGAGACTCCTGCTTTTATGGTTGAATTCTCATTGTTACTACTTGAAAAACAAAAACAGGAATTAATATTTGGGAGCAGGACCAAAACAACAATTTTGTATAATTCTGATCCAGTTGGTAATTCTAATAGCTTACAGAATCTTTGTAAGCATGTTTTAGCAGTTATAAATAAGGCCTCTGGCAATTAAAAGTTTAGAAACAGTTTGTAACTTGATCAACTAGTTTCAGATCCAGTTTCAAGTGGTATGCTCTATAACATGACTAAAGAAATGAAGATGGTTAATCCTCCCATGCAGATGTCAGGATATGCATTGGCTATGCTGTTGCCTTTTTTTTGACTAGGGATATTAACTAGCTGGTGATGCTCTGAGATCCAGGTCCCAGATGTGAACCGGGTTCAGTACTCAACCTTTGCTTTTGTTTGTGCATTCCTGTAGCCAATGATGAATTTAAGATTGGGTCTTAGAGAATGCAGAATGCAAAAAATAGGTGATGTAAAATTTTAATATCAATATTTTTACCACTGATTTAGGAAACACTAAAACCAACAGTAGTACATTACAAAGTACAAAGTTTCCTACATGTTAAAGTAATAAAGACTTTTGAAATTGATTGAAATGTTGATAAAGTTTTAACCAATCAGATTTAAAGACTAATATATCTTTCCTTTTTCTCCTTAGATCCCAATTTTGTTCGGACATTTCTTACAACATACCGATCCTTTTGTAAACCTCAAGAATTATTGAGTCTTGTAATAGAAAGGTATGTCTTTTTTTTTCTTGGACAGTCCTAAGGCTTGAACTCAGGGCCTAGGCACTGTCCCTGAGCTTCTTTTTGCTCAAGGCTAGCACTCTACACTTGAGCAGCAGCACCACTTCCCAGCTTTTTCTGTTTAAGTGGTGCTTAGGAATCGAACCCAGGGCTTTGTGCACGCTAGGCAAGCATTCTACCTACCACTAAGCCACATTCCCAGCCCTAGGTATGTCAATTTTTTAATGTTTTAAGGTTTTTATTTTTAAAAAGAGATTAGTCATAGAACATTGGTTACCCTTGAAAATTATGTCCGCTGATTTAGAGTTATTCTACAAACCAGAAATGAACATCAGTCCCATACTTTTACAAGTTGTATTTATTTTTAGATTTTTACATGTATTTTTATGTTTCTAGTTAAGTTTTATCTATCTTGGCAAGCGTTAACTTCTTTTTTCAAATATTGTCAATAGCTTTTGTATTACAGAAGCCTCAGTGGTTTCTCTGGTGTATGTAGCCTCAGTAATTATTTTGCTATATTCTCTTGACTATGCTAACAAGTGAAAAAGTATGTGGATTTTTATTTACAATTAATATTTTCATTAATTTTTTTCCCTTAGGTTTGAAATTCCAGAGCCTGAGCCAACAGAAGCCGATCGGATGGCTATAGAGAATGGAGATCAACCCCTGAGTGCAGAACTAAAAAGGTTTAGAAAAGAATATATACAGCCTGTGCAACTGCGGTAAGTCTTAAATAATAACTGAAGTAAACAAATGTTTATCAAATTTCAGCTTCAAAGTTGAAATATATAAGGACCTTTCCCAAGCAAAAAGATAACAAGTAAAAGGACTGAGTTAAAGAAGAGATGTCTTAAATTATCGTATTCATATTAATTAGAGTTTTGAAAGATTATTTTGACAAAAATAACTATTTATACCAAGTTTGGGTTCCCTTGTGATTCAATTCTTTGTTAATGCCATAGGGTGTTAAATGTTTGCCGGCACTGGGTAGAGCACCACTTTTATGATTTTGAAAGAGATGCAGATCTTTTGCAACGTATGGAGGACTTTATTGGAACAGTAAAAGGTATGTTTCTCATAAATGCCTAGTTTTATATATGATAAAAGCACCAATATGGTGCTTATCAGTTTATAGCATCATAGATTTGAGTGCTAAGGAATATTTATGATGGTATATGCCTTTAGGCAAAGTCACTTGGATTCTTTCGACTGTACTTTTCTATCCAAAAGATGAAGAGCTAGGTTTGATAATGTCCAAGGTTTCCCTTCTAATTTAAAACATTCTACAAGTGTCTGATTCCCAAGACATTCTAGTCAATCTTTTTACTTCTGTTGTATACTCTAAGTGAAAATCAGAAAAGTTTAAAATATTCTTATTTATATAGTAAAAATACATCCACATCAAAACTCAGGCTGATATGAGGGAATCAGTCTTCTGATACTGTTTGGTTTATAAAATTCATGTTAATTAGATTAATGTTGAATTATATAGTTCTTAATCTTTGAATTTGTGGAAAATAAAACTTTTTTGTGTTGTTTTTTTGTCGGTTGTGGGGCTTGAACTCTGGGCTTGGGTGCTATCCCTCAGCTCTTCAGCTCAAGGCCAGCTTTCTACTGCTTGAGCCACAGTGCCACTTCCAGTTTTCTAGTGGGTTATTGGAGATAAGACTCTCCCAGACGTCGGAGGCCGGGTGGGCGCTGTGGCTCATGCTTGTAATCCTACCTACTCAGGAGGCTGAGATTTGAGGATCTTTTTTGAGGTTCAAAGCCAGCTTGGACAGGAAAGTCCGTGAGACTCTTATCTCCAATAAACCACCAGAAAACCGGAAGTGGCGCTGTGGCTCAAGTGGTAGAGTGCTAGCCTTGAGCTGAAGAGCTGGAGGACAGCGCCCAGGCAAGCAAAAAAGAGTCTCACGGACTTTGCTGCCTGGGCTGGCTTTGAACCATGATCCTCAGATCTCAGCCTTGTGAGTAGCTAGGATTACAGGTGTGAGCCACCAGCGCCCAGCTGAAAATAAAACCTTTAGGGGAGGATTAAGATAATGTTTAGAACTAAAGTTCAAAACAATTTATGTTTCTAGTTTTATTTAGAAAGGATCTAGAAGATAGTAACATACTAAATTATTAGCAGTGGTTGCAGGAAGATGAGAGGAGACATGAAATGGGAAAGGGGAACTTTCAGTTTTTATTTGGGTCATTTGAACTTTATAGCAGCTATAGAGTCAGATATCACATGTGATTTTAATTATTTTTAAAATAAAATATTAACTAGAGAATTTTTAAGTGTTTTAAAAATGTATTTCAGGTAAAGCAATGAAAAAATGGGTTGAATCCATCACTAAGATAATCCAAAGGAAAAAAATTGCAAGAGACAACGGACCGGGTCATAATATTACATTTCAGAGTTCACCTCCCACTGTTGAGTGGCACATAAGCAGACCTGGGCACACAGAGACTTTTGACTTACTCACTTTACACCCAATAGAAATCGCCCGTCAACTCACTTTACTTGAATCAGATCTATATAGGTATGTAATTTGACAGTCAAGTTGAAAGTTTCTGCGTCCTATAGAGTTCTCATAAGATGTTAAGGAGATGGCATATGAACTATTTAGTAGCAATAAGGTTTGTGAAGCAGTTCTGCTTTTACTCCTTTAGTCTCTTTTGTTCTCCTTGAATTTATGCTGTCCTTTTTTGCAAGCGTCCTTAGTGAAGCTAGGCTCAAATCCTGGCTTTACCAGTTACTGGCAACCTTAACCTCCTTTGTAACTTTTCCTGTTTCTTAGAAGCTTCCTGAAGACTAAGTGAGGCTAAAGATCATACTGACTTCTGAGGCTCTTTTGAGATTTAAAATAGTTGATATGTGTATGGCTTATTAGCACATAGTACAAGTTCAATAATTGTTCGTTACTGCCATAACAAATTTAAGCCATGACTATGTACTATTGTACATCAGTGTAGCTACTGACTCAAGAGTATGCTTCTAGTTCTAAATTCTACTTAGTATCTCAAACTAAATTATTTTTAATAACTAAATGAGGAAAAAAGCAAAATGTATAGCCCTCCTTCCACAAAATACCATTATATTCCCCCAAAATTTTATTATTTTATTACCAGGACTCTGTGTTCTTGCGGGGGTTTTTTGTGTGTGTGTTTTGGGGTTTTGTTCTGAGGTATTGAGGTTTGAACTAGGACCTTATGTTTGCTAGGCATTTACCACTTAAGCCATGCCTCTAGCCATTTTTGATTTTGTTGTTTTCCAAATAGGATCTTACTTTCTGCCCGTGCCACCCTGGATTGTGATCCTCCTATTTATGCCTCCAATGTAGCTGGTATACTACCAGTCCCAGCTTTTTTTGGTGATACGGGGTTTTTGGCACTTTTTGCTTGAACTGGCCTTTAACTGCAATCCTTGGTCTCAGTTTTCTGAGTAGCTAACATTACAGTTTTAAGCCTCTGTGTCAGCTTGTAGTGGACTTTTTTTTTTTCTCCATTAGACAAAAAGAAAAGAGAATGATGATTTTAGTGATCATTGTACCCTCTTTGGAGTAACTATTAGATATTGAATATATATATAATGTGTTAGGAAAAATGTAGAAATCTGAACTTTTTATAAAAGCTATAGAAAAAGATACATAATTATAATTTTGTGTACTATATTTTCATAAGCCTTTCAGTTGGTGAAAGAGGAAAATTTGTGATGAGTTTAGTTTTTATTTGTCTCACTTATATAATAAAGCATTATATTAGAGGGGAAAGTATGTTGTAACATTTTCTGTTGATTTTAGAGCTGTGCAGCCATCAGAATTAGTTGGAAGTGTATGGACAAAAGAAGACAAAGAAATTAATTCTCCTAACCTTCTGAAAATGATCCGACACACCACTAATCTCACTCTCTGGTTTGAAAAGTAAGTATTCTTGACATATGTATATTTATATCAATCATTTATGTTAAGAATTGTGGCACAACTTTCTTTCTAGGTACTATGTGTCTCTTTGTCCTTCCTTGTACATTGAATGGCTATTTTTTCTAATTAAAGTTTTTTTAAATTATATTTAAGACTCCCCCACTTTTCTTTTCTTTCTGGTGCTAGGGTCTTGGGGGCATGCAAGGCTTTACCAGTGAGCTGTACCCCAGACTTACCATCTACATCTTATCAGAATAAACTTCATATTTATAGTAGTTTAATTCCAGTGATATATAGAAATATCGTTCATATATGTGTATATTGTCTCACTACCTCCCTTCTGTTTGCTTCTGAAGTTTGAACTAAGGACTAAATGCTTGTTAGGCAGGCATTCTATTTTTGAGCTCTACCTTCCATCATACGCCTCCCTCCTTTTTTTGTGTGCCAGTTCTGGAGCTTGAATTCAAGGCTTGGGTGATGTCCCTGAGCTGTTTTCACTCAAAGCTAGTGCTCTACCACCTGAGCTACAGCTCCAGCTTTGATTTTTTTTGGTGGTTAATTGCAGATAAGAGTCTCACAGACATTGTTGCATGGGCTGGCTTCAAACTGCAGTCCAGAGATCTTAGCCTCCTAAGTAGCTAGGATTACGTGAGCCATTGACACCTAGCTCTATCCTTTTCTTTCTTTCTTTTCTTTTCTTTTTTTTTTGTTAGTCATGGGGCTTGAACTCTGGGCCTGGGTGCTGTCCCTTCAGCTCAAGGCTAGTGCTCTACTACTTGAGCCACAGTGCCACTTCTGGCCTTTTCTGTTTATGTGGTGCTGAGGAATCAAACCCAGGGCCTCATGTATGTGAGGCAAGTGCTCCACGGCTGAGCTACCTTCCCAGCCCCTCCATCCCTTTTTTGAGTGATGATTTTTGAGATGGGGGAGGGTCCCTGCTTCCTGCCAAAAGTGGGATGGTAAGTGTACCACCTCAGCTTCTATTAGGATGGAGTCGTGCAACCATTTCTGCTTGGGGTTGGCCTAGAACCTCCATCCTCCTATCTCAGTCTCCCACAAAGCTGCGGTGGCAGCATGTACCACCAGCTATTGGTTGAAAAGGGGTCCTGCCTGGACCTTACAAGGCAATCCTTTCCATCTCAGATCTCAGCCTTTACAGTAGCTTTGATTATATACATGAGTTGGCACCCAGCTCTTTTTTCTCTTCGTGGTACTGCAATAAACCTATTCATTGTTTTATACAGTTGCTTTGTAAATAAGATAAGAAATGAAAAGGAAATGCAGTTATAGTATCTTTTATAATTACACAATTTTATAATTACACAATATTTGTTTTATAATTACACACTGGATACTTTTTTTGTGGATTCTAATTACTACCTAGAGTTACTTGTTTTCACCCAGAAGAGAACTTCCTTTAGTCTCTTTTATCCAGAGAGTTAACTAGCAACCAATTCTTTATTTTTGTTTATCTGAGAAAAATCTTTCACCTTCATTTGTGGACAATAGCTTTATAATTTTTCTTCTGTTAGCACAGATCTATTCTTGAGCCCTCTCTAGTTCTTAGTTTCAGTCAAGACATCAAATTTGATGTCTTAAAATAACTTCTGTTGCTTTAATGATATTCTTTCTCTGTTTCTCTCTGTCTGTCTCTCTTTTTGTGACAGATCTAGGCCTTGAACTCAGGTCCTGGGTGCTGTCCCTGAGCTTCTTTTGCTCATTCTACCACTTGAGCCACAGTGCCACTTTTGGTTTTTACTATTTAGATGTTACTCAGAAATCAAACCCAGGGCTTCATGCATGCTAGGCAAGCACTCTACCAATAAGCCACATTCTTAGCCCATAATTTTATTTTTGAACATAGCATATTTTTAAATTTTTCTGGGAGATAAATAATATATAGTAAAATAGCTACTATATAGAACATATACTATAAGATATTTTATTAATAGCATAAAATATAATATGTAATAATATATTTCATATAGTTTCCAAGGATTATCAGTATGTAAATATAAAATGCTTTGTTTTCATTATTGTTCATTCATTTTTTTCTTTTTAGGTAATATTTATATTTTTCTCATTTTTATTTATTTTGTGTTTTTAATACTGGGAATTAAAACCAAGGCCTCTCATGCATGCAAGCCAGCTATTCTATTTCTTTTTTTTTTTTTTTTAATTTTTTATTTTTTCTCTATTTCTAACTGTGGTGAAAACAGAAGTCAGTTGGGCTGGGAAGGTGGCTCAGTGGTAGAGCACTTGCCTCGCATGCATGAGGCCCTGGGTTCAATTCCTCAGCACCACATAAGCAAACAGAAAAAAGCCAGAAGTGGTGCTGTGGCTCAAGTGGTAGAGCTCTAGCCTTGAGCTGAAGAGCTGAGGGACAGCACCCAGACCCAGAGTTCAGGCCCCACGACCGGACCCCCCCCCCCAAAAAAAAAAGAAGTCAGTTAACTAACTTCTGTCCATCCATCACTCTAACTGTATGTTCCCAGTAGGTATATGATAGCTACTCCTCCTACCCTAGATTGTTATACTTACTAAAATTTTTTAACCATTACTTTATTGAGAGCCTCAAATTTTTAATTCTTTCTGTTTTAATTCCTAGATGTATTGTAGAAACTGAAAATTTAGAAGAAAGAGTAGCAGTAGTGAGTCGAATAATTGAGATTCTCCAAGTCTTTCAAGAGCTGAATAACTTCAACGGTGTCCTTGAAGTTGTGAGTGCTATGAATTCCTCACCTGTTTACAGACTAGACCACACATTTGAGGTAGGTGTATACATGGGTTTTAAAAATGAGTTCCCATTGTATATTACAAATTAGCATCTTAATCGTTGTGACCTTTAATTTTAAAATGACTTATCTGCCTTTTTGGTGCATTTTAGAAGATGGAATTATCTGTATTTTGTTATGAATTGGTTACTCTTTTAAAATTAGATATTCTCGTTAAAATGTATTCATAGGTCCTGGCTTTTTAGAAGAAAAATGCCCAGCACTTAATTAATAATGTTATAAAAATGTTCAGTAAAACGATCACATAATTACGTGTCTCACATACATGTTGGTGGTGGGTTTTTTTTTTAATATTTTTACATTCTTCAAGTCAAACTAATGTTTTATGTTTGGACTTTAATGATTAATCAAGCTTATTTTAGCAAGATCTGTAATTCCTTTGTGAACTTAGGCCTCCGAAAGTTATTTTTTTTCTTCTTATAGCAAATACCAAGTCGGCAAAAGAAAATTTTAGAAGAAGCTCATGAATTGAGTGAAGATCATTATAAGAAATATTTAGCAAAACTCAGGTCTATTAACCCACCATGTGTGCCTTTCTTTGGTAAGTATTTCTTCCTGGAATTTTATTCTGCTTCTGGATAAAAGATGGCACTTTATTTTATTAACTGAGCTTATAGACAGACATATGTAATATACTAGCAGACAATAGTTATTTAATAAATATTTAGTGTCCGAATCCCCTCAGAGATTTTCTCTACTAGGACTTACAAGATCAAGCCTAGTACAAGCCCAAGTTGAGCATCCCAACTTGAAAATCAGTATTTTACAAAATCTGAAGCTTTTTAAAATGCTATTCTGAGTGGAAAATTCCACCTCTCTTAGATTAAGGATTATAGTCAGAGAGCAAGCCCTCCAAATGGAGGATTGGGAGGTCAATGCCAGTCTGGGCTACATATCTCTATGTTTGACTGTTTTAAAACAAACAATCTTTAGGCTACGTGTTTATGATTTATATAATAGATAAGTTTCATTTTTAGACATAGGTCCATGCTCAAGATAGCTCATTATATACAAATATTCCAAATCCAATAAATTAAAAGCACATTTTCCTTCCCTGCTTTTTCTTTTTGGTGGTATTGGGCCAAAAAACTCATGGCCTTGTGTTTGCCAGGGAGGGTCTCTACTAATTGAGCCATACCTCCAGCCTATAACCCTTCTAACCCTAATTATTTCACATAAGGGGTATTCAGCCTGTATATACATAGTACTTTCTTTTTACATTTTTGGTAATGATTAGATATTATAGAATACTTAATTATATTTTTATATTTCTAGAGATATTTTTAGTTTTGATAAACAATAGAAGACAGCTCAATATTTATAGTTAATCATAGTATAAGTAGGGTACCAGTGGCTCACACCTTAACCCTAGCTACTCAGGAGGTGAGATCTGAGGGTCAAGGTTCAAAGCAAGCTTGGGCAAGAACATATGTGAGATTCTTATTGCCAATTAACTACCAGAAAACTGGAAGTGGCACTATGAATCAAGTGGTAGAGTGCTAGCCTTGAGTTGAAGAGTTCAGGGACAGTTCCCAGACCCAGAGTTCAAGCCTCACAACCTACCTCCCCCCCAACACACACACATACACACACACACACACACAAAATCATAGTATAGCTGGGCTCTGGTGGCTTATGCCTGTAATCCTAATCCTAGCTATTCAGCAGGGTGAGTCAATGAGACTCTCATCTCCAATTAACCACCATAAGAGTGGAAGTGGAGCTGTGGTTCAAAGTGGTAGCGCACTGGCCTTAAGAAAAAAGAGCTCAGGGCTGGGAAGGTGGCTCAGTGGTAGAGCGCTTGCCTTGCATGCATGAGGCCCTGGGTTCGATTCCTCAGCACCACATAAGCAAAAAGAAAAAAGCCGGAAGTGGCGCTATGGCTCAAGTGGTAGAGCGCTAGCTTGAGCTGAAGAGCTGAGGGACAGTGCCCAGGCCCAGAGTTCAGGCTCCATGACCGGACCCAAAAAAAAAAGAAAAAGAAAAAAGAGCCCAGAGACAGTACCCAGGCCCTGATTCAAGCCCCACAACCAGCCAAAAAAACAATTATGGTGTATATGCCTTTGGGTTCACACCTTCAGCATATCAGAATTTCATTCTCTTCACCCACTTTTCCTCTCCTTTTTGCATCAGAGAAAGAATGCACTTTTATTCCCTTTCAGTAGATTCCTTTATCTTCCTTGTATTTACTTGTATTTCATTTCTTCACTGTCTCACTCTGGCTTCTTTCTCTGCCTGTGTGTATGCTCAATGAGCTTTTCTCTGAATACTTAACAGAAACTGATCACAATCTTGTACTTAATCTTTTTAGTATTTGGCAGATTTTCTTCTAGTCTTTAACTTGTCTGTTTTTTCTACATGGTTTTAAGTCCTGATATTTTCTTCAATTAACATATTGTATCTTTCTGTATTTTATTGTCTAAGACATAACTAACTACAACCACTTCTGTATTTCTTATTTTTTTAATTTATTTTTACTTATCTTAAATTTTTTCTTGTGTGTGTTAGTCCTGGGACTTGAACTCAGGGCCTGGGCACTCTTCCTAAGCTCTTTTGCTCACTCAAAGCTGGCAATCTTCCACTTGAACCATAGCTCTGCTTCTAGCTTTTTTGGTGGATAATTGGAGGTAAGTCTCATAGATTTTTCCTGCCTGGGCAGGCTTTGAACTTTGATCCTCAGATCAGTAGCTAAGATTATAGGCATGATCCACTGGCACCTGGCTTAAACTCCTATTACTTATTTTCAAGTTGCTTTCTGAAAGGTTTATGTTCACTTACAGGGCCATCAAAAGTATATGCCAAATGTATAGCATCCCATTATTTCCAATTTTAGGTAGTTTTACATTTTTTCTTAGACTAAAAAAAAACACCTAGCCTATTTCCTATTTGTTGTCATTTATAGTCTGTGGGTATTTTTTCATCCATTTGGCTTTGATAATTATATTCCATCCTATCTGTGCTCTTTTTCACATCTGCTGTAGATATTCTTACCATGTCTTTTAGTTTTTATTAGTCGACACATATTAGTTATGAATTCTATAATCTGCCTGTCTTCTCCATTGTTTCTATATTTTGATTACTCTAATAATTTAATACTGAATCATTATCTTCTAGTGTTTTTGATTTAACTTTCATATTATATTCAACTCTTACCAAAATGACATTTCTTTTAGGTGTCATATGAGATACTCAAATTTGTTTTTCCATCTATTTTGTTATTCGTTGAGCAGGTACATTGACAAGTTCTTATTTTCCCCATTTATATATATCACTTCTTCAGTACATTGATTCTATTGTCTCCCCTCACTGATTTCTTATACTAGTGCCACAATTTTAATGCCACTTTATAATTCTGATTTTCAAACAGAATTGTCTACCAGGGAACATTTAACAGGTAATAGCTTTTATTATCCTAACTGGTATGATGCTACAGGTATATAGTGAGTAGAAGACAGTAATGTTGATGACATCCTACAATGTATAGGTCCTCCTAATTCCTCCCCTATTTAAAAAAAATGTCTAGTCCAAAAGGTCAGTAGTGCCAAGGCAGAGAAATATTGCTTTATAGTACTCTCATAATTTGGGGAGACAGGTGAAGAAAATGTCCCCTCCCCACCCATACAGTTCATTTGGTATGAGCACTATGATATTTAGTATTTCTCCTTATAATTTTTCTGGGTACTTTTGGGATGGTATTCATTTAGTCAATCTTAATTTTATTAAGAATTCTTTAATGTCCTTAAATCTCCTAAATATTTAATATTTAGTGTCTCTTTTATCTTGAGTTATATCTCATAGAATTGATCACTGACTTCCCAAAGGTTAAAAAATGGACTAAGTACAGTATTTTGTGCCTATACTCCTAGCTGCTCAGGAGGTAGAGATGGGAAGGATTATAGTTTGAGGTCAGCCTCAGCAAAAACTTCGAGAGGCTCCATCTTAGCCGTGAAAAGCTGAGCCTGTTGATACACACATGTCATCTACACAGGAAGCATAAATAGGAGAATCACCACCCTGGCCAACCCAGCATAATTTGAGACTTTGTTAAAAAAATAATAATAACAAAAAGAGATTACAGTGTGGCTCAAGTGGTAGAGTGTTTGCCTAGCAAAGAGCAAGGACCTGAGTTCAAACCCCAGTACCACTAAAGAAAAAGAAGAAAGAATTGTTAAGAATAAGGATTGTTAGCCTTGAGCAAAAGAGCTCAGCCAGCACCCAGTCCCTGAGTTCAAGCCCCATGGCCAACCAAAAAAAAAAAGAATAAACAGTTTGATTTTTAGGGCTGAAGGGAGGATATAGCTCAGTGGTAGAGTGCTTGCTTGGTATGCCTCAGGCCCTGTGTTTTATACCCAGCAACACACAAACACATACATGCACGCACATGCACACACTCACACTTGCAAATGTAGCTTTAGCAGATAAAGCTATAAATTTGTTATTTGCTTGATTAAATTTTTTTTCTTGCTACAGAATTAATTGATTTCATTATTTAAAAATACTAACAGTTATATCTACAAAAATGTTATTGTTTTGGTTCGGTTTGGTTTGGTTCTAACCTTTGAACTCAGGGCTTGAGCGCTGTCCCTGAGCTTCTTTTGCTCAAGGCTAACACTCTACCACGTGAGCTACACTTCTACTTCCAGCTTTTTGGTGGGTCATTGGAGATAAGCATCTCATAGACTTTGATGTCCAAGTTGGCTTTGAACTCAGATTTCAGCCTCCTGAGTAGCTAGGATTACAGCTGTGAGCCACTGGCACTTGACTTCTGACGTGATTTTGTTTTTCATTATAAAAGTGATATACAGTGGGGTTACAGCTACATAAGTAAAGAGTACTTTTTTTGTATAATGTCATACTTTCCCTTGCTCCATTTTTCCCTCCTACCCACCCAGAAATTGTATAGTTCATTTTCAACACGGTGTCCAGTTAGCACCATTGCTACATTTGTTCACCCTTTGTCCTTCCACTTCCTGTGCCTTTCCTTCTGACTGATTTTTTAATGTATTTTTTAATGTCACTTTTAAGTTGTTTCCTACTGTTTTCCTCTTCCTCCCCTCCCCCTCTCTTTCTCTTTGTCTTTCTTTTTTTTCTGTCTTTGTGCCCAGCCCAGGCTAGCTTCAAAGTTGAGATTCTCCTACCTCAGCCTCTTAGGTGCTAGGATTATAGGCACTTACCACCACAATGAGTTCATTTCTTTTTCTGCTAAAAGTTACATTTAGTAAATTTGACTAAATACCTATTAGTCTTCAGAGTAGTTACTAATGCCCATTCATACAAAAGATCTGAGAAGGGTTCCAGTGGGGAAGGAGTTGCATGTTCATTTCTTCCCATCTGCGAGTAAATATTTCCTAAATACCTACTAAGTACCAGAAGCCATGTCACATGCTTAGAAAAGTGAAAAGCTTACAGTCGCTTCTCAGTATATTCTTCCAATAATCTCTGTTATGCAGAGATGAAGAGAAACCTGAGAGCTGGGCGCTGGTGGCTTACACTTGTAATCCTAGCTACTCAGGAGGCTGAGATCTGAGGATCAGGGTTCAAAGCAAGCCCAGGCAGGAAAGTCTGTGAGACTCTTATCTCCAATAAATCACCAGAAAATGGGAAGTGGCGCTGTGGCTCAAGTGGTAGAGCATTTGCCTTGAGCTGAAGGGCTGAGGAACAGTACCCAGGCCCAGAGTTCAAGCCCCAAGACTGACAACAAAAAAGAAAAGAAAAGAAACCTGAGGATCTTTTGGTGGGATTCACTGTTCAGCCCCTACTACTGGTCTCCCAGACTGGTGGATAATTAGTTCTTATCAGCTGAACTAAAAATACTGTCTCTCAGATCTTTATGAACCAACATAATCCATTTCTATACATGTTACATAAAAAAGAAATTTCAGACCTAAATTGAGAGCATGACTCATTAAAGCATTTTAAGGTGAGCTGTGTGATTTAGTAAGTAAATACAAACATGTGTAGGTAGTGTGATAGTACCCTTAATCCTTTTTGCTCATCTTCCTCGTTATTAATCCTCTGTTCCTCTTAGCTAGTTTTTCTGAAACTGTCCCTGGTTTGTCCTGCTATTCTAGGAAGATGTTTGCTGTTCTCAAGGTAAAGCTTTTCAGTTCCCAGAATTGACCAGGTGGCTTTTTATGGTTCTGACCCAGGAGGCAGAATATGAAATGTTATTGTTGCTTCTAAATTCCATTTTGTCTATATATGGTAGTTTATAAAAACACTTTCCATATTTGTGTCCTTAATTCTAGATACTGTCTTACTGTTTATGCTTAATTCCTCTTCCTCTCACTAGAATTATTCTTTTACTGGTATTGCTACCACTTAGGGAAAACAGGGCAATTTTTTTTCTTCCCATGTTCTACCAGACTTCTGTGGGCAATCTAACATTTCCTCTAAGGAAAAATTTGTGCTTCAAGTTTCTTCTCTGTGCATGACCCATTCACTAAAGCACAAATCCTAAAATCTTCCTCCCTGTTGTCTATACTTTGTGCCCAAACCAATTAAGTTCTTGAGTTCTACCTCAGATACCCACCACTCTATCTCCATTACCACTGGCAGCCTTTGTCATCTCATAGCTAGCCTAGTGACTCTTGCTAGCCTGCTTAACTGCTCTTCTTTGGCTTTCAGTACAGCTGGTGATGCTAGAATGCAAAGATGTTTCTACTCCTCTATTTGTCTACTGGGTCAAAGTAAGCTTCTTTTACAAAAGACATTTCAAGACCCAGTCCAGGTGCTTCTACTCTTCATGGAGGAGCCATCAGTTTGTAACTTATATCGAAAGTTAACATTGGCTGCCGTTAAATATGCACACTTTTAAGGGCACGTCTGGCAGGCTGATCCCCAACTCAGCAATTTGTGCAGAGGAAACTATAACTAGAGGAAAGTAAAAAGGCCTGTGACTTACTAGAATATACAGTGATTGTCCTAAGAATTTACCAATAAAAAATGATCTCAGTCCTGAGAATCAGACAAATAATTAATAAACCAACTGGATGCTTTTAAAGTCCAATAGGCATTGGTATTAATCACATTTTACCATTGATTTGGATTATGTAATGTTTTCAAGGATGTGCCAAAAATTCTATTATTTAGGAGTATGCTCTCCCACAGAAGTATTTAGAACCATTGATCCTCCTGCGGATGTCTGTTCTCATATCCTGCCACTCTATTACTAAACCTCTATAGTCTAGCCCTACCAAACAACATGCTATCTCTAAGTATGCCTTTCAGATTTTATCACAAATTATTGCTACATTTCTGCTTTGCTTGATAGAGAACATTCTATCTTACTCTATACATTAAGTCTGTATTCACTTTTTGAGTGAATAAAAGATCTAAGCATCATCTCATTTGTGTTGCTTTTTCAATCCTCTCAGCTGAAGACAGGATATGGCCCACCTCCTTTGTACTCTCATAGCATCTTATGCATTGCTGCTAATATGGTATCTCCTAATACAGCACTTACCAAATTGTACCATAGTGGCCCATGTTCAAAGCTCTGGACTCCTTGAGGTCAGGGACTGTATTGTGGATTTTTGTTGTTGTTGTTCATCTTTGTATCTGCAGTACCTAATGCAGTACTTGACATACAACAAAAACTCAGTACATTTGTATTAGTGAATGAACTTAGGTTTCCACACCTTGGTTTTCTCCAAAGAAGTAGTCAGTACTTTAGGAGGAAAAAGCAGAGAATGGGAAAAGATAAAATAAAAGTGTTAACAGTTGCAACAATAGCTAATTAATGCTTGTATTTGTTAGTCCCTATTCTAAACCTGTATTAATTCATTTCTCATGGCAACTCTCCTTTTGTTTTGCATATAAATAACTGAGGCACAGAGAAACAAAGCAATTTGCACACATCACACAAGTAGAGTGTATAGTTTGGCTCCAGAATATTTGTGCTAGGAAGGAAAGGAACTAAAGTGCTCCGGTACCAGAGTGCTGGATAAAGAGCTAAAATGCCTGATATTTTGTTCATTCTTCTCCTCTTCTAGTGCCCTACTTATAGTAATGGAGGAACAGGAATTCAATTATCAGGTTGCCACTAAATCTAGAAGTATTGAGACCAGAATATACATAAAATATTTATAGTCCTGTGTTAGATAGGTTTGCAAATCTTCTCTCACTTCCACGAGTAAGCATATACAAATGGAACTACTTCTGAATTGCAAATCTTAATAACCTCTTGAGATTAAGAATTGAATAAGAAAAAAATGAATTTAACTGATTTTTTTTTTGCCAAAAATATGCATCATCAGTGCAAACCTGTGATTTAAATCAAGTAACAGTGATTTGGAGAGTGTAGAAAATTGATCTCTCTACCTGAAAAATCTACTACTTTCTTAAACTTAGGTTCCCTTTTCCTAATTATTTGTAAGATTTAAGTCTTTCATAGAAGAATTTGATACTTAAAAGTCTTTATCTTAATATTTCCTGAGCTTATTTTTCATAGCATGAGAGCTGAGATTTCATTCTTTGGTTATGATGACTGGCTAGTTTATAGACTCACATTCAGTGAGAAAGAAAGAAAACTTGCTTTTCCCTCCTTACCCTTTGAATAATTTCATTATATGTCTTTTAGGAATTTATCTCACTAATATCTTGAAAACAGAAGAAGGCAACCCTGAGGTCCTAAAAAGACATGGAAAAGAGCTCATAAACTTTAGCAAAAGGAGGAAAGTAGCAGAAATAACAGGAGAAATCCAGCAGTACCAAAACCAGCCTTACTGTTTACGAGTAGAATCAGATATCAAAGTAAGTGGAATTTTGTGAGGGTTCATATTTTTGATTAAGTTAGTGAAATGCCTTATAAAGGCAAGTTGATTTTATAGAGGAGAAAAATAAAATTAAAAATAAATAATTCCTGCTGGGTGCTAAGGCTCATACCTGTAATCCTACCTACTCAGGGGGCTGAGATCTTAGGACTGTGTTTCAAAGCCAGCCTAGGCAAGAAAGTTCCAAATAACTACCAAAAAAGACAGAAGTGTCTGGTGCTGTGGCTCAAGTGGTAGAGTGCTAGCTTTGAGCAAAAAGCTCAGGGACAGTGCCCAGGCCCAAAGTTCAAGCCACAGGACCAGCACAATAAAGAAATAAATCCTATTTTTATGTTAAATGTTTTCCTAAATTATTTTTATGAGTTCCAAATATTAAAAATATTTTACATTAATAATTCTTTGTATTTATTCTAGAGGTTCTTTGAAAACTTGAATCCAATGGGAAGTAGCATGGAGAAAGAATTTACAGATTATCTTTTTAACAAATCCCTAGAAATAGAACCACGGAATCCTAAACCTCTCCCAAGATTCGTAAGCACTCATATATTTACATTTATATTTATATGCTTCCTGCAGTTGTCATCCATGTCTGGTGATGCCATCTTTACCTTATCTGTAATGTAGATTAATGTAGATTATTTTTCTATGAAGGCATAGTAATAAAAAGTGTTTAACAATATACCCAGGAATATCCTGCTTGGTTCAAATAAATGAGCATTAATATTAATTTGAATTAATTCTGACATGATATGATGAAGTTGAACCAATATGTAAGTTTTTGATTTTTTAAAAATAATTTTTGACTTTATCAAAAATGTTACTTAAGCCGGGCACTGGTAGTTCACGCCTGTAATCCTAGCTCCTCAGAAGGCAGAGATCTGAAGATTATGGTTAAAAATCAGCCTGGGGAAGGAAATTCCATGAGACTTTTTCTCCAATTAGCTATTAAAAGCTGGGGGCTGAGATGTAGCTCAGTGGCAAAGTGCTTGCCTAGCAAGTGCAATGTCCTGGGTTCGATCCCCAATACCAAAAAAGAAAAGCCAAAAAAATGATAATACAGTTAAAAGCTAGAAGTGGAGCTGTGGTTCAAGTGGTAGAGTGCTAGCCTTGAGCACAATAGCTCAGGGACAGCACCCAAGCCCTGAATTCAAGCTCTAGGACTGGCATTTAAAAAAAAGAATAAGTTATTTTGAATTATTCAGAAGGGAGAAAATATAATGAATTTATATTAAATCACATAAATATATTTACTTGGGACTTTTTAAAATTACTGATTTATTGTAGCTTGGAACCATGAATCATGAGCCCTAGAAATACCAGGTTTAGCTAATATACTATCAATAGTTTTGTAGTTTTGTTATATTTGTTAGTGCCTGGCCAGATTTATGTTTAGTATCTTCACCTCACTAATTTGAGAATGTTCTCTTATTCAGAAGAAAATAAAGAATTATGAGATAAACATGAATAACTCTTTAAGTCATCAAAATAACTTGTCTATGAATTAGATTGTATGCAGTTGTCTCAGACAAATTTTTCAAGCCTTATAACAATTTTTAATACATGAATTAAAAACAACAAATTGGAGATACAAATCTAGTCTGCTCTAGAGAGCTCAGCACACTAATTGACAAGTGATCTCTCTTAAAGGAGAATGCCACAAAATTAACATACAGATGAAAACCGAGATGATTTAATGCACTTGTAAATAGTTCACATGGTCCTAACAGGAACACTATATTTATGGCATGGTAAGGTATGGTCATTCATGATGATGATCTAAGCTTTCCCAACAGCATTAAATTTGTTCAAAACACCCTGTTTAGAAGTCAGGGTCTAATACAATGTGTATATTAAGCATTTCTTTTTATTTCTGTGTACAATTATTTGTATAATTATTTCTAAAATTATTCTGAATTTTAAAAATGTCTACCCTTCCAAATAGTAAAATAAATTTCTGGTATTTCTAGGACTAAAACCTACTTTACTTAAAAAGATTTTCTAACAATTTAGATAGCCAAATCTTCAGCAAAGTAGAATGTAATGCTTTTACCTGAGCAGTTTAATCTGAACCATTATGTGACTGCCTTATTGATGATACATAGTTTATTATTAGTTGAATTTTATGAGTCATATTTACCTTCCTTTCTAACATGGTGTTTTAAATATTGTGTTTCTTTTAATTATGTTTACAGCCAAAAAAGTATAGCTATCCACTAAAATCTCCTGGTGTTCGTCCATCAAACCCAAGACCAGGTACAATGAGGCATCCCACACCTCTGCAACAAGAACCAAGGAAGATTAGTTACAGTAGGATTCCTGAAAGTGAAACAGAAAGTACAGCATCTGCACCAAATTCTCCAAGAACACCGCTCACACCTCCTCCTGCTTCTGGTGCTTCCAGTACCACAGATGTTTGCAGCGTGTTTGATTCTGATCATTCAAGCCCTTTTCACTCAAGTAAGTGCTAAAATTTTAAGTGCTTTAGATCAATTGTTAGTATTACATGTACAAGAGGAGAAAAATAATCTCTCTAATTGTGTGTGTGTGTGCATGTGCATGCGTGCTTATATATAAGTCAGATCCCATTCCAGGAAACATCATGATAAAAATAAACTCAAAATTCCAGCAACTTGTAATTTTTAAAAATTGGTTGGAATAACTCTCATTAAGTTCATTATCGGTGACTATAAAGGCCTAGTGGTAAAAATTGGCAATTGAATTTCATTTGAACATCTGTATGCATCTCTCATAACAAATACCATTCTTAAAAACCTTCAATACACAGTACTTTCTCTTTAATGAATGTACTTAAACCTATTCAGGATACACTATCCCCTACTTAACAAATTCTTAAATAGCTTCTAATTTTCAGTTTATGAAATTCAAAATGGGGCTGGGAAGGTGGCTCAGTGGTAGAGCGCTTGCCTTGCATGCTTGAGGCCCTGGGTTCCATTTCTCAGCACCACATAAGCAAAAAGAAAAAAGCTGGAAGTGGCGCTGTGGCTCAAGTGGTAGAGCGCTAACCTTGAGCTGAAGAGCTGAGGGACAGCACCCAGCCCCAGAGTTCAGGCCCCACGACCGGACCCAAAAAAAAATAAATAAATATCTGAAATTCAAAATCTTAGTTAACCCTTCCTCAGCCTACTCCTGGGCTCTGATGATATGGTAGTGCCTACTGCTATTATGCTTTTCAGCACAGCCATACATCTCTCAGTTCAGGCTGGTTTTGAACTGCAATCCTCCAGACCTCAACCTCCTGAGTAGCTAGGATTATAAGCATAAGACAATGCCCAGGTTTGGTTAGAATTCAAAATATTCTAATTGAGCTTTCAGAGTGCTATGATTACAGGCATGTATCACCATATTCAGCTTATCTAAATATTTTACAATCTTTTGCTGTCATTCTAAATCTTTAATGTCCAGTGTGAATTTCATATTTAATAGTACATCTCATTTCTTACAAGCACAGTCAGATTTCAGTAATGACATGTGACTTCTGAAGTATACAGCTCAGGGGTAGCCTTTTAAAGAGCCACCTCTTAAATCTACATTGCCATTAATTTTCTCATCTGTCATGTGTTTTAAAGCTCTTCCAAGAGCACATCTTTTTCAGTTGTTCATTATGTAAATTGTTTTATTTGTTCAAAATATAAATCTAGTTACCGGTAATATTCTTGTAACTCTTCCACATACTCTCCACATACCTCAATGTACTGACCAAACTCCACCCTAGGAATGATGTAATACCAGTACCAGAGGCAGTATGACATAATCATGGCAGAGGGTGAGAAGCACTAAGCTTTGAATTAGGATTTTGGTTTGTCATCCCAGTCTGTTATAGTAATTAAGGATTCTGATTCCATATAGTTCTTTTTTGTGCCTTCTAGACTCTTAAGATTTCTTTCAACTAAGAATCTAAGTAAAAATCTACTATAAATAATTCTTTGGAAGTGTATTATTTTGAGATTTGGTCCAAAATCCTATTTATCCTGTAGTTTACATAAAGTTACAGTTACCCAACAATCTATCTAATCTTTGCACTATCTAAAGTGCATTTATTTGAGAATTATTTTGCTTTGTTTGATGACTGAAGATCATAGTCATGTTATACACATATGCTGTTAGATACATATTTTAATAAGTTCAAATAGAAAGGTAAAAAAAAATCCCATTTTCTCCACCTCAATTAAATAATAAAACACAATTGGATTTTTTTAATATTCCTGGTCTAAAAATAACTATCTGTTGGACCTATTTAGTTATAGTGTTATATACTGTTACATACTGTTTCCTACAGCTAAAGAACATATTACATGGTTCCAAAATAGGCTTTTATGTGGCTTCCCTAAGTTATCTATCAGTCCTACTTTAAGCCACTAAAAATGGAAGAGATGGAAAAATAGGGCATAAGCACATGATGTTTCTCTGCTAGTGTTAAATCTTCAAGTATGAGTCAAATGGAAGAACTGGTTTTGTAATGAGGGCTCTGGACCGGTGCTTTGTTAAATGTAGCAGTGGAACAGCACTAACTCAAACACATGGACAAGTAGAAAAATGTTCTAGGAGTTAAGCTTTGTAACCTTAGGCTTAATTATTTTTTCAGTTTCTCTCTCTCTTTTTAATAACAAACTTCTGTTGCTACTATTCTGAAAAGAACTAATTTTGAAATTAAATAATCTAGCATATTAGAAAACCATCCACATGTTTGGTTAATCTTACTTTTAATTTGCCAATAGTCTGTATGTGTGTTAAAAGTATTCACCTCCCTTTGATTCCACTCTACTTAACAGATCTCTTACTGCTATGAGATGGCCAGAGCTTCCTACTTTCACTGCACTGTGCTGCCACCAGACTAAGTACCTTCTTTCTGTTTCTCTGGCAGAAAAGAGCTGCCTTACACTATACTCTTCTGTCACTTGAACACACTGTACTCAGTACAAACTAGCAGGAAAAGGGCTGGGAAAGTGGCTAAGTGGTAGAGTGCTTGCCTTGCATGCATGAGGCCCTGGGTTCGATTCCTCAGCACCACATAAGCAGAAAAAGCTGGAAGTGGCGCTGTGGCTCCAAGTGGTAGAGCGCTAGCCTTGAGCTGAAGAGCTGAGGAACAGTGCCCAGGCCCAGAGTTCAGGCCCCACAACCGGTAACAAACAAACAAACAAACCAGCAGGAAATTCCACTTCTAAAACAAATGGTTTTTTAAAATAAGTTAAAATGCTACCTTGTGTGTGTGTGTTTGTATACATGTGTGTACACTTGCTGGTCCTGAGCTTTGAAGCTTGAACTCAGGGCCTGGACATTGTCACTGAGCTTCTTTTTTTTTGGGGGTGGGGGGGCGGTCCAGTCATGGGGCCTGAACTCTGGGCCTGGGCGCTGTCCTTCAGCTCTTTAGCTCAAGGCTAGTGCTCTACCACTTGGTTTTTTTCTTATGTGGTGCTGAGGAATTGAACCCAGGGCCTCATGCATGCATTCAAGGCAAACACTCTACCACTGAGCCACCTTCCCAGCCCCTCACTGAGCTTCTTTGCTCAAGGCTAGCACTCTACTACTACTTGAGCCACAGCTCCACTTCTGACCTTTTTTGGTAGTTAGAGATAAGACTGTAACAGACTTTCATGCACAGGCTGGCTTTGAACCATAATCCTCAGATCTCAGCCTCCTGAGTAAGATCACAGGCCACCAGTACCTGGTTAATGTACCTTTTTTTCATTCTGCTTTTCTTCCAGCCAGTGTCTTGAATGTCTTATTCGTTGCTAAGTTTTACTTACACATCTTTGGGAAAGCTTAGTTCTACTAAGAGATACAAAATGATGATGGAAGGGAAAATGAGGATTGATAAAAATCCAAGGACATGAGGGTTGATAAGAATCCAAGGAACACACACACACACACATACACACACACTGAAACCCTCCAGAAATCCAAGGACATGAGGGTTGATAAGAATCCAAGGAACACACACACACACACTGAAAAAAATGAGGGTTGATAAAAATCCAAGGACATGAGGGTTGATAAGAATCCAAGGAACACACACACACACACACACACACACACACACACACACACACACACACACACACACACACACACACACACACACACACACACACACACACACACACACACACACACACACTGAAACCCTCCAAAAATCCAAGGACATGAGGGTTGATAAGAATCCAAGGAACACACACACACACACACACACACTGAAACCCTCCAAAAATCCAAGGACATGAGGGTTGATAAGAATCCAAGGAACACACACACAAACACACACACACACACACACACACACACACTCTGAAACCCTCCAAAAATCCAAGGACATGAGGGTTGATAAGAATCCAAGGAACACACACACACACACACACACACACACACACACACACACACACACACACACACACACTGAAACCCTCCAAAAATCCAAGGACATGAGGGTTGTAAGAATCCAAGGAACACACACACACACACACACACACACACACACACACACACACACACACACTGAAAAAATGAGGGTTGATAAAAATCCAAGGACATGAGGGTTGATAAGAATCCAAGGAACACACACACACACACACATACACACACACACACACACACACTCTGAAACCCTCCAAAAATCCAAGGACATGAGGGTTGATAAGAATCCAAGGAACACACACACACACACACACACAGAAACCCTCCAAACAAGGACGAGGAAGAGAAATGAAAATATTGTGGAGAAGGTGTGTTGTGTTCATCTAGAGAAATACCATTGAAACCTCATTAAAAATGCCTGCTAATTTGAAAATAAAATAATAAACAAGAAAGACAATGTAAACATCAAGAAAATGACAGTTAAATACCCAGTGAGTGATGCAAACATAAATACTATGGATATCTACAGAAAGGTGACCTTATAGTGGGCAGGAATGGTCATTGAAAGCTTTGTGGAAAAGACAGGAAGAAAACTTTTACCTACTTAGTGCCACCCGATATACAATTATAGCCCTACTCTACAGTTTGGCATCACCAGTTTTTCCTTAGAAGAGATTTTGATAGTGGATGGATGAGAAAGGAAAGAACAGGTGTTTCTAGCTTTCTTTCTGCTTCTACAGCAGAAAAGAGAGAACGATACACGGACCTTATTACCTTCCTATTTCAAAAGTGCCCCCGCCAGGCACTGGTTGCTCACTCCTGTATTCCTAGCTTGTCAAGAGGCTTGAGATCTTAGGATCACAGTTCAAAGCCAGCCTGGGCAGAAGAGTCTCTGAGCTTCTTCTATCCAATAAACTACAAAAATAGCCTGAAGGGGAGCTGTGGCTCAAGTGGTAGCCTTGAGCAAAAGAAGCTCCCAGACCCTGAATTCAAGCTCCAGGACTTCAGACAAACAAACAAAAAACCTCTTCAGGGTTGCCTATTGTGCTGCCAAAATTAAGAACCGTCGTCTGTTACCCAGGATTGGTCCTTAAAAATTTAATCTGTTTTGAAATTGGATTTAACTTGTAAGTTATTTATCATAAATTTGTTCATATTATAGCAGATAACCAGATATTTATTGATTAGAAAATGTAAAACTGTGAAAGAATTTTGATAGTATTTTCCTGGCCAAGCAATTAAAGTAAGAAATTAGAGAAGTTCTTAGATTTACCAAAGCATGACTGTAAGCCTGTGCTATATATAACTATGAAAGTTGACTTTTATGTGTGTGTCCACAAGTGTGTATGCATAGTCATAATCCTGCCAAAACTTGCAGTTCGTAGTAGTTAGGAGCTTTCTGTTTGCTTTATTCCTATATTAAATATATTACCACATTCTGGAAGCCTAGCTTCAAAAGGTGTATTTATTTCCTTTTGAAGAAAACTGAGAAATGTATAAGGTAAATACTATAATATCATTATTACCTGTAATATTATTAGTGCCCAGTTGTGAAGAAAATTGTTGATACAGCAACAGTTTCAAGTAATTTTAGGGTATAAAAATGAATTTTAATCATCTGAGAGATAACATATTAGAATGAGCTGGACTGCAACAGTAGTCAGGTTCCAAATAAATATCTGTACATATGGAAAGAAAATAATGTCATAGATTATTTGGATTTGGAATTGCCAAGGAAGTATGACCACTATGTCTTTGAAAGCAATCAAGTTAACAAGAATTAATCAAGTTAACTAAACCTGCAGTGTAAAGTTATCGTCATTCTGACTGTATACGCTTGAATAAAAAATGTTCCAAATTGTTTGAATTAAAAATTCAGCTTAATCTATAGTGTTATAGAAACATACTTTAGCTTTTTGGTCTTAGTTCCATGTGTTAGTGACATGAGGCATTGGAATCCAAATATGTTACACATCAGTATAGGTCATCTGGCCTCTGTCTTGGTTTTCCTACTTGATATTCTTGGGGCTTTGGTTTATTTTCAGGTTTTTTTTCCCTTGAAAAATATACTGTTGGAATTAGGCAATTTAAATTTATCAGACATTTATAAAGTGTGTAAGCATCAAGTGTTGATTCAGAGAAAACTTACTTTGTAGCTTTTTTAATATCCAAAGTTCCTGGTGTTTTAGTGAAATGTATGCTGCCCAAAGACATTTTCAAAGATATATAATACTGTTTCATGCTCTTTTTAGTCATTAGGAAATGACATGAATTCAGCTAAATTTTTCACTTGAATTGAGTGAATACCTTTTAAAGTCTTCCAATAGCATAGCATAGTTCAATTTTCTATTTTCACTTAATTATCAAGACATCAAGTAGTAACTCTAAAAGGAATCTTCAAATTTCTCAGTTTGTTAACTTGACTTTATTGTTTTTTCTCAAAAGTAGATAGTAATGAACTTTTCTAGAAATCATTACAGCACTCTTTAAAATTAGAATGACAAGAATAACATTTTTGAGATAAGTTTTACAGATGAGTTGAATGTGTTGATGGAAGAAAAAAAAATCTATTTTTTCTTGTTTCCTTTCACAGGCAGCGATACCGTCTTTATCCCGGTTACACTGCCCCATGGCCCAAGTTAGTATATTTGGTTTCAGACTCCTAATTCTTGCTTCAGCTTTAAAAATCAAACCAATTGTCAACTTTCCTGCTAAAATTCTCCTTGGGTCTGGCAGCATTTAGCACCTGCTTGCACCATGTTAAAAGTGAGGTCTTCACTTGTGCTATCCTTTGATCAGAAATGATTTGCTTAAAGTTATTCTTTTCATGCTTTTTATAAAACCTTTTTCTCTTTTAAAAGAACATATGAAATGAGTGGCTTCCACACTTAACCTTGTCTCTTTTCTAAGCATAGAATCGAAATACATTTTTATGTTCAACTTGAAAAAGCAAGAGCATGCATGCGCATATGGGAATGCTGGCGGCTGCATGCGTGCTCAGATCACAGGATGCACAGAGCCCAGCCACAGCGCCACGATGCACAGCTTCTGGGCAGTAACTGCTTTAGGCTTTAGAAGGGTTGTCTTACAGTTGTAACTATTTAACTTACAAGACCTAAACAATCATCATAGATAAAGAAAATGGCATTGTAGCTATTTTACTCTTTTTAAAGTCAACTAACAATTTACTGAATCCATTATTTTAAGCTTATAGATTAGTAGTATTGCTGTCCTTTCAGATAAATAATTTCAAAATGTGTACAATAAAAATGTTACTTATAATCTAAATTAAAGCTAATTAAGCTTTTATTAAAAGTAAGTGATCAGAGCTGGGGGCAGAGCTCAAGAGGTAAAGTGTCTGACACCTAGCTTGCCAGAATCCCTGAGTTCAATCCCTCATGGTGTAATCAGCCATTCAATGAAATAGATGACCAAAATGTTGATCATTTGAATAATATCAGTATATAAAGTACTCTTAAAGCCTAATGTTTAAAGACATAAAATGAACCTATCACAATTTTGAATGCTTAAGTATGTTTTCTAACTCTTTTTTTTTTTTTTTTTTTTTTTGGTCGTGGGACTTAAACTTGGGGCCTGAGCACTGTCCCTCAGCTCTTCAGCTCAAGGCTAGCTCTCTACCTCTTGAGCTACAGTGCCACCTCCGGTTTTCTGGTGGTTTATTGGAGATAGAGTTTCATGGACTTTCCGGCTGGCCTGGCTTTGAACCATGATCCTCAGATCTCAGCCTCCTGAGTAGCTAGGATTACAGGCATGAGCCAACGGTGCCCAGCTTGTTTTTATAACTTTTTAATGTTTATAAACTAGCTAACACTTATAAAAGTGTTGTCTTTCAAAATGTAATTATTTATATGCCTATTTTATGCCATGTCACCATAAAGAAAGAATCTGCTTAGAAGTTTTACTTATCTTTTTGTGCCAGTTTACCAACTTATTCCTAAATCAGGTTCACTAGATTTTAAGAGTAATTTCTGTTTTTATTGTCAGGACTCCCCACTCATCTTAAATTGGCTCCATCACCAATTGAAGCTTACGTGCCTGTACCCAAGGCCCTCCCTCCCCAGCACCAGATTCTCTCCCCTCCATCCTTCAGCAGAATTGCTAGACAGCAAGACTACCCTTTAAGATAGAAGTTGCTCCAAGGATTCTCTAGTAAGAGCAAAGGAAGTGTATACTGATAAAGGCAGAGAAAAAAAAATGAGCTCATCATTAAGGTTGACAAAAATTATCATTCCGAAGATTTTTCAAATTCCAATTCCAATGGATATCTAAGAATTATACCCAATTAAAAATTCCAGTAATAGGCTAACAGTGGGCATGTTATTTTGTTCCAGAAGCAAAATAACAGTGCCTTAGGCAGTACTTTTTAAAGGGATTTCTGCATGTTTTATAGCAATTTGCTTTAATGAAATACTACTGGGTATTAGTTTACTAAAATGCTTTTGGTACCTCTAGACATTTCTTTTAATAAGTATATTTCCAGCTAAGCCTTCTCAAGATTAATGAGTAAAATAAAATTCTTATCAAGTTAAAAAAATTTAACCTCCCACAGGATCTGCTTCAGTATCCTCTATCAGTTTAACCAAGGGCACTGAGGAAGTGCCTGTCCCCCCGCCTGTTCCTCCCCGAAGACGACCAGAATCTGCCCCAGCGGAATCTTCGCCATCTAAGGTAAAGTAGAAAAGCTTGTTATCTGGAAATTGGAATCATTACTTACATTATAGTCAGTTGTGTACATCTATTCTATTTCTCACTGAGACAAGGTAACATTTCAGAGGAAAGTCTGAAGCTTTGTGTGAAGATACATAATAAGTGAATGAAACTTGTTGAACCTTGGCATAGAAAGGGTCTTTGTTGAACCTTTAGGGGATCTGGTGTGCTTCTAAATGGGGCTTTCATGAAAATTCATACTTTAGTCTACCCATTTTAATTTTTTTCTTTCATTTATTTTGCCAGGTGTATGCTTTTTAAATACATGGGTTTGAATTCAAGGTCTTGCACTTGCTTAGATGGTGCTCTACCACTTGAGCCATGACTTCAGCTGTTTTACTTTCATTACTTTTTGAATAGGGTCTTGTTTTCTGCCAAGGTTGGCCTGCACCACAATCCTATTTATACTTCTCATGTAGCTAGAATGATATGCATGTACCACCATAGCCAGCTTTGTTATTGGTTAAGATGGAGACAATGGTTTGTCCAGGTTGGCTTTGAACTGTGATCCTCCTGATCTTAGCCTCCCAAGTATTACTATTTTGTCATCTGTTAACTCATTTGTTCTTAAGCTGTCCAGAAATCAGAGAACCTCAAGAGTCAAAACACTTCATAGGATTTCATGCATATTAGTATAGTAACTTTAAAATTGAAAATTAATGGGCAATTTATTCGAAATCAGAAATTATATCATGGTAGGCAAGCAGTATAAAAAACCAACAAAGTTTTAAGAAAGAACTAATAGAAAATGAACAGTGGGAAATTATTTTTATGTGAATTGGTAGAACTTCTCATTTAGAATAGCTGACAAACTCCCTGTTCCACACCTAGTGTTCTGCCAATAACTAGTGTGTTTGAAAACCCAATTTTATTAATATATTTATGTACTACACAAATTATTAATAAATGTGTTTTATTCTTTTTTGTTAGATTATGTCTAAGCACTTGGACAGCCCCCCAGCCATTCCTCCTAGGCAACCCACATCCAAAGTCTATTCACCACGATATTCAGTATCAGACCGGACCTCTCTCTCAGACCCTCCCGAAAGCCCTCCCTTATTACCACCACGAGAACCTGTGAGGACACCCGATGTCTTTTCAAGCTCACCACTACATCTCCAACCTCCCCCTTTGGGCAAAAAGAGTGACCATGGCAATGCCTTCTTTCCAAACAGTCCTTCTCCCTTTACACCACCACCTCCCCAGACCCCTTCTCCTCATGGCACGAGAAGGCATCTGCCATCACCACCATTGACACAAGAAGTGGACCTCCATTCCATTGCTGGGCCGCCCGTTCCTCCACGTCAAAGCACTTCTCAACATATCCCTAAACTCCCTCCAAAAACTTACAAAAGGGAGCATACACACCCATCCATGCACAGAGATGGACCGCCACTGTTGGAGAATGCCCATTCTTCCTGAATTCCTCTGAACTGGGAGGTCCAGTTTCCTGGCCCCAAATCCATTGCTGGCAATGGATGCACTGAATGTGCCAGCACTGAGGAGTTAAATGAGAACTCCAAACACTAATGACTCTACTTCAAGATGCAGTATAAGACAGTGAATTTTAAAGTAGTTTTAATTATGAAATGAAATGGTATTCCAATTTTAGTTTATGGAAAGACTGATGCAGAGGAATTGGACAACTGATTGCACCTGAAAGCCAATTGAAGGGACTTCTCATTGCCAATAAGCAAGTCCTTACTTTGTGAAGTGATCTTTACCGTTAAAGGGACGGGAACATAGTCTAGTGTCCAGCAGGCCCACATGATGACAGTTTTTATAATTCAAAATATTATGCACTTTTAAAAAATTCTTAAACAGGGATTTTACTATCATCCTTTGTTTTCCTTTGCTTTACTCTTCTACTTTAGAATATTTTCATAAAAAATCATACAAAGGACTGTGAGGAAAGGCTGTGGTACCTGACCTTGTTGATATCAAGGCCCAGCACTGTACAGCAGTCCTGTTTACAGATTATTACAGTGAATTGAATGGGTACCGAGGCTTCACCAAAGAGGTACTTTTTGTTGTTGTTGTTGTTTTAAAAATAATTATACCGATTTTAAGAACATTCCCCATCTGTCCCCCCACACAAACAAAACGTGGTGGTGTTGCCTTCAAAGGAGAAGTTTTGTGTCATTGACACAATGGAAGAACTTTTGAAGAATTGTTACCGTCAAGTATACTACTTAACATTTAGGAGACTGTTAACCTACACTAGATTGTCCCCCCTCCCCCTTTTCCCACAAAGGTTTACTGGTAAGACATGTCCTGGCTCGTAGCTGTCCCTCTAACCATACTATGGAAATGTAGGCACCCAATGTGAAATGGAGCACTTGCTGGGCATCACTGACACCATTCATATTTTACTTGTAGTCGAGTAGTCAGCATACCTAGACTTACCTTCTTGCATTGCCTAGATCATGTGTATATAATGAATGTTATATAATATACCTGGCAGGTCTGTTTTAATTTAATTGAATAAAAATACAAATACCTTGTTTGGCTGGCATATATTAAATTATTATATGGAGAAAATGGTTGATTCTTTTTTCATTCAGTTGAAACACACACACGAGCACTAAGCATAGAAGCACGTATTGTGGTACGCCCTGGTTACTATTTTTGGATATATGTATTAATCTTTAAAGAATGACCTAAAGTTGCAGTTTGACGTGTAGGAAAATACTTGATTAGAATAGGATGGATCTCTTTAAAGCAGAACTTTACAGTTTTTGTTTTGTTTTTTTCCTAAGCAACATGTATACAGTTTTCAGGTTTATATTGAACATTCTACCTTGCTTCAGGTCTTCTGCTCTATCAAAACTCTTCATTCTAGAACATCTACCTACATCATTGAAATCTTAATGTGGATTATTCATTAAGCCTATGTACTGCTCTTCTAAGTCTAACAAATACTGTGACTGAAATGCATGCAACTTGTTGAAGAGAAAAATGTTTTATTATTCTCAACTATAATGTCTGTGAAATGTGAAGTATTCCATCCTTAGAGCATCATCAGTATCTGCATGTGTCCGCTGAATAATGAAGCAACATTTCAGCATTTCTGTTAACCATGTGGTTAGAAGTGCCACATCATGGTGGACACTTAGTACTTTAATAATTTTTTGTCATATTTATTAGAGCATTAAATGTACATCATGATAGTACAATGTATAGTCCTATAAGACCAGAAAGTATGTTAATTGCATCATTAAGCAGTCCATCCTATCATATCCTTTCTTATTTATTTGTTAGAGTTGAGTCTTTTTTGTTTAGTATCCCTGCCATTCCTAAAATAGTAGCCATTTTTTCTTTGTAATAATGTCTCCTCTTTAAAAAGTGTCCTAAGATGTTGATTTCAAATCCCCTCTTGGATGCAAAGTGTTCATATGAGCATTCATTTAATGAATATTATCTATGCCTACTTAGTATTGCTGCTACAGTTAATTGTGATACACATTTCAGAATCTCCCATGGCTTTTTATTGGGCCAGCCTAACTGTCTATAGGATTATCCTTTTTATGACTTACTGTTTTTTGGCTATCCCATCCTTACTCCAAACGAGAACCTGAGAAAAGTCACATTGGAGTCACATTCAGTATCACTGGCGAGTGTGTTAACCTTCAGTAAGGTGATGACCACCTCATCCTATAAAGAAAAACTGGATTGGAATTCTAATTCTATTTCTCCCAAAGGGAATCATTCTTTTACCCCGTGGTTCTAGGAGACCACTTCACTGTGCAACAGTTTTATATGCATTGTGAATAGAGGATATTTTTATTCTGAAGTGTGGCATTTGGATAAAAATATTTTCTGTTGTAGTGGTAACTGAGTAGAAAAATGCCAGTTGAATGCCCTTATGTGGAGGTGAAAAACTGTATTCTTTTTCTTATGTGAAACATTATGTAGCTAATAAGTTTCTCCTTAGTAGTAACTAAAATGAACTTAATCAGGGACAAGCAGTGGCAGAAAAAAAATAAATGCATCATTACAAAATTTGGCTTTTTGAATCCAAGACATAAGGTAATCAGTGCAGCATGATCTTTTATTACCCACATTCCAAAATGTGGAATATTGCATTATCTTTGGATCACAAAATGAAAGGGATATTTCAAGGCTGAACTTAACTTAGTGGGCTTATAACCAATATAATACGAAGGGAAGCTTTTCACATCGTAAGCACTTTCTAAAACAAGAACAGCTAATGTTTTCAAACATTCAAAACCTGAGGTCATATATTTCTCAGTCCTCCAAATGTAAGACTATAAATGAGTCTTAAACAATTGAAAGTTTGCTTAACTAAAGATTGTTGGGCATCAAAGTATATGTAAGTAGGTTTCTATAACTCATGGATGTATTTTAATGAGTGCGTTGAGAGTATACACACACACAATCAGCAAAACAGTCTAGCAGCAAGTACTATTTCAATGGGAGGCTATATTATGGTTCTGAATTCTTTCTTAATGTCATCAAAAATCAGTTTATACAAAACAAAAATTCATGGGTATTTATTGATCATAATCCTTTGTAATTCTCAAGTTTAGCTCACTTCAATCTTTAATTTCACTGTCTCAATATGATGACTTAAATTCAGATTATTTAGTGGCTCAGCAATATAAATGGAGGAGAGTTGTCTCAATTTTCTAGTATTGTACATACTGAGGAAGCTTTTTTTCTTTTTCAGATTCAGAAACAGTTATTTCTTGGTATTCTGCTGCTGTGGATAGGTTTACCTATTCTTTTGACCTATATTGTGTGACTATTGAGGATTATAAGTGTATTGAACATTAATCTTTACCATTAATTACACAATACAAGGTTAATGTTGGTTTGGCTGAAAGAATTATGGAGTAAAGTTGTAAGGGAAAATGATGACTTTGTTCAGTATTTTCTCTTTAGAAACATTCACTACTTTTAAAATCATTTCAAAATCCCCTATACATGAGCCCATGAAATATTCTGAGTTTGAATTAAGAAAAAAAAGCATGAAGTCTATGATAAATGTAAACAACAAAAGTACTTGTATCTTCTCTTATAAATTTCATGCCTTATTTTCCATTTATGACACCGTAAAGTGCATTTTCTGTCAACTGTGAGCAAATTTCCCTTTTGCCTTTAATGAAAATAGTGCATTAAATAGCCAATTGCTGCAATTATAAAGCAAGCTAGCTAAAGGTGGGTCACATTGGACTGCCACTCAAAGAATCAAGATTCATAAAGATGGAAGTTACGTGTGGTGTGGCTTAGAGCGCGCGCACCTGTGCCAGATGCATGCCACTTTCAGTAGCTGCCAAATGTGCCTTTAATTAAGAACATCTCTTAATTTTTTTCTTCAGATCAAGTCAGCATTTGGGGGCGGGATTAGGGCAGGGGACTTTGGGGTGCAAATACCTGGTGAGACCACCAGACAATTTGTTTGTCAAAGTGACATGTATAATTTTAGTTGAGATGTGTCTGTTTATATGTGTACTTGCCTTTGTTTAGTAGCACGGTTATTTGCTAAGATAATTGTCAAAAAATGCTCTGTCTTACTTTGATGTAAGAACAAAGTGTGGTCTATACATCTACTATGGCCTTTGTACCTAACCATGTTTGTAGGTAATCTTTGTACTCTGTGTGCAGCAGTATTTGGTTTGCGTTTAAAGTGAAAATAATGGCTGTTATTTTTCTGGCATTACTAAGATAAACTGAAAAATAATAAAGAAAAATGCCTTACATAGCCCACAAGTGTATTATTTTTGCATGTGTTTATTTGAAAGTGCAGTATTTTTTAAGTCATTAGTGATTGTTATTTAGCTTAAACTTGCCATGGAGAAATATTTTGCATTTCTTTATGGTCTTACTTTGAGGATACTTTTTTTCTCTAAAGTCAGTGTAAAAGGATAAAAGAAGTTCAGTATTTTCTAATGTGTCACATGCTATTACTGTCTTGAGTGACAAGTCCTTGGGTTAGAAATTAGTAAAGTGAGCTGGGTACCGGTGGCTCACGCCTGTAATCCTAGCTAATAAGGAGGCTGAGATCTGAGGATCATGGGTCAAAGCCAGCCAGGGCAGGAAAGTCTGTGAGACTCTCATCTCCAGTTAACCACCAGAAAACTGGAAGTTGTGCTGTGGCTCAAGTGGTAGAGTGCTTACCTTGAGCTGAAGAGCTGAGGGACAGTGCTCAGGCCCAGAGTTCAAGCCCCACAACCAACCCCCACCCCCCCCAAAAAAAATTAGTAAAGTGAGTTGGATGTCATTGGCTCATACCTGTAAGCCTAGCTATTTAGGAGGCTGAGATCTGAGGATTGAGGTTGAAGCCATCTGGGACAGGAAAGTCTGTGAGATTTATCTCCAATTAAATCACAGAAAAAGCCAAAAGTGCTAGCCTTGAGCAAAGGGAGCTCAGGGATAGCACCCAGGTCCGGATGTCAAGCCTCAGGACTAGCAAAAAAGAAAAGAAACAAACTAGTAAGGTGGCTTGTGTGTACCTGAATGAAGTTTCAGAGAGCAATTTACATTTTCAAAAGAAGTTTTAGAATACCCAATTAGGTTTTTTGGCAGGCAGTTTGCTGAGACTTGCTGGAAAGAACGAGACAGTTTGACTTCAAAACTGTTCCTAGGCTAGGCTTGCACAGATAAGAACTGGTGTCAGCTAACCAATTAGGTAAATATGAAGTCATTCAGAATGGACTATATAACATAGAAATCGAAGAATCCTTACAGATCCAAGCTACCTTCTTAAAAATAGATGCTGGTGAGCCTGGAGAAGTAACCTGACTGGCATCATGTAGCCCGTGGACTTGTCTGGATTGAGGCCACTGACAGTGTTCATCTCTGCTATTTGCAGGACTGCTTTCAAGGATGCCTAAAATGAATTGGTGATTCCCTGACAATGCTGCTTCCTGTTGTGTTTTTTTTTCTAGTTTAATAAAAATTTTTGTTTTGTAAGATGCTTTTAGCTTGCCACTGTGAAATCCAGGCATGTGTTACTGATACATTACTGTAGGTAATCAATTTAACAGTGTTAATTAATATTAATCTGATTTAATTCTGAATTTGCTCTTAAAACATCTTTAACCAGATGACCTTTTTTTCTACTTGTTTTAACTATGTTAGGTCATCATAGATTGTGGGCAGTTAAGTTTCGAGAGCAAGAATATGGGAGCCAGTCCCACAGTTGAGACAGACTTTTTGCAGATTTGATAGAATATAATTCCCCAAAGACAGTTATATCCATTCTAACACTTTAAGACTCCTGAACTTATTGGAGACAAGGAAAAATTTACAGTCTATTTAGAAGCTAATTTCTCTACATCAATAACTCATCAAGAAAGGGAAGAATCGTATGGCAGAATAAGGTGCTTTGGAATTGGAGCTGTTCACATGAGTGGTCTGGTTTTCATCTATACAAGAAGGATGACATACCTACCTAGGACTTCTATGACATTTAAAGGTAAATATCTGGAAAACATAATTCCTTTCACAGCATAGATGCTTTTAACAGATGATAAAGTTATGAGGGATATGTTTTCAAGGTTTGCCTGATTTTTAAAGCTTTTAAGAGGTAGGTTATCCTGACTTTATTTGTATATTTGGTTGTAGGGCTTGAACTCAGGGCCTGGATACTATTCCTGAGCTCTTTTGCTCAAGGCTGGCACTCTACCACCTTGAGCCATGGCTCCACTTCTGGTTTTCTGGGGGTTAATTGGAGATAAGAGTCTCACAGACTTCCCTGCCTGGACTGGCTCTGAATCATGATCCTCAGCCTTCTGACTAGCTAAGATTATAGGCATGAGCAATCAGTGCCTGGTGTTGACTTGTTTTTGTTTTTGTTTTGTTTTTAGGGTATTCTTTGCCATTTATCATCACTTAAATTGATTTTGCATGACCTTGCATTGTAAGCATTTGATAAGGACTCATCTATCAACAAATATTTATTACTCCAAGTACAGTTCTGGTTTAAGAAATACAACAATGAACAAATACCCATCTCATCATGGGATTTATAATCTAGTGAGATGTAGACAAGTAATAAGCACAATAAATAGGATATTATACATTAGAATGTTGTAACTGCTATGAACAGAAAAACTACAAGTGACAGCATGGGGATATGGGAAAGTGAAGTTTAAATGGAATGGGCAGAGTCTGCCTTAAAAAGGCAACATATAAATAAAGGCTGTAGGAAGTAAAGGCATGAGACATGCAAGTATCTGAGGTAAGAATATGCCAAGTCAGAGAAAAACTAGTTCAGAAGCAAGGCAGGAGCATAACTAGTGTATCAGTAATAATGAGGCTGCTTGTTTGGGTAGAAGAATGCATGTAAGTAGACTAAAAGTGGGCATGATCAGGTATAACATCTAGCTCAAAGCACCAAATGCTGTGATAATGATTCTGGCTTCTGTTTGAAAAGAAGAGATCCTTTAGAGATTTGAGCAGAGAAGTGATGTGACCTAATTTACTTTCTGACTACTCTTGAGAATAATAAGAGGTTAATAGAAGGAACAGAAAGGCCAATGCAACAGGTAGTGGAGGTGGTTAGAAGAGTTCAAGTCAAAACAGTTTACTGATGGACTGGATATGGGGTAAGAATTGTCAAGGGTGGTTTCAAGACTAGGTTTGAACAAATTGAAGGCTATGGTTATGATTAACTGAAAAGGGAAAGTTATGACTTGAACACAAGTAGATCAGATATCTTAAAAGAGATCAAAGAGGCAGTTGGAGATGTTCATCTAGTTTGGGAAGGAGTCTAGACCAAAGATAATAAAATTAGTAGTCATTTTCATAGCCACTTTTTGTATGATAATGCAGATCAAACTCAGGGCATGTCTGGCACACACTCTACCACTGAGCTACATTCTTAGCCCATAAAGCCAGCAGACTGAATGAGATCGCCTAAGAGACTCTGGGCACTCTAACATCAAAGGAATAAGGGAGCAGAAGTAACAGACTAAGAAGGAACTGTCAGAGAAGAAAGATGACAACCAAAAACATGCTGTATCCTTAGGATACAGTAAACTATTTCAGAAGGAAAAAGGGACCCAATACTTCTTGATAGAGTAAGATAACTGAGAGTGGACCATGTGTTTAGCAATGTGCATTGCCTTAGTGATCTAGACCCAAGGAGTCAGGGTTAGGGGAGGGGGAGTTAGTGAGGGAAGTGATAGGGACAATAAATAGCCTAGTGGATTTAAGAACTGTTGGTTCATTCCTATAGTCCCAGCTACAAGGGAGGCATAAGTAGGACTGTAGTCCAAGGCTGTAAGAGTAGAGGGAGTATAAGACATGAGACCCTATAAAGCAGAAAGAGGGAGGAATTGGTTTCCTCTTACAAGTGTCAAGAGAGGATTTACTTTGCCTTAATGATGGGAGGAAATAAGAGCATGTTTGGGCTGGGAAGGTGGCTCAGTGGTAGAGCGCTTGCCTTGCGTGCATGAGGCTCTGGGTTCAATTCCTCAGCACCACATAAGCAGAAAAAAAAAAGCCAGAAGTGGTGTTTGTGGCTCAAGTGGTAGGGCACTAGCCTTGAGCTGAAGAGCTGAGGGATAGCGTTCAGGCCCAGAGTTCAGGCCCCACCACCAACCAAAAAAAAAAAAAAAAAGGATGTTTGTATGCTGAATTGTTTGTCCCAAGTAGGAAGGAAAATGTGATAAGGAGAGGAAATGAGAATTAGTGTAAGTTGAAACAACCCACTTAGAAGCACAGATGTATCTAGCAACAGACCTTTACAGTAGATCCTTCAGATTAACTAGGCATTTATATGCTTGAGAAAGAAACAATACATTCCATTCCCCTGCTAAGAAATAAAGAGTATTAATTATGTCTGAAAGGAATGAGGCAAGATGATGAAAAATAACTATTGTATAGATAAGGGAAAAATTTAGATGATTTAATATTATGTACAAAGCTCTTGGGAAATAAAAGACTTTGGAACACAAGTTATTTGAGGATAAAAATGTTGACTAATTTGAACATTCAACAACTTCTCAAAAAGGCATTTTAACATCGCCAAATCCAAATAATTGGATTTGGGGTTTTTTTGGGGAAGGGCATTGGTGGTACTGGGGGATTAAGACTCAGACAAGCTCTTTACCATTTGAGCCATGCCACAAAGCATTTGTTGCTTTATTTTTCTCAAGATACGTGATCTATTTATTGTACAACCACATGTTTAAGTCATCTTGAAAGATAACTCCCTCCCCACCATATGAGACTTGCTGTCCTTATACCATAAAGATTAAGATGCTTAGTGGCCAAGAGTATTGTATGTATATATTTGGGGGGGGGGGTCAGTCATGAGGCTTGAACTCTGGGCCTGGTCACTGTCCCTCAGCTATTCAGCTCACAGCAAGCACTCTACCACTTGAGCCACAGCACCACTTCCAGTTTTCTGGTGGTTTACTGGAGCTAAGAGTCTCACACAGACTTTCCTGCCTGAGCTGCTTTGAACCATGATCCTCAGATCTCAGCCTCCTGAGTAGCTAGGATTACAGTTGTAAGCCACTGGCATTTGGCTATATGTATATCTTTAAGTCAATCTTTAGGAGATGAAAATCCCAACATTGTTGTTTTGGGCTTGGTAGGAAACTTATTCATGACACATTTCAAGAAAAATATCTTAGTCTGAAAACTAATTTTATTTTGTAGCTTAATGTAAAACATTTATATAGTCTCATTAAGTGCAAATAATTGATTTTCTGGAATATGCCATTAATTTGACCACTTTATGAAATATATTTGTCATGTGTGTGTGTGTGTATATATATATATATATATATATATATATATATATATATATATATATACTTGTGTGTGTGTGTGTGTGTGTGTGTGTGTGTGTGTGCGCACGTGCACGCCAGTACTGGGGCTTGAACTCAGGGCCTGGGTGCTGTCCCTGATCTTTTGTTTGCTCAAGGCTATACCACTTGAGCCAGTTCCACTTCTGCTTTTGTGGTGACTAATGGAGATACAAGTCTCATGTACTCTCCTGCCTGGAGTGGCTTCAAGGCATGACCCTCAGATCTCAACCTCCTGAGTAGCAAGGATCATAAGTGTGAGCCACCAGTGCCCATCTATGTATATCTTTTTTGAACTCTGGGCCTGGACCTGGGCACTGTCCCTCAGTTCTTCAGCTCAAGGCGAGAGCTCTACCACTTGAGCCACAGCACCACTTCCAGTTTTCTGGTGGTTAATTCGAGATAAAAGTCTTACAGACTTTCCTGCGTGGGCTGGCTTTGAACTGTGATCCTCAGATCTCAGCCTCCTTAGTAGGTAGGATTACAGGCATGAGCCACGGGCACCCGGCATGTGCATATGTATGTATGTATGCATTTATATATTCTCAGTCATGGAGGCTGAACTGGGCACTGTCCCTCAGCTCTTCAACTCAAGGCTAGGGCCCTATCACTTGAGACACAGTGCCTCTTCCGGCTTTTTTCTGTTTATGAGGTGCTGAGGAATCAAACCCAGGGCCTCATGCATGTGAGACAAGCACTCTACCACTGAGCCACCTTCCCAGCCCCATATGTATACTTTTAATCAAAATCTTAACTATGATAAAAGTCACAAAGAATATAAAAATATTAGCCTAGGTTTCAGTTAACTATTAATTTTCTGTATCTCGAGGTAAAGCTAATCAATTCTCTATTCTGCCTAAATTCAATTTATTAAAAGAATCTTCTGAAATTTATAGACTAGATCATCCATTATTGATCTAAGGAAATAATGGCTGTAAAATTTCAGTAGACCAAAGAAAGTGATCTACATGTTTAAAATGTAGATTCCTCAACTATATATAAATCATCAATTCAGTGGGATTGAAATAATGTCCAGTATTCTACATTTTTACAAGTCCTCATGGAGAAGATACCATGAGTAAACTCTTGGAGGAAGTGAAGGGTGAGATGTGAAATATTTTAGAAAACATCATTCAAAGGATTTCACAGGCAATCCAGTTTCAAGTCTCAGATTAGATTAAACTATCTATATGATGAAACAGTCCACTAGGAGAACCCTAGAGTTTTGTTCCAAAACCCCTAGTACTCAAAGCTTCCAATTCTGGTTGGGAAAATCAGAGCGTTCTTGTTTAAGTTTTCATGTAGATCCTTCAAAACATACGTGTTATAACCTCCTGCCTATGCAAAAACCACCATCTTTTGGTAGAGTTTTTCTTTCTGCTTATCAAACCAAACACTTTCTGAAGATATCCTTGGTCTCTTGTGTAAAGTGCAACTCTCAAGATGGCCAGAGATCTCAGATACACAGGTTGTCAAATTCCCACTCTGAATACATCCCTAGTGCAACATTACATTAAATATCGCTGCTGTCACTGAGGATCCTGTATCCTCCATTGAATTATGGTACTACCTAGAAAGATAGTAAACCAAGGCAGGACAGCAACCTAGCAACTGGGTTCTGCTTAACTAGAGTTTGCTAGTGCTCAGTACTGTGGAGGTAGCAATGGGATCACAGTGAACTGTTTTCTGAAAGCAACTCTTTTATTTCCTTTGTGATATTTTTCCGTAAAATGCTGACGATAAAGTGATAAGCCTGAAACACTTTTTCAAACTAAGAGTAAAAATTATTTTCTGGATCCCTGTACCTATTACAGAACCATCATTAAGGTTGGTGTCAAACACTTATTGAGCACATACCAATATACTCTTCTAGAAATGTAAGAGAATTTTTAAAAGATGGCATAGTGCTGGCTCTTGAGAAGACTTGGTTATCGGGAAGATAAGCATCGAAAGATAAACTAATCATATCAAAAGAGATCACAAAAAGGAGAGAGGCCAGGCACTTGTGGTTCATACCTATAGTCCTAGCTACTTGGGAGGCCGAGATCTGAGGATCATGGTTCAAAGCTAGCCTGGACAGGAAACTCTATGCGACTCTTATCTCCAATAAACTACTCAAAAAAGCCAAAGTAGCACTGTGGCTCAAGTGGTAGAGCACTCACTTTGAGAAAAAGAAGCTCCAGAGTTCAAGCCCCAGGACCAGCAAATAAAGGAAGAGGAAGAAGAGGAAGGGGAAGAAGAAGAGGAAGAGGAAGAAGATTAAAAAGAAGAAAGAAAGAAAAGGAAGAAAAAAGAAGAAAGAAAAAGAAGGAAAAGAAAGAGAAAAAGAGAAAGGAAAAAGAAAGAAGGAAAAAGGAAGAGAAAAGAGAAAGAAAGAAAAAAAGGCGGAGGAGAAAGAGGAGGAGGAAGAAGAAGAGGAGGAGGAGGAGGAGGAAGAGGAAGGAAGGAAGGGAGGGAGGGAGGAAGGAGAGGAGCTAGAAGAGCAGGCATAAAGCAAGAGTGAGCCTGGGGAATGTTTATGGCTTACTGGGAAACAGTAAAAGCTCAGTGTAGTTGAGGGAAGTTACTTTACCCTGAAGAGCAAAGTTATGAGATGATAATCAGAAAGAAGACTAGGAGCCATCCTGAAGAGAGATTCTGAAATGTCAAGCCAAGAAATTTGCAGTTTGATGGTAGAAAAGAGTAAAGTATCACATAAAGCCATGTTGAGCAATATGAACACTGAAGACATGTAGGATAGATAGGGGCGGTGGTGCTGAGGACAGCTACATCAGCTCCCAAGTTTCAGGAGATGGGGACCAAGAAGAGCAGCATTTATTATTATGAATTTCATGCATCAGTTTCATAAAATACAACTGAGTTTTGCTACAGATATAGCATCAGGATTTTTCAGAGGATGCTAGCAAAATGAAATTTGAAAGGGGTTTGATTTTTTGTTTAACCAGGAATGTAATGTTTTAATGACAAAAAGGTTATGAAAGTCAAAAGTAATCTTATTTATATGTTTTATTTAAGAGGCTGTGTATTGTTTCACTTTCTATGTCCAATTGATTTGGCAATATACTTTCAAGCAGTGCCCCAAAACAACTTTGGCCTAAAAGTAGAGAAAAATCTAATTTCAAATGGATCTATTAATTTGAAGGAAATGAAAACTTTGGTGTAAATGCTGCAAACTTGAAAAACATGTCAGTATATCCTTCTATATTTTATATCCCCATTGTTCAAAAGCTAAAGGGAGAGTGCCTAATCAATCATCAAATCAGGAGAGGAGTATTGGTAAGTTCTATTTTATCAAACTGTGTTCACAGAGGAGCAGTGTACAAATAAGACAATTTAAGTACTAGACTGTGAAGGGATGGAAGCCAAATACCTTAATTTTGACAACTTCTTAAGAATGGGGACCAGAATGGGAACCTAGTTTTTTTTTCTATCATGACATAATTACGTAGAAACAGAACACAGAGCCAAGCAGGCTTTGTTGAACTATTCTTTTACATGATCTGTAAAAGCTTTGTTTCGTTAAAGCTTCTGGGAAAAAAAATTGAAGTAATGTATCCCTGAGGTTTTTATTCTGACCTGGTGTTTGTAGCAAGCTGTGTGCGTGTGTGCATGCGTGCGTGCGTGTGTGTGTGCTATTAAAGCACTAGTGCTGTTGCCACCTTCTGTCCAGACTGAAGAAAACCTTTCTAAGATGATGTGACTAAATCAATGCCTTTTTTCCTAAACACTCTGCTTCTAAGAGTGTGTGACAGGATTACTAGTGGATCTAGACTGCTGTGTACTCAGTAAAATAAAGACTCTGCACTCTTCACATCCTCAGCACAGCCCACACAGGGGATAAATGTTTGTCTCTACTCCCATTTCTACAGCAATCATCACTCCCTTTCTTGATTTATTTCTATAACGAGACAACAAGCTTGGATCTTCTGTATCATGGTTTAACCTCAAAGTCCCTGTAACTCAGATTTTGGTATGCAAAATATAATTGGGTTAATCCCTTGCTGTAAGGGATGTTATATATTGCCTTGAGGCTTTTTGAATGGCATGTGGTAAGACACCACTGGTCCCTGACATAATTGTATTAGTCTAAGCAATGGGGGATGGATTAATTAGCTACATGTCTAGGAAGCGCAAAAGTCACATCCATGTTAAATATGAACATACTCAAGATGATGCTAGGGGAATGACTTCAAGGTGCAAGATTTTGTTCTTACAAACATTTATTTTCCTCCAAATTTATTGTGTTTTTCTGTAATGATGTGAAAAGTCTTCAGTTCCCTTTTCCCAAGTGTTGAGGTTCAGAAAGCCAGATCTTAACCATTGACTAATCTTCATCTCTTCATGTCTTGTATGTTGATTTTAGTTTCATGTGTAAGTATTTATATTTGTTTTCCTTGGGGATTTATACATTGATATATATATATATATATATATATATATATATATTCCTACACAGATATATACACTTTTTTTAATCCTCATCTTACCACTTGACAATACACTTTTAAATGTTTTACACAGCTGTTCCTTGGTCAAGGTCATTTGCAAGAGCAAGTCGGTTTCTGAAGAAATCTTGTTTGGTGGGTGAAGGATCCATTGAGGGATTCTCATTAGTTTTTTCCCTGTATTCTGATCCACTGGACCTAAAATCTCAGCACACAGATAAAGTACAGGTTGATTTGGTTTTAATTGTTGTCAAATATTTTATCTATCCAAATTGTTTTGCATTTGTAAAACAGTTGTCTCCTAGATTTGGAATAAATCTTACTCTCCTGAATTTTAAGACTCAGGATATGTGTTGGCTAGGATTTGCAGCGAACATAAAGATAATATCTTTCTAATGCCTCCTCAGCACAGTTGTGACAACTGTGTATGTCCGTGTAAGATACCATGTAATTACACTGTAGTAAGGGGAGAAAAGCTCAGAAAATGCACAATATCCTATTTTTGGTTCAATGAAGTAACTATACCACAAAAATACCAAAGCCCTAAAATTAAAATAGATATAACTCCACCAAGGCTATTAAGGGCCTTAGCTGAATCTAGGCATTGCATTACAAACTCTTGCTTTTGCTTGTTTTCATTTTTAAATGAAAGATTTATTGAAGCCAACCACATAAATATGCTACATTTGTTAGAATGCAGAAATCAGTACAGTAATCAGATTTAGGAGATACTATAAATCTCAGCTACCGCAAAAGAAACCAAGGCCAACTCAAGTCAGTCCATCTGAGTCCCCAGTCGAGGATCATTCTTCCTTTAGATCTTGGTTAAGCCAGTGGGTAATCCATTCCAGCTCTGCACCTTCTCCAGTTTGTTCATGTCAGAAGTCCCTGGAGGGAGGAGGCTTTCTGGAAATAACCTCTGGTAAGCTAGACTGGGGCCCTTTCACTAATGTAAACTCTGAGATAGGATGGGTAAAATTAGCCCTGTAGCCAAGAACCAGTATCAAAAGATTTCATGCGGGATGTATGAAAGTGATGCGAGACAAAGTTCTTTGTCCAAAGCTCCTATGCAACCACACAATTTCTCATATGCTGAGGTTGAGTCAGATATGCTTCCCTGTCCACAAAAGAATAACTGACCTCTGTACATTCACTACCCTGAAAGTTCTTTCACTGATATGTTAGTATACTATTTTTTGTTCTTTTATTAGTTAATTATGATTCTATTATGTACTGAATTAACTGGCCAGATTCAAACATCCTTTTACATTATTCAAGAAAAGAAATTGGATCCTCACACAGACTACAATCCTGGAGACCTGATGGCTAGGCTAGGCATTTTCACTTTTTGCCCTCATATGAAGGAACACAGATGAAGTCATAGCTGCTCACCATGCCTTTACTTTGGTAAGGAATATTTCTGTGCTGCATCCCAGTGAAGAGAGGAAAACTTTTTCTCACAACTCTAGTCTATCTGGATGGGATGAAGTTCTCTTCCTCTTAGGGACCCACTAAACTCACCCTTGAAAAAGACTACCCTTGCCCCTCTCTAAGACTGAGACCTCTCAATACTCCTGCCTACTTCCATTCAGATCACCCCTGATTGATACAATTGTGCCCCAAATGTGAGGAAGATGTATTTTGACCATTTCATTCTTTGCCTAGGTCTTCTGTTCAAGAGCCTAGGAATGCCCCCCTCCTTTATTTTTTCAGGAGCAGCAAGTAGAGAGCAGGAACTGAATTGGGCTGCAGTTTCTTCTAAATTAGTCTTGCCCATGACAGTTTCTCAACAGAAGGTCACTAATCAAAACTTAAATATCATCACCTCACATTTCCCCTCTTATCTACATCTGATCTCTCCAAAACCCAACATGTTACACTTCCATGTTCCCACATGCAACTGTTCAGTGTTTACCTGGAAATGGGAAAGCTTTGATGTCACCACCAGCCCCAAGGACCACAGAAATCTTCACCAGTTGCGTTCCCATTTCTGAAACAAATGCCAAAATCGCCCTGTCTAGTTTTTAAAGTCCACAGACTCCACTTATTTTTTTTTTAAACTGCTCTTCTCACTTTCCCTGCCTCCAGTATCTGCATGCCCTTGCATTTCTTAGTATTAACAAACTACAAATTAACTAATGGTTAACTTGCTAATCCTTTCCAAAACTATCATTCTACTGTCAAGTTTAACTGACCTCTTCATAATGTGTAGCATGCTGTATGATCACCTGGATTCTTCCAAAGGTGTGTCTGTCTCTGAACTATTGCAAAAACACAGAAATGACTTTTGTGCTCCCACAGCTATCTTGGTTGACTTGAGTGGGCACATCTAAGCAGGCTCTAAAGAGACAACCACTTGCCAGGAAAGGGTACAATGGCTGCCAGTTCATTCTAACACATGGCCATACCAGCGTTTGATGGAAAGACGAAAAAAGAATAGTCTTGTTACTAACTTTCCTTACATTCAAGTAACAGAGACAAAGAGAATTACAAGTTGGTTATTCAAAAAGTGTAGATTTGCTACTGATAAACCTGGAAAGTTTGGAGTTGGGGAAGGGAGAGGGGTGGAGTCTAATACCACAGAAGCCTCTCTGAGTTAAGAAGAATTGGTCTCTGATGGGGAAAACTATCCTCCTTGAAAGCTTTAGAAGACATGCAAATAGAGAGTAAGAGTATTCATTGTCAGGGGTGGTGGTGGAAGGAATCATCTGTCCTCTTAGCCAAACCAGTTAGCCCTGGTAGTCAATGTGTAAAATGTATTTGTTTTACATGCTAGGTACTATAACTTGCAGTTAAGTTACCCTTACATTGGATGGTAAGCTCCTAATGGATAGGATTTCTAGTGCTTCTTTTGTACTGGTCAGAACCTAGTACACTGCAGACCCTTAATGACTGATTTCAAATGACCTATTGAGAAATATTTATCATCAGAGTTTAAGTGATCTAAAATATTTAAATATCTCCTTCAATTTTAAAGTTATATAGAGAATTAAATGAAATAGAAGAGATCCCCACAGCAAGGGCTTTAGATGGGCATTAGGAGGTAGAGAAGAAGGTAAGGGTAAAATGATCAGTCGATTCTTTGGTATTCCTGCTTTCTATTATAAACTTTGTTCCATGGCCATGGTTGAACAAATACAAAAACAGTTAAAGATACCAAAAGAAGAAGATTCCCTGACACTTATTTATATGAGCCCTTTAGAAGTGCTCTCCTAGTGTATAATTTAAAAAATAGATTTAGGTGACAGGTGGAGGCAGGGTGGTAATTAAGACAAAAATACTCTAAGGCATGTCACAAAATACTAGCCAGGGAATTGTTGAGAAAACAATCATTTGGATGCCAAAGTCTTTACCTTAAACTCCCTCCCTCAAATTTGAGAATTTAAAAGAGAAAGCATCATCTACATTCCCTACTCCTAAACTGCCTTACAAGATTCTTTTCCTTACTGCCACACCCTTAACTTACCCATCCAAGAATACTTGTTTACCCAAGTGCAAGATTAATATATGAAAGATGAAAGTACTATTTACCTTAGCCTTTACAATAATCTAGGCTTAGGTTCTTTACAGTTTCCATACAGAATCTTCTAGAAGGGATAGTTACCTTCCATCCTGCTCAACAGCAGGGGGAATAAGTGTCCCATCCAGCATCACCCATCCATATTAGGTCTGTTCCTAGCTTTTAGAAATTGTTACTTAAAATGTGTAAAGTCACTTAATATTTTTAAACTCTTAAGATATGTAAACTTTATTCTGATAAATTCTTGACACTGCTCATGGCTACATAACCTGGCATCTGTCTAGGACAAATGTGCCTGAGATGGGAATAATCAAAGGGTCATTCATTCCCTCAAATATCATGGGCATTTTTCAGGACTTTTTTTTTTTAATGATGTCAGCTTGACTCCCCTTTGAATCCTGTGGGTGTGAGCATTCGGCCCTCCCAGCCTCAGAGGGAAGAGAACCCTTTCTCAGGTTTTCTGTTGCATCTGGCTCCATGCCTAGCTTCATCCCGAAGCAGCATTCTGGGTGTGTGGGGCCACCAGCCAAACAAGCCCCTATGGAACAAAAAGTGTGTCAGTGTAGACAGGAATGAGCCTCTAAAGGTTTGCAGAGGAGGAAGGCAGTGAGCCCCAAACATGACACAAGTGGCCCATTTGGACCTAACAGGTCCAGCTCTGGAGTGTTTCTAGAACCCAGCATTTGCCACTGCTGCCATAAGTGTCTAAAATAGTGCATGCAAAGAAGAATGATGTATTCTCATTTGAGGTAAAAGACCCTGGCCCTTTTGTGCTATGTTTAGGCCTCTTCCCTTTCTCTCTATAGTATCATACTGAGGTATAATAGACTTTCTGTGGTCCTTGGATAAAAACACTCAGGAAAAACTATTTAAGCTGCTTCTTTATCCCTTGTCAGGTCCCCAAGGTTTTTATTGTGGCCCTATGCCAAATCTGGCAAGCCAAAGGTAAAATAATCTCAGTGGCCTTACCTTTACTTCCACTTAGATAAAACTTTAGATTTTAGGTACAAAAGATAATGCCACTACTGTCAACAACAGTATGACTGGTGCAGAAAGGACAACAGGACTAAAGGAATCCCCTGTCCATTTAAAGAAGAATCTCAAAAAGAAGACTTAAAGAAATTAACCAGCATGAATTGGAGGAGCTACACAGTAAGTCTTCTGCATTATATCAGGAGGTTATACAAAGATAAAATATGGTCTCCCTGCATAGTGGATCTTTTCTTTTTCTTTTGTGCTTGTACTGGGGTTTGAACTAAAGGCCTGAGTGATATCCCTGAGCTTTTTTTTTTTTTTTTTTTTTTTTTTGCTCAAGGTTAGCACTCTACCACTTGAGCCATAACTCCACTTTTAGCTTTTTGGTGGTTAATTGGAATCTCACAGACTTTCCTGCCTGAGCTGGCTTTGAACTGTGATCCTCAGATCTCAGTCTCCTGAGTAGCTAGGATTACAGATATAAGCCAATGATGCCTGGCTGCCTGGTGAATCGTTAAAATTAAAGGCCCAAGTTTACATCCATTTCTTTCTTCAGGTGATAAAAAGATATGACTACTCAGTCTGAGCAACAAAATGAACCAACAGATAAAGCAAATCTCCACATTAGAAATGACTTGAGCAGTCTCCCATATATGTGAGAATCCCTTTCACAGTACTTTTCCCAGAGTTACCTAGGTTTTATTTCAAGGATCTCACTCTCATGAGATCACCAGTTCTAGTTCTAGGCAGGTGCATTCTTGGAGAGCTCATCCTCTGACTCAGTGATGTTAGTTACGCTCTCTGGATACAGTGAAGACATACCTATGCCTTTTGGCCTCATACAATGAGCAGAACATTTTTTTACATGTCTCATAAACAGAATTTGTAAAGGAACAAGTGGCAGATGGTTTTCTAACAGCCAGTACCCAGGCATTATAAATTGAAGTGGAATACTACAGTTAAAAAAAACGGTACAGTTCAAGTAGTGTCCTTAAGAGTTTGGGGTCTTTAGGATTTCAGAACCTTAATCCTCAAGTTCAAGCTGGAAAGTTCTCTGCTTCTAAGTTCTCCCATCCACCCCTGTCAACCCTAACAGAAATAGTCACTAGGCCAAGAAAGATCTAAGTCCATGAGCTCAGAGAGAGATAAACAATTCTTAATTCCCTAATCTCTGAAGAAAGCAGCTGAGGATCCAGCAACAGTCATCAATGCCCTGGATTGCACTGTAAGTAGATTTGAATAGTGGTTAACTACACAACTCTAGTAATATCTAGTAACAGGCGAGGACCAACAATCAGAGACCTACTAATCTTAGTAGTATCCTCCTCATTTGAGAGGAATTAGACAAGTCACAAAAGAAACCAAAACAAAAAAACCACACCACATTTTAGGACTCCTTCCTTTTCTTCTATCCAATATCATTATCTAAATCAGCCAATAATCTCTACTCTCAAGGACAAAGTGATTTTCCAGCAAGTCTCCAAAAGCAGCAGTAACTCCTTTATTTTTCCATCTACTAGAATATGAAGACTTGGTATTTAAAACTGACTGCAAGAACTTCTACCAAGAGAAATTAATAAGCAGAGCAAGCTCCCCAAGGAAAAGGGATGTCGGCCGAAGGACAATGGCAACAGAGTCATTCAGGCAGTCAATAGCTGGACTGCTTGATCCCTCAGTGGTCAAACATTAATGCTCATTTCTCTCTTACGTTTATGCTAGAGTTTGGCTCTGCCTCCCAGCACTGTAACACAGTGCTGGCCAAAACACCTGGTGGCTGATGTTTCATGCAACAACAAAGACTTAGGAAATCCACAGGAGGAAATGCCTTGGTCTTGTCACCTATGTAGGATGGACACTCTTTTAATGCAATTTAAAAACAAAACTAGGGCCCAAGCCAAATCCATTCATCCAAGGAATACACTAGCAGAAGTCCCAATAAACATATATTAGCACTCAGGGTAATTAAAGGCCCATGAAGGAGTTAGTGCTGAAATGGCCTTACAAAACTTCCCACAGGTGGAGATTCCAGTAGAGCATCCCTCTCCGCCCAGCTCCCTTTGGGGATCTCCTCTGCTCATGCCTCTCAAGACTTTGGGAACAAGGAGGGAAGGATAAAAGATAGATGTGCCAGGGCAGAGAGCTGAGTTTGCTTCTCCTATGGGAGATTACAAGGAAAAATATCTTAATATCACCGCAGGAACTGTGGCCACTGGGTGCAGGCATTGAACTTGAAGCAGTTGTGTGAGAACCAAACTATTTGGTAATCATTACTGTTAAAACCCTCAAGACTTAGCCCAAAGGGAAACGAGTTACAATGCCGTCTTGTCTAAGGGCTACTCACTTCTTTTTAAAGAGCTTGCGGAAGGAGCTGCGAAAGCCCCCTTTCTGGTCTTGCCTGGGGTTTTGATCGCTGAAAGATGTTTGTTCACTTTCTCTTTCTTCCCTCGGACAGAATCGGGTGGTATCTTCTAAATGCATCTCCTGAAAACACAAAAAAGGGGCAGTTTTTTACTCTTTTCTAAAAATGTCTAATCCTGGCTGTGGGACAGATTTTTCCTCTTTCTCTCTCTTTTTCTCTTTCTCCCTTCCTTCTTTTCTTCCTTTCCTTCTTCCCTCCTTCATTTCTGTTTTCTTTCTTTTTTGTCACTTTCCCATCCTACTCTAAGAAAATACCAGTGAACACCATATCCCAACTAAAGCAAGAAGAAATCAGCGGATGGAAAGAAATTTCGAATATGGTATTTTTTACACATTAAAACTAACAGTCTAGCATAGGGTATAATGATAATTAAAGATAAGGAAATAGTTCAGCTAATTATAAAACTACAGAAAATAAATTCTTATCTGGCATTAGCACTGCCTTGCTGGAAACCCAGTCCTAAGCCTTCATATCCTTGACTATGTTTCTCTTTCTACATAATAAGAAACTTTGTTTACTGTAATACTAGGAATTTTGTTTGTGTTTTGGTTATACTTTGGAGGAAAACAAGTAGACCAATAGGATGTTATTACCACAGCGTAATATCAGTTCCAAACTTGTATTGCTCTCTATTTTAGTCATAAAGGAAAGGAGTTTTTGAAAGGTCTGACCTATAAATATGTCTTTAATCTATTTCTTAATTCATAATCCAGATTTTGAGTGTAAAGTGAATTAAAAAGAAGGCTGTATCTTTTTTTTTTTTGTCAGTCGTGGGTCTTGAACTCTGGGGCCTGGGCACTGTCCCTGAGTTCTTCAGCTCAAGGCTAATGCTCTACTACTTGAGCCACAGCACCACTTCCAGATTCCAGGTAGTTAATTGGAGATAAGTGTCTCACAGACTTTCCTGCCCGGGCTGGCTTTGAACTGCGGTCCTCAGATCTCAGCCTCATGAGTAGCTAGGATTACAGGCATAGATCACCAGTGACTAGTAAGGCTGCATCTTTGTGAACTCACTAATTTCCTTTAAATGTGAGATGTGCTCATAGATGTGTGTATAAGCTAGATATTGATATCATTAACAAACTATTTACCTTGAGGTGATTTGGAAGCAATCTAAAATTAGCTGCTTAATCCTGATTAACTTTGAGTACCAAAGAAGCCAAAGTGCACACATGCATGCGCGTGCACACACACAGACACAGACACAGAAAAAACTCATAAAATGATGGATGACTGCTTGTTGACAGAGAAGCAAAGCATGAGGATGAATTTTCCAGAAAGCATACAGGTGTGACTTTGGGAACTTAAATGAAGGAGTAGTACCAGATGTAGAAAGAGGTCTGAGCCCTAGACTTTCTGAATCAGAACCTCTGAAGTGAAGCTTAGATAGTCTTTATGCACACTTACATATGAAACTAATGGTTTAAAATATATTTCTGCCCATTAATACATGAATCGCCTAAGAATGAACCCTAAGCTACAGTTTCTATCCAGTAGGTCTGGCTACCCTTTATGGATTTATAACAAGTTCCCAGGTAATGTATTCACTAGTAGCTACAGGACATTTTCAGAAGTGCTTGCAGGGACTAAAGCCAGGTGACAGTGCTGTCCAAAATGCCAGCTGAATGAAGTACCATACAAGGAATTAGAATCTCAGAAGGACCAAGGATGTGCCTTGGGTATGCCTCCTATACATGAATGGATATTCCATTCATGTGATATGTAATTAGGATCTTGATAATATTTGCATCTGTACTGCACTCCATAGTTTGCAAAGCATATTCATAAATTTTATATTGTTTGGCCTGATCCCTATGAAGTAGAAGGTAAGATAAATTCTATCTTATTTTAGAGATAAAAAAACTGGTGATGAAGAGTTGTGAACTGTCCAAAAGCACACAGCTGTTTGGCAGCAGAGCCAGCGCTAGAGCTGGAGTTCCTATCGCTGTCAATGTTCTTTGCATGGAAGCATACTATTTCTTGGTTCTTAGGAAGAACATATTAAGGACTAGGTTTAAGCTGGATCTCTTGGGCAGGGATGGGAGATGCAGAATATATTTGAAGAGATAGACAAGGAGTTTTGTACATCTTACCAGCCAAGAGCTGACATCCTTGAGGACAGAGGTTTTAAAACCCCTATTCTCTGCCCAACTCAAATGCATTCACTCTCACATATACATGCCTAATATTAATGCTATACACATACGTAGAGCATGCATGTATGTACACACACATGCACAAACATGTATACCCCCAGGCAGCCTCTGACCACCTACACTCTTGTCTATTACCTCTCTCTAGGAGTCCCAGAGATTCAGGCCTTCTGAGGTATTTTGTTGTTTTGTGTTTTTTATTTATTTTTTGTCAGTCGTGGGGCTTGAACTCTGGGTCTGGGCACTGTCCCTCAGCTCTTCAGCTCAAGGCAAGTGGTCTACCACTTGAGCCACAGTGCCACTTCCAGTTTTCTGAGTGGTTTATTGGAGATAAGAGTCTCACAGAGTTTCCTGCCTGGGCTGGCTTTGAACCGTGACCCTCAGATCTCAGCCTCCTGAGTAGCTAGGATTACAGGCGTGAGCCATCAATGGCCAGCTATTTTTTTATGCTAATGCCAGAGGGCTGAGCTTGCTCAGCTTACTTCCAAACGAGCATTTTGCTGTTTATTTTAATAATGGAATCTTCAGGATTTTTCTGCCTAGACTGGCTTTAAACCAAGATCCTCCAGGTCTCGGCCTCCTGAGTATCTAGGTTTATAAGCATGAGCTACCAGCACCCAGATTTCTGGGTGCTGAGGGTCTTTTGTTATTGTTGGCTCTGTGTGTGTGTATGTGTTTTGGGCCCACTGGGCTGTCCCTGAGATTCTTTTTCTCAAGGCTAGGCACTCTATCCCTTAAGCCACAGGGCCACTTTTCTAGCTTTTTCTTAATAGTTTATTGTAGATAAGTCTCATAGACTTTCCTGCCTGGCTGACTTTGAACTGCAGATCTTAGCCTCCTGAATAGCTAGGACTATAGGTGTGAGCCATCGGTACCCAGATCTTTAATAAGTTTTCAAATTTTGACTCAGTGTGTCCACGTGGGCAGCACAGCTCTTCTCTTTGTCCCCTGGCCTATTTTCTAGCTTTCTCATCTGAAATACTGTGTTGAAGGAAAAACATTCTTTGCTGATTTATTTCTAGAAATTACTTTTCATGTTCCATTCCCTCATTCCTTCCCCTCAGTAACTCCTTAAAGTAACTTTTAAAGTATAAGTCTGATATTCAGTATATCTAGGCCTTCTCTGACCACCACCCCAAGAGATTTTATTTAGTGCTAGTAGTGGTGCTTGAACTCAGGGCCTCACTCTCTCACTTGGCTTTTTCATTCAAGGCTGGTACTCTACCACTAGAGCTACACCTGCACTTCTAGTTTTTTGCTGGTTAATTGGAGAGAAGAGTCTCATGGACTTTTTGACCAGGATGGTTTCAAATTGCAATCTTCCCATCTCAGTCTTTTAAGTGTAGGATAGTATGAGCCACTGCAGCTGGCTGGCCCAAGAGGTTTTAGATACTCCTTCAATGGGCTCCCACAGTTATTTACAATTCCATGTTGTCTATTTCTAAATCTTCAGTAATCAGCACAGAGCCTGATACAAGGTGGGCAGTGCTTGCTAGAAAAATTAATGAAAGGAGTTAGTGATCTGTTCCCATTCACTTCATCATGAGTGGAATAGAAGGGTGGTGGCAAAAATTAAGAACTACTTGGTGTGTGTGTGTGTGTGTGTGTGTGTTGGGATGGGGTATTGTCCTGGACTTGAACTGGGATTCTCAAATCTCAGCCTCCTAAGCAGCTAGCCATGAGCTACTGGCACCTGGTGAGAGCTACTTTGTAAAATTTTCTCTGCATCAGAAATTGCCTTTCTTTTCAATTTATGTTAGAACCTAAATATTTGCTCAGGAACTATTGTCCCTTTCACTACACAATCTGGGATACATAATTTTGGCGTATTCTAAATGCCCCAAAGCTTGCAGAAAGCAAGATACATTAAAGCTAAAGATGTTTTTCAGAACCAATCCAGTTACCGGAGCTTGAACTCAAGTCTTCAAGCCTACTCAGCTTTTCCCACTCATCTGAGGTCCTACTATTTAAGCCCAGCTTCTGGCAAGTGGAAATGTATTTGGTCTGCAGCAAACTTGGCAGCCTACATGGGGACTGGGTGACTTGCCTTGTCCCTAGCTACCAACAAGGACAGTGGGCGGAAGGTGACACACAGCGGTCGACATTTTTTTGCACATTTAAACAAGGAGGTGCACCTTGCACAAAGCGGGGGGGGGGGGAGGGAGGGAAAGGGGGGGAATAAATTAAGCCTCGCATTCGCACGTGGGCGCTTTGGGAAGGTACAACGCTGAGACACCACCAGCTCATACGGGAAGAGACCACCTCTAACGTGTGTGTGTGTGCGCGCGCGCGCGTGCACGTTGGGCTTAACCAGTGTGTGTGCGCGCGCGCGCGTGCGCGTTGGGCCTAACCAGAGTCGAGGCCTTCTCTGCTCTCTCTGCCCACGTGTGCTGTGCCCTACTCTATGTCCGGCTACCTGCCCCTGGCACTGGCAGGCCATCGAGGCACGAGCCGTGGGGGGGCTTCCTGGGCTCCACCACGGCTCGCCCCCCCCCACCCCTCCCCATGGCCTCGCCCGCTCCCTCGGTGCTGGGAGACCCTCGGGCTGCCCTGAGATCTAGGCCCGGGGCCGTCGGCGCGGTGGGCTTCGTGTCGGTCGGTTTTACTTTACCCTCCTTACTTCCAAATAGGTCTGTTTTTCGCTTTGGGACCGCTGTTGGGGGAAGAAGGTCCGCGGCGCGCCGCGGGCGGAGGCGGCGGCGGCGGCGGCGCCCAGCGGCTGCGCGGCGCGCTCGGCCTTGAGCGGCGCGCGGCCGCCGCTGCTGCTGCGCGTGCTGTAGAGGCGCGGGGCCACGCCCTCGGCGGGCGGCGCGCGCGGGAACTCCTTCAGCGAGCGGCTCAGCGGCTTGGCCTTGCCGTGCGCCTGCGCCTGCGCCTGCGCGGCCTCCAGCTTGTAGGCGCCGGTGCTGCTCGCCGGCGACGTGGCGCTCTTGGGCAGCGGCTGCAGCGGGTGGTCGGGCCGCTCGGCCTCCATGGCGAAGCTGACGGGCCGCAGGAAGCAGATGTCCAGGCTGGACTCAGAAGAGGCGGGCGAGCAGTTCTCGAAGAGAGCCGGGGCCTGGAACGGCTCCTCGTCATAGGGCGCCGGCAGCGCGAAGATCTCGCCGCCGTACTCGAACTCCTCGTAGGCCGTGGGCACGAAGCCGCGGGCGTCGGGCAGCAGCTCGGCCGGCGTGCGCAGCGAGCGCTCCACGTTGCCCAGCGGCTCGGCGGGAGACGGCTCGAAGTCCATCTCCGGGATGGCCTGCAGGGGCCCGGCCAGCGCCTTCACGTCCTGCTCGGCCGCGCAGAACTGCGCAGGCGCCAGCAGGTTCTCGGGCCTCTCGTGCTTCCGGGCCTCCATCTCCCAGTCGCTGGGCTTCCCGGGCTGCATGCTCTCCATCAAGCCCTGCTGCTGTTGGCTCTTCTTCGCGGGGGGCATTAAGTGCCTTCGGAGGGGAAACAGTACAAAAGAGACGTGCTTACGACTTATCCGCGCTGGCCTTCGCCCCGCACCCCTCCGCGCGTCCCCTCGCCTCCAAGCGCCTGCTTGGGTTGCCCACAGCCTCCACCAACTTCAGCTAAAGAGTTTTTAAGAATCGTTGTCACCAAGTAGAAGAGGGGAAATGACAGGAAAGCGAACGCCCTCAAAGTCCCCACTTAGCATTGAGGCACTCAGACATGGCTGTTGGACGGGCGCCAGTGGCTCACTTCTGCTATCCTAGCTACTCAGGAGGCTGAGATCTGAGCATGGAGGAGGTTCGAAGCCAGCCCGGGCATGAAAGTCAGATTAATATCCAATTAACCACCAAAGAGCTGGAAGTAGAGCTGTGGCTCAAGAGGTAGATTGCTAGCCTTGAGTGAAAAAGCTCAGGAACAATGCCCAGACCCTGAATTCAAGCCCTAGGACTGGCCCAAAAAGAAAATGTGTAAGGAGGGCTGGGAAGGTGGCTCAGTGGTAGAGCGCTTGCCTTGCATGCCTGAGGCCCTGGGTTCGATTCCTCAGCACCATATAAGCAAAAAGAAAAAAGCCGGAAGTGGCGCTGTGGCTCAAGTGATAGAGTGCTAGCCTTGAGCTGAAGAGCTGAGGGACAGCGTCCAGGCCCAGAGTTCAGGCCCCATGACCAGGCCAAAAAACAAAAGAAAATGTGTAAGGAATGCAAATGTAGATGTCAACACTGAACATCTTAGAGGATCAGCATACAGCAATCATAAATGGAAATTAAGTCTTACATTTACAGGTAGGAAAAGAAAATAGAATATTAACCTGACTCCAATTCTTTTACTTTGGAAGATTATTATTATTATTATTTCTCAACACAGTATAATGGCAGCCATACTATTCAGATGGAATGTCTACCTTTCCATTTTTGGCTCTATTTGTTGCACATCAAGAGGATAACTTTTCTCACTGTCTGGAGTTGAAGTAATCCACAAAGTAAAATTTCACTTTCTGTCTCTATTTGTACTCCAGGTATCAACAGTATCATCTTTAGTATCATCAGTGCCTTTTTTTCTAGGGGGTCCCAGCATCTGGTGGACAGTTTGGCTGTCACAGGAAGGAGGAGTTCTGTAGATCATATTTCTAAGCCTAGTCAGCCTACTAACTCACACAAAATGCTGAGATCTAAGGACATGGCCCTTAACCTTTCCACAGCAATAGGTGCTTACGTGACAGCAGAGCCAGAACTGGGAGCAGAAGGGTAGGGTTGCAACATCTCTTCTGAGTGGATCCCACTGTCCCGGACAGCCTCAGGGCCTGCAGTGGAAGAAGCATCTTGGCCAGCATTTGCACACTGGGAAGCCAGCCCTTTGTACAGCTTTGCCATAGATGACCTGACAGAATGGAAGTAATCATTCTCAGGGTGTACAAGGAGAAACTGGCTCTGTGATCACAGAGACTATGCCAAGAAAGAGTTGTCTCTAGATAAAGCTTACTGTGGGATTGCGCTCTCTCGCTCGCTCGCCCTCCCTCCCTCCCTCCCCCCCCCCTCTCAATCTCTTCCCCCCCCCTTTCTTTCTCTCTGGGGTCCTTCTATAACCAAGTTGCTTATATAATAAGGTATAAGCTGACAGCTGGGCAGGTATTAGAATGTGGATAAATTAGCTGAAAAAAGCTTGGGAGCCAGCGGAGGGATGGAACGATTTCTATTACAGAAGATAGCATCTTTTTCTGGTCTGAAGTCCTGATAGAAATGATTCTGCATTCTCAACCAAATGGGTTGGAATGCAGCTAAAGAAAATCCAGGCTGTTAAGAAAGCTCTGCTATGGGTTGTACTTTTCCCTCAGAGTCCCAGATGCTGTCTAATCAAAGGGGTTTCTTTATTGTGTGATGTTTATTCAGCACCTTTCCCCATCATTTGCTGTACCTTTACCCAGAGCACCTATTAACAGCTAACTTATTTACCTGACCAGCTGTAAAGAATAAGCTCCATGTGGCAGGGACTTCTGTTTTGTTCTTCATTGTGTACAACAGTATCTGACACACAGTAGATGCTCAGTAAATGTTAAAAAGAAACTATATTCTGGCCTTTAAACTGGTAAGTTTTAAACCTGGTAAGTTGGGAGAAAACTAAGCTATTTTTGAGGTGGTTATAATAGGGTACCTTCGAGTGGAGTGCTTTTTTTTTCTAATTTCCACCAGGTGGTAGATGTCTCCCACCTGTAGCTAGTCTGGCCACCTCTCCTCCCTCTTCTCCCTTGCATTTCAGCCACTCATACAATGCAGTTACTTGTGACAGATACCCAAATTAAGTGGTCTCTATCACCTCAGAATCTTTGCAAGACCCTCTATATTGCACCACCAGAATCTTACTTCTTGAGCTTTTTCCGCTTCTGAATAAGCAAATCCTCATTGCATTGAAACAGCAGAGTGTAGTGTGAGATAAATACTCGAAGGCGCTGAACACACACCAGTAGTAGGTAATAGTCAGGATGTTCCTGCTCTGTGAACTTCAGAACATTCTGCATGGAGAGAATGAGGTAATGACAGTGCATTAATTAGAATTGAAAAATTGCTTTATTTCTTCTGCATCTTATTTTGACATATGTTGTAAATTTGGTAGCTCTTTAAGCAAAACAACTAACAGTTCATATGGCCCATTTAATAAACTAACATGTCAAACTTGCTGTTCTCTGGCCAAGGCAAAAGTGAGTCATTACAGTTTGTGTTTGAGTTGGATGGGAATATAAAATAATTCCATCTGAAATGTTAGGAGGAGCTTCTAATTTCTGGAGTAGTAGAGTCATTCTAACAATGACTGCCTGTAAGCAATGCCTTAATTCAATGATGACAACATCAGGTATCAAGACAGGCTGGTGGGGATTGGTAGCAGGTGAGTTGTGGTGATCAAACCCAGGTTGGAGGCCCCTCCTTCTACAGTGCCTGTTGTGTGGTTTAGATATGGTTTGTCTCCTAAACACTCTTGTACTGACAGTTTGGCCTAAAATTTAATGATATTTAACAGATTCTGGAACTTATTTAAAGGCAGGAGAGTAGCTCTGAGGGATAGTTGAATGATGACCACCTTCTTTAAGGAATTAATGCTAGTATGTGCACTGGATTCCTGTGAGAGTGAATTATAAAATAACAGGCTAAGCACTCCCTTCTTTCTTGCTTCCTATGTCATATCAGGTAACCTGTCCCTTTTATACACACTTACACATTGTGACCTTATCTGTCAAAGGCCCATACCCAAAGCATTATGCTCTTGGGCCTCCTAAGACATAAGCTAAAATAAACCTCTAAGTTCTCAGCCTCAGATATTTTATTGTAGTAACACACAAAAGAAGACTAAGATGCTTACCAGGCTGTGAAGGATATGCATGTCATTTGGATTTGAGAAAGCTAATATTTATTTGCCAAATACTTAGTCCTTTTACATAAATAATTCCATTTAGATTTTACCACTACCCAGTTAAACAAGTCACTAACTCTGACAAATATGGAAATTGACTAACAATTGGTTTTCATTAGGTCATCTGCCTAGTAAATAGTAGAGGAAGGATTTGAACACAAATTAGATGATACTACCCAGGCTTCTTTACCCTACCATACTATACTTCTTACAAATCCTGGGCTTCAGTGCTAGTTTTTTTTTGTTTTTGTTTTTTTTGGGTCCGGTTGTGCGGCCTGAACTCTGGGCCTGGGTGCTGTTCCTCAGCTCTTCAGCTCAAGGCTAGCACTCTACCACTTGAGCCACAGCGCCACTTCTGGCTTTTTTCTTTTTGCTTATGTGGTGCTGAGGAATAGAACCCAGGACCTCCTGCATTGCAAGGCAAGCGCTTTACCACTGAGCCACCTTCCCAGCCCCCTCAGTGCTAGTTTTTTATAGTTATAAACTTGGGCATAACTATAAACTTATATGTTATAAACTTATAGTTATATACTTAGCATATAGTTAATATATAGTTATATACTTAACATATCCTTACCTAAAATGGCAGTAACAATACTTATATAATGGCATTATTGAAAAGATTATTATGATAACCTACAGCCATATACAGTTGAAAATGCCAATACTGATGATATCGGGCTACTTCTAGCTGAGACTAATCACAATCACTTCTAAGATATTTTCCCCGAATTACTAAAGAAGATCAGTCAGCAAATAAATCAGAACAGCCCATGGGAAGAAGAGAGTCTAACAAGAGGTTGTAGAGTCTCAACTTCCTCCATGATGTCACAAGCCCTGTGGGAAAATGGTGTGAAAAGGTCAGCTCATCAGCTTCATGACTCTTCTGTGGCATAAAATGTGAGAATTACGTAATAGAACCTTGGACCCAAGCCAAGCCAAGTGAGAATTAGCAAGATAGCAGTTCAGTAGGGAAGGTAAAATAGCAATTTAGATGTTAGTGGATGACGTTTAGATGGCTGTAGAACCAAAGAGGCAGGGGCTGAACAAGGCACTTAGAATCTAGCAGGAGTGGTTACAGAAAGATTCTAGACTGCCAAAGATGCTGGCAAATATATACATCATGAGTCAAAAGTTTGAGAGATAGGAGTTTTTAGTTCATATCCTAGCATATGACAAGGTATGAGGTAATCATAGCAATCTAGGCCATGTAAATATTGCCAAGAATTAATAATTACTTGCACATTTATAGTATATTTAAGTTGGAAGCCAGAAATAATAACTGGATATGAGAATTCATTTGTGGTTTGCCCCCATGCCTACCTGCAGATGTATCAGATATTCTGGAATGCGCTGGACTATGTGAAAAAACAGTGTGTAGATGTCAGATTTAATCTCTTCATCACCCTGAAAGAAAGGTAGAGTCACTCCCAGCATCTCTCCAGCTCTGGCAGCAGAACCCCTAGCCATCCCACCAGAGACCATCAGGAAGCACAGATTTCTCATCGTCCAGGGCACATGTGCAGGGACATGTCCAAGTGGACCCATCTTCTCCAGCAGGAGTGTATCACATACTTTTGAATCCACCCTGATTTCCCTTTACTACCCCTTACTTCCTCACCCCTATCGTGCTAGATAGAAGCGCTGAATAAGGGTGACTGAGAGCCTTATGAGAGAGGGGAAAGGAATATGATTAGAAACTGATCATTCATCTCTACAGAAAACACACTGAACTTTCTCTGTGTGCCACCTTCTCCTCTACCTTTCCCTTCCCCCCACCTTCTTTCCCTTGCTCTTCCCCTTTCCCAGATACGGCTGAATGCTAACATGTAGTAGCATTACATTAGGTTGGGAGTAGCAGAAGGAAAGGGATTGAAGTAGAAAATCAGATAGAGCCCCTCATCTCTGTCAGCTTTGGCACTTCTGATTATGTTTTTCCCTATAATAACCAGAATAACTGGATTTGTTGTATATGGACACATGCTTGCTCAAGATATAATGTATCACTGTGGTGGAAATGCTTAAAGCAAATACTTTTATGATCTTATAAACTCATAAAGAATAATTTAATATTGAGATTCATACCTTTTGAACATGAGTGTGCACATGGGTGTACACATGCATGGACACACATCAAACAAGCCTGAAGAGCTCTGCTAAGAAGACCTATTACTCTGTCTATAGTTCCAGTGCAGTGAAACAGGGTCAGAAAAGCAGGGGGGAAAACCAAAGGAAAGATACTGATTCTTGAGTGGCCTCTTTTAATCCAAAGGAAGGTACCAGACACTTCGTTCAAGCCATTCCTCAGCCTGAAAAACAAGCTCAGAGTGTGCATGCTGTGTTGGCAGTGTGGAGCGCAATGCCACGTAGATGATACATAAGCAAAAGATGGCACCAACATGGTTAACTTACCTCCTTCAGAACAACAACGTGAACCAATGAGATGCACTCAGGCAAGTCCCTCAGGTAGGCAACATAGTAATCTAAGAAGTTATTCTTTAAAACAAACACAAAAATTCGTGGTGAGAACCTGAAATCAGGAATGACTATATTTTTATATGGAAAATGAAAATTACTATTTTAATTGTTCATTTAATGTGCCCTTTACTATCTTTTGAAGGTTTTATCCATATTTTTTTCAGTTTTAAGATAACTACTACTTCAAGCTGGGAACCAAAACTCAATACTCATATAGTAATGACAGAAAATGGAATAATAAACCATGAGAGGAGTGAGGGTCATGTAAGTTAAAAAAATAGATTTTTAAAATTGTTAAATGATAAAAGTGAATAGTTGTCGTACTTCCTTTTTGCTTCGATCATCTACATACAAATGTGATCAAACTATATTATCTAGACGAGAAGTTCTCAATGATTTCAACTAACTGCACATTTCAATTAATTGCATATTCACCTATGTGATTTATCCTCAGGAAAACAATTTATAGCTTCCAAAGTTATATCCCCAAAGCTACCATAATTTTTAGTTCTCTAAAGCATGCTGCATACAAATGAGTAAAATTGATATTAGAAGGATTGCACTATCGACTCTTGTATTCAAGGAACCATTTGGCAACTTTGTATTTTTATCTGCAGTTGAGACAATGATACACAGATCTGTAGATCTATTTTAATTAGTCCACATACACATATTTAAAATTTTTTTGATATTGGTCCTGGAGCTCCAACTCAGGGCCTAACACTTGAACTCAGAGCCTGGCACTATCTCTGGGCTTTTATGCTCAATGCTAGCGCTCTACTACTTGTGCCACAGCGCCAATTCTGGCATTTTTGGTGATTAATTGGAGATAAGAGTCTCATGGACGGTTCGTTTCTAGCTCTCTGCTCTCTCTGGTCAATTCTAGCTCTCTGCTCTCTCTGTTCTATTCTAGCTCTTTCTCTGTTCTTTTCTGCTCTCTCTCTCCCCTCTCTTGCTGTTCTTTTCTAGCTCTATCTCTCTCTCTCTGCTCTCTCTCTGCTCTAGCTCTTTCCTCTTTCCCAGCTCTCTCTCATTCCCAGGCTTTTCCCAGCCACGTGGGGTGCCAACCTTGCCTGGTCCCAGCAGGTCTACTGAATAAACCTGCCCCTTACCTGAATACCACGTGAGTGCTACTGTTCTTACCCCTCTCTCTGCTCTTTTCTAGCTCTTTTCTCTCTCTTTCCTCTCTTTCCCAGCCTCGTGGAGTGCCAACCTTGCCTGGTCCCAGCAGGTCTACTGAATAAACCTACCCCTTACCTGAATAAAAAAAAAAAAAAGAGTCTCATGGACTTTCCTGCTGGGGCTGGCTTTGAAATACAATCCTCAGATTTCACCCTCCTGAGTAGCAAGGATTAACAGCATGAGTCACTATGCCTGGCTCATTTAAATTAGCCCACACAGTATTTAAAAAACAAAATTTTATACAATATTTTGGATTTTAGACTTCCCTTAAAATAATAGATCTGACAACTCTGGTTCTTTTTTCCCCAATGATAATTGAATAAATCTGAGTAGCTGTTTGCTGTAGCAAAATGCATCTACTCCACTTTGGTCCAGTCCCTACCACACCATGTTGCATTACATTCATTTCACTTCATTAATGAATGGCACTATCTGGGCCTGTGGACAACTGAGTTTTTTTGTTTTTTGTCCTGGGCCTGAACTCTGGGCCTGGGCCCTGTCCCTCAGCTCTTCAGCTCAAGGCTAGCGCTCTACCACTTGAGCCACAGTCACTTCTGGCTTGTTCTGCTTATGTGGTATTGAGGAATTGAACCCAGGGCCTCATGCATGCAGGGCAAGCACTCTACCACTGAGCTACCTTCCCAGCCCCAACATCTGAGTTTTAAACTTCAGGCCTGGATCCTATTTTCTTTCAGAACATTATAGAGATTTCAAAATTTAGCACCCTTAGCTGGGTGTCAGTTGCTCACACCTGTAATCCTACCTACACTGGAGGTTGAGGTCTGAGGATCAGAGTTCAAAGCCAGTCTGGGCAGAAAAGCCCATGAGACTCCAATTAGCAACTAGAAGTGGTGCTGTGCCTCAAAATGGTAGAGTGCTAACCTTGAGCAAAAAAGTTCAGGGACAGCACCCAGGCCCTGAGTTCAAGCCCTATAACTGACCAAAAGAAAAAATAAAGGAAGTAAAATAAAAGAGACATTTAGGACAAACAGCCATTTATCATATATTTTAAAAAAAATCTTTGAGGGTTGATGGCATGGCTCAGTAACAGAGCACCTGCCTAACAAACACAAGACCTTGAGCTCATGCCCTAGTATTCCAAGAACCTCTGAAGGACAAAAACTATATGTGAAGATACATATACACAAATCCTTGAATATTTATTTGATATGGATGGATGGATGGATATATGCATAATGGTACAGTTGCCCACACACACTCATATATATATATATATATATATATATATATATATATAAACATATGCATACAAACATACATTTCATTGGAGGCAGTTATAGTATAGTTTTTAAGTTATGCACTGTTGGAAGACTTACCTGCATTTCTTTCATAGATATCCAACTATTTAGCAAGCTGGGTGGTTTCATCAATGCCTTTCCATCTCTCTGAGATAGAAAAGTTATACCATGAACTAGAATGGAGAGGTCAGACAACCTATCAGGGTTCTCCTAGCTCTGAAATTCCCTGTCTAAATTCCTCATTAAAAGACGAGTGCAACACAGATCTGTACAAAGCTGACAGAGGGAGAAAACACCTTACCTCATCATTTGTTAACTTAAGGAATAAATCTCCAAGGACTCCTTGGCGTGGCCACTTCAGGACCCTTTCCTGCAGTGCATGGAGCAAATCTAGATGCTGCTGGACAAGATATCGTAAAGAGCCAGGGAAGAGGCTTGAAACAGAACAGAGAGAATCACACATACCAGCTGTAGAAAAGAAGACTCTTCAGGAATAAATGCAGCAGTTCCCATTCTTTACACTCAAACAAAATACTCTGAATCATGGATCTGAATTTAGAATACCTAAAGACAGTCTGAGACCACATAGCTGAAATACATGAACTGCGAAGACCCCTTTACTGATGACCCCTACATGGTTATGTATTGAACAAAATGTAAAGAACACATCACTCAAATGACCTTCTAAAACCCAACTGGATACACTCTTGATTACTCTGCAACTAGTGGAAATGCTAAAGGAAATATTTTTCAGTGTTTTAAAACTAATTCTAATTTATGGGCAAATGATCTATTCCACTTCATGCCATAAATGACAGCACCTAAAGTGGCACTTGGTTATTCTTAGCTCCTGGGTAGGAGATTGCTAGTTGAGTAAGGAGGAAAATGTGTTTAAAGCTGAAAACTCAAGGCATAGGGAGTTGGACATCAGAAAGGGTTCCCCTTTCCCTTTTAGTTACTGGGGAGGCATCATGGGCAAGGACAGTCTTGCCTGGAGACATTATAGACCAGAGCTGGTCTGCGACTCTGTGGAGTTTGAACCCCTTTCCTACTCCAAGTCTTCTTTCCTACCCCAAGCCTTTCTCTTCTGCCTTTTTGTATGTCTCCATTTTTCTGAGAAAATAAAGAAGAAAGAGAAAAGTTAGAGAAGGGTGTGGTGAAGAGGAGAAATAGAACAGGGAATCATAGGAGGAAGAAGGGAACCTAGATGGAGAAGAAGTCAAAGCACTATAAGAATAAGGAAAGGGCTGGGAAGGTGGCTCAGTGGTAGAGCACTTGCCTTGCATGCATGAGGCTCTGGGTTCGATTCCCCTGCACCACATAAGCAAAAAAAAAAAAGCCGGAAGTGGAGCTGTGGCTCAAGTGGTAGAGTGCTAGCCTTGAGCTGAAGAGCTAAGGGACAGCACCCAGGCCCAGAGTTCAGGCCCCACGACCGGACCCCCCCCCCCAAAAAAAAAAAAAAAACAGAATAAGGAAAGAAGGGCTGGGAAGGTGGCTCAGTGATAGAGTGCTTGCCTTGCATGCATGAGGCCCTGGGTTCGATTCCTCATCACCACATAAGCAGAAAAAGCTGGAAGTGGAGCTGTGGCTCAAGTGGTAGAGTTCTAGCCTTGAGCTGAAGAGCTGAGGGACAGCACCCACGCCCAGAGTTCACGCCCCATGACCAACAAAAAAATAATAAGGAAAGAAGAAACAGGGCACAAAGTTTTGCTCAGCTACAGCAAGAATTTGAGCTATAACTTGGCAGATCAGGAAAACTGAAAGTAGGTTCCTTTGCTTCCCATGCAGCAAATTTAACAAGCATAAAGCCATAGCCAGCCAGATACTGGTAGCTCACATCTGTTTCCTAACTACTCATGGAGGCTGAGATCTGAGGATCAAGGTTCAAAGCCAGCCCAGGTAGGAAAGTCCACAAGACTCTTATTTCCAATCAGTCAGCAAAAAATACAGGAAATGGAGGTGTAGCTCAAGTGATAGAGTTCCAGCTTTGAGCAGAAAAACCAAGCAAGAACACGAGGCCCTAAGTTCAAGCTCCACTAACCTTTGCTAGAAAATAGGACACTGGAATGAGAAGAGGTTTTTGTAAAATTATTTCTAAGCAAACCAAAGACTGTAGCTGTAGCACAGGGAAGAGAAAACACAAGACTAGGCTTGTGAGCTTCCCTGTGAAAAGATATAAGAAATCTTCTACTCTCATGTTCCATTCTATTCCATCTCCTTCATTTTCCATGAGTCTCCACACAGGCAAACCTAGCAGTTCTTAAACACCAGAGGATAGAACCTCTTGATCTGAGCTCTTACAGATGGAGTGGTGGGTTTGGAAGACCTAAGTAATCCCCACCCACACTGCAGAGGAATTCAAAGGAGTGACTGAGAGACACAGAAACTGGCAAAAGACCACCAAATGAAGGAGAAAAGCACAAATGAAAACAATGTAAGATCTAAACATTGCATAAACAGAAGACCTAGGTGCAAAAGTTCTGCCCACTCAGAGACTAAGAATGACTTGGGTAATATTCATGTGTAAGACAATGTATTCAGATTACCATGGTGAGATCTGATTTTGGGATGAATTGTTTATATGAATTCAGCCGTGTGTTGGATTGTGTCTTTTGTTTTTCTCCCTCTTTCTTTCTAGAATGCTTCTAGAATGTCTTCTACTATACTGTGACCAATGCATTTACACAGTTGGAGAACTGACACCAACATCCTTCTGGACTGCCCACTGGGGTAACAGATTTCACGGTGCAGTTAGGGAAGGCTAGTGCTCACATGAACTACTGCAGAAACGCAGATGTTCCAAGAAAAGCAATGTCCTATAGTATGTTCTTTGGCAAATTGAAAATTGGCAATGTCGTTTTAAACTTCCAGATCTTAGTGTCTTCGTCTACAAGGCATAAATTATAGCTTTCTGGAGATCTTTTTTATCCAGTGCTGGGGTTGGAACCAAGGGCCTCACACATGGTAGGGAAGTACTTTACCATTGAGCTACACCACTAGCCTCAATTCTGGTGAAGAGTTCATGAAGTTATAGATCATGGGTCTAGCATGGAGCCTGGTTACTATGTTCCAAAGTGTATACAATTCTCTTTCTCCTTTCCCATTTATGCCCTAGCTCCCCACATTTACGGAAACTAGGAAGAGAGGCTGCTTAGACATGATGCAAAGCTATTTATCCAAAAGGTAGACATGCTTTTAGATTTAATTAATATAAATTGAATGAGTATTTGCAACAGCAAAAAAAAAAAAAAAAAAAGGGCCAGAGTTCAGAAACTTCTCAGATCCTGAAGAGCAGCTGGGTGGGGTGGTTATATTGGAATCTGGAAGGGGAAAACCACCAGTGAGAATCTGTGTGACCACTGGGAGAAAATGAAGCCCCCAAAGCCTCTATTGGTCATAGCTTTGTGTTGTGTTCCCCTTTTTGCTCTATATTTGGCTTACCTCAGTTTTGCAAGAAAATAGTTCTTTAAAATATTCAAGACATTCACAAGTCTGTCAGGAAATGTACCCTCACCTCAGGCATTAAGAGTAGGGGGAGCATGTGTTTCGGTGACAGAGTCTATGGCTGCTACAAAATCAAGTAAGTTTAGGGGAATAGTAAGGAGCAGAAAAATATAATTAGAGGCTTCGCAAAGTAGAATCATAATCTATGAACCATCCGAGTATATTATCTAAAGGAATATTTATAGTAATACTGCTACATAATCCACACTTGCCATTCTTTCTCTCTTTTTTTTGGTTTGCCCATCTTGGTGCTTGAACTCTGGGCCTGGGCACTATTCCCTGAGCTCCTTTTGCTCAAGGTTAGCATACTACCACATGAGCCACAGTACCACTTCTGGCTTTTTCTGTGATTAATTGGAGATAAGAGTCTCACAGACTTTCCCACCTGGGCTGGTTTTGAACTAGGATCCTCAGATCTCAGCCTCCTGAGGAGCTAGCATTACAGGCATAAGCAACTAGTGCTTAGCTTCCCTAAGCTTTTTTGCTTAAGGTTAGTGATCTATCACTTGAGCCACAGCTCCACTTCTAGCTTTTGGCTGTTTAATTGGAAAAAAGTCTCATAGACTTTCCTGTCTGACTTTCTTTGAACCACAATCCTCAGATCTCAGCGTCTTGAGTAGCTAGAATTTCAGGTGTACACCACCAAGCCTTTTATCCTTCATGCTTTCTCCAAATATAGAGGGAAGCAACTATGAGCAGGTACAGAGGGAAGAGTATGGTGACACTAGTTAGAATGCTTGTATAATGTACTATCTACCCAGTAGAAGCTCTCTGCCTTTCTATGTCTCTCTGCCTTTCTCTCTCTGTGTCTCTCTTACACATACACCCACATACACATGGGGTCAGAGTAGTACTGTGTTATTATGTAATGGCCATTTAGTGCACTCAGTTTTTCAGATATCTGCTTTGTCTATTCCCTTGTACCTTTGTGAGACTTGTCCTGTGGCCCATGGGGCTGTGCAGAAGACTCACAGGGGCCCTCTAGTCCCTGAAGACCCAGAAGACTACACTGATTTTCTTACTTGCTGAGAATCTCACTTTGAGACATGATGGGTTACTTGTCATCACTGTCTATTTTCTTTTCAAAGACTATTTCTGCAACCTTTTATAAGCCACAGAATCCCCCAAATGGAAACAGTGAACAACTTACCTTATGTCCGAATCACCCTGAAAAGCAAAGGCAATAAATGCATGGATACCTTCTCTCTTTGGAATTCCTCTTTCCATCGGACCCCTGGAATGTTGCCTTAATCTTCAGGATCAGAGAGATGTTAATGACATATTTTCTTTCAGATTCAAGCAGTTCTAGAGCCACAGTTTGTCTTTTAGCTTTAAGAATAAACCAGAAAGGGAATTTTTGTTAACTTCTTCCCCAAATCTTGTGGAAAAAAAATAGAAAGCAATCAAAAGATATTGAGAGTAGTAAAAAGACAACAAGTAGTAAAAAGAAAACAAATGGAAGCAGGTCCAAAGACACAAAATGTTATTGTCGCTGCTTACTGAGCAGGGCATCCACTACCATCTAAAGGTCTGGAGAAACAAATACCATGCAAATAAGGGTAATGCTAGAAACAAGTAAAATGGTGAAAAGTCTATATAAGGTACTGGGGCTGGGAAGGAGGCTCAGTGGTAGAATGCTTGCCTTGCATGCATGAGGTCCTTGGTTTTATTCCTCAGCACCAGATAATCAGAAAAAAGCTGGAAGTGGAGCTGTGACTCAAGTGGTAGAGTACTAGCCTTGAGTTGAAGAGCTGAAGGACAGCACCCAGGCCCAGGGTTCAAGTCCCACGACCAATAAAAAAAATTTTTTTAAGTCTATATAAGGTGCAATGGAATGTTCTCCCAGCCAGATGTTTCCCTCATTTCTATCAAAGAATATAAGAAAGAGAAACTACAGAAGGAAGGGATAGGATGTGCAGTAAAGACTTCAGGCCCAGTAGAAGTCAAGGTTGTAATGATAGCCTGGAAACAAGGGAATTCAAAGAAGCTTTGTTTTCTGAACAGCTCGATGCTCAGGGCCCTCTTTCCCTTCCAGCAGGTTCCAGCATGTGGGCAGCCAAGATGAAGCACTCCATGAAGGAGGCTGGAAGGCTTTCCACTTGTTGACTGAACTGCCCAAAGAAAAAGACCCTCAGACAGGAACATAAAGCAGGACCCACCAAAAAAGTCAGTTTGCTCCTTGACTAGCTTATCTTTCTAGATACTGCATAAAATAAATGAAAACTTTTTTTAATACTAGAATTAATATTCCCAGAGAGATGAGGAAAGTAATCATTATTTAACAATTGCAGGATGCTATTTAAAAAAGAAAGGAAGTGGGATTTTGTTGTTTTGTGTATGTGGGCCTGGGCACTATCCTTTAGCTTTTTTGCTTAAAGCTGGCACTCTATCACTTGAACCACAGCTCTACTTTCTGACTTGTAGGTGATTAATTGTAGAGAAATCTCATGGATTTTTCTGTCCAGGCTAGCTTTGAACCACAATCCTCAGATCTCAGCCTCCTGAGTAACTAAGATTACAGGCATCAGCCATGGTCACCAGGCAAAAAGAATGATTTTTTTTAAAGAAGAAATTTTGAAGCATAGATATAAATTAAAAGAGATAGGAATGAGAAAAGTAGAGAGAAAGTGTAGGAAGAAAAAGTAGAGAGGAAAAAAGTAGGAAAAAGAGAAGTACAGATAGAAGAGACAGAAACAGAGAAAGAAAAACATAGGGAGACAAGATAGACACTCAGGATATGCCTTAGGATTTGCCTGCCTACCAAATGTGAAGTCCTGGATTTAAACCCCACTACCATAAACAATAAGACTTAAAAATTAAAAAGAAAAAAGGCAGAAACAGTAGCTTCTATCAAGACAAATTATTGGTCAAGGATGTGTAAAACGACTAGATGATTTGTTCTGTTCTGCCAAAGTAAGGAGTAGATTAAGGTACTAAGGATACTCAAGATAAACAAAAACAGTATCAGTAACGAAACAGGATTCTAATATAAGAAAAATATGAAGGAAGCGTCCAGGAGGACGGGAAGTCCTAGAATGATGATGGCAGTGTGCTGAGACAGTGGAGTGGATGACAGGTCCCTGGGGCAAATGAGGTAAGAAAATACAAATGACAGAGCTTTTGTTACATTGTTCAGAAAAATTTCAAGATCTGTATGAATAGAAAACATAAGAACAGAAATACCGTGTTCTTTAAATGGAAGATAATACTGTCAAGATGACAATTCTCTGATAATTGGAATACAAAAATATAGAGTCTAGAATTAGACTCACCCATCCATGTAAGATCACTCTATTTTCCCCAATGCAAATGATCAGGAAAGGGAAAGTATTGACAGTAAACAATGCTGAGGCAACCAGAGAGTCACCTGGGAAAAAAATGAAATTGGACCCCTTCCTCACACCATACATCAAAACGTATTCAATGGAAAAGCTTAACTATAAAGATTTTATACAAAAATGTATGAAAATGTCTATGTAATCTTGAGAGTACACATAAGCTACTTTAAAAGTTTAAAATTGGCAAAAGGGACTTGTTTAAGATTTTAAACTTCTGTTCAACAAAAGACAAGCCACACACATACACTGGAATAAAGTACTGTCAATAATACATGTTTAAAAACAGCTTTCTAGAATATATTTGTTAATTTCGCCAAACAGTAAAAAGAAAACCTAGTTTTGGGGCTGAGAAGGTGGCTTGGTGGTAGAGCGCTTGCCTTGCAAGAAAACCTAGTTTAAAGATTGGGCAAAGGATTTTATAGGAGAAGATCTATCAATAACCAATATGCACATGAGTAAAAGATGTGCCAAATCCATACTATCCAGAAAGTGCACATTTAAACTACAATATGATAGCAGCACACACCCAGGAGAATGGTTAAAATTAAAATGCCTGTCCATGCCGAGTAACAAGAACTCTCATATATTGTTGGTGGGAGTATAAAATTATCAAAACACTTTGGAAAATTCCCTTAAATTTTCTCTTAAATGTAATCTTAAATTATAACCTAGAGATTTCATGACTAAGTATACATACAAGAGGCATACACTTAAAATACATATTAGTATTCAAAGACATGAGTATTCATAGCAGTTTTGTTCATAATATCCTCAAGCTGAAAATAATGTAAATATCAGAGGAGAATGAATGTTGCTTAAATGTGCTAAATAAAAAGAAATGAACTAGCAAACGAATTACATGCAACAATATGGAAGAATCTCAGAAATATACGTTCTGTTGAAAGAAAGTATCCAGACACAAAAGAATACATACAATATTTCATGCATATGAAATTCAAGAACTGCCAAGACTAATTTATGGCATTTGAAAACCCAATAATCGTTCTTTAGGTGGATATTGACCTGGGGAAGTGATAATGACCTAGAGGAGTGATACAGTAGATATTCCAGATGCTCCTTCCAGAAACACCAATAAGGGGCTGGGAATATGGCTTAGTGGTAGAGTGCTTGGCTAGCAAGCAGGGCTTCAATTCCTTAGTACCACATAAACAGAAAAAGCCAGAAGCGGTGCTGTGGCTCAAGTGGTAGAGTACTAGCCTTGAACAAAAGAAATTCAGAAACAGTGGCCAGGCCTTGAGTTAAAGCCCCAGCACTGACAAAAAAAAACCTACAAAAACCAAAAATCCAATAAGCTTAAGTGTATACTTTGAATTCTGTGAATATTAGGTAAATTAAACTTTCAGTAAGACTCTCAGTAAAATACTGTTTAAAAAATAGTGGCATTGGACTGGGAAGGTGGCTCAGTGGCAGAGTGCTTGTCTCGCATGCATGAGGCCCTGGGTTCAATTCCTTAGCACCACATAAGCAGGAAAAGCCAGAAGTGGCGCTATAGCTCAAGGGGTAGAACACTAGCCTTGAGCTGAAAAGCTGAGGGACAGCGCCCAGGCCCAGAGTTCAGGCCCTACAACTGACAAAAAAAAATAAAAAAGTAGTAGCATCAAAAAAACTTAGTGACATCATTTTTTCCCCTAAAATGTGGAAGAAACTGTCAAAAGACTGAAATGGCTGCTTTTTATGTGTTGTTTTTTCGGGGGGGAGGGAGGGTGGGGTTGGTTGGTCATGGGACTTGAACTCAGGGCTTGGGTATTGACCTTGAACTTTTTCTGCTCAAAGCTAGTGCTCTACCATTCTGAGCCACAGCACCACTTCCCATCTTCTCAGGGTTAATTGGCAATAAGGGTCTCACAGACTTTCCTGTCCAGGCTGTCTTCAAACCACAGTCCTCAGATCTCAACTTCCGGAGTAGCTAGGATTACAGGTGTGAGCCACCAGCGCCCAGCTTGCCATTATTTTTCATAATAAACCTTTTAATACAACTTAATTGTTCAAGTATTTGATGATAAAGTTAAAAGTAAAAAAAAATATCTCTAAGGGAAAAAGAAGAAAGAATAGAGGCTAGAAACGGTTGCACTGTCTGCTACTTTTATAGAAGACAATTAATAAAAGATTAGTATATGAAGATTCCACATCAATGATTCAGTAGTTCAAAAGTTTAAATTTCTTTTCTACCAATAATGTATTTCTCCTTCTTATTTCTTCTTCATCTACAATCTTATGTTTCTTTCAGTACTGGAGTTTGAACTCAGGACTTTATGTTTATGAGCATAAATTGCTGTACCACTGGAGCCACTCAACCAGTATATTTTTTTAAGTTTTTTAAAAAAATTATTAGCCGGACATTGTGGCTTATGCCTGTAATCCTAGCTACTCAGGAGGCTGAGATCTGAGGATCACAGTTCCAAGCCAGCCTGGCCAGGAAAGTCCAAGAGACTTATCTCCAATTAACCACCAGAAAACTGGAAGTGGCGCTGTGTAAAAGTGATGTACAGAGGTGTTAATTATAGTTACATAGGGAACAAGCACATTTCTTTTTGAACAGTGTCTCTTCTTCCCTCATTTTCTCACAGTTTCTCCCCTCCCTACACTCTTCCCTCAAAAGTTGTATAGTTCCTTTTCAACATAGTGTTTAGTGAGTATCACTGCTACATTTGTTTACCCTTTGTTCTACCATTTCTGGGCTTTCCCTTACCCTCAAAACAGATAAAGTTATATACAAGACAAAAAACACAGACATCAAAAACAGTGACAAAAGAGAAAAAATGAACAAACAGACAAAAGAACACAAAAAATAAAATAACCTCTTGTTTCCATTTCTTGGAATTCATTTGGATAAACATCATTTTATAAGATCATATGCACATGGCTATTGAGCCGTTATGATCCTCCTTTGGTCTCACTTCCAGCAGTATCTTTTGGCATGAGTTATTTTCAGGACAGAGTCTTCCTTTATGCCCAGAGAAGCCTGGACTGGGATCCTCCTGTCTTCCTTTGTCATTGGTATGGCAGGCACAGATCACCATACCCAGTCATTGGTTGAGATAGAACCTTAGAAGCTTTTATGCCCAGACTAGCTTCAAATTAAGATCCCTACTATCTGCCTTCCAAGTAGCTAGAATTATAGGCTTGAGTTACCATGCCCAGCTACAATCCTATGCTTTTTTTCCCCACTTCTGGGGTTTGGATTCAGGGTCTTATATTTGCCAGGCTGTATTCTTACCATTTAACCTGTCTTCTAAGCCTGGTTTTGCAGGCTATTTTGGAGGCATGCACCCACCACCACATGCAGCTTCCCTCTGAGGAGAAGGAATCTCATGAACTTCTCCCTGTAGGCTGGTCTTAAACTATGATCCTCCCAACCTTTCAGGTAGCTAGGGTTACAGGCCTAAGATGCTGGCTTGAATACTCTTTTTCTTCACTGTATAAATCCTTAATGTTCATAACCTACACTTTTTCCAAAGTAGACAGTTTTATACAGAATGACACAAAAGGAAACTTAAATGACCAATAGTTTATATGTATGCTTGATTCCAGTCTTAATGAAAAGGAGAACAAAAATGAAATCTCTCAAGAAAGCTTCAGCACCACACTTCTTTTTTTTCCCAAAGCACTATATTACTAAAGGTCATGACCACCCAGAAGATGACACTTCCACCAAACCATGTGGCTGCTACTGAGTCCTTCACCCCTTTGGCTTTTAGTTACTTCATCTTTAAAAGCAACCAGAGATTGAGTGATCTCATATGGCCTCTGAATCTGTCTTACCAAGATTCTAGCCCTTAGGTTCCAAGCTCTAGTCTGTGTTCTGCCAAATTTCAGGCTGGATCCCTTCTTGGGAACTTACCAGCTAAAGAAGTTTCACATAAAACATTTTCCAGGGAGCTGTGTCTACCCTGGCCCACTTCTTTGAGTTTGTCGGGGTGGTCTTTTGTGACATACTCCTCGCCCCACTCTTTGCCATCCTTAGGCTGCCTCCACACACCAGATGACAGATGGCTCTTGGACTGGATATCAGCTGAGAGGCAAGACTTCATGTTGTCATCTGCTTCTGGAGTTGCTGGGTTCACTGCTGAAAAAAAATATGCTATCAATTTCTTCCTTTTTTTGAAAAATACATTGTGTTTGTTAGTAACTCTAATCATGCCCCATGCTTAGGTACTTCATGTATTAAATATACCAATTAAAAGTTAAATATATTCAACATGGATTAAAAGTTTCCTCAACTGCAAAGGGTTACCGCTCTGTTTCTGGTCAATGCATCTTCCACTATGGTGCATAGATCTACGGCACAGGAGTTAAAATAAATTTATAAGTGATTGAGAGCATGATGTTTGAATTCCTCCTATCTGCTTTCTTTCAGGTGAGCACACTAGGTGATGGCAGTGCCAATGGGAGAAGAACAGAGAGGGAGAGAAAAGGTAGCAGTGACAACATGCGTTTCCCCTTCACCCTGACAATGGTAAGCTAGAAAGAGGAAAGAGGAAGACAGAGAGACAGGGAAGATGAAATAGTGGATAAAATGTTGGTGATTTGTCATTAAATAAATAACTTTTGAATGATACTACCTAGGGTCTCATCCATACTTAAGTTATAGACTATTTACCCATGGGGCTTCAGTAATTGTTAGTTCACTAAGTAATTGAAATGAGCAGAAAGAAACAAGAATATTAGTTTGATTTTATACTTTTCCATCCCTTCTCTCAGCTTGGGTTAAATCCAAGGCATCAACTGATTTCCTTTAGTACACATCCTGGAATTTTAGTGGCAGTAATGCTTTATCTGACCTGGTGGTATAGTTTGTATGTGAAGATTCCTCCAAAAGGCACATGTATTGAAGGCTTGGTCCCCAGGCAGTGTTGAGAGTGAGAGTTTTAGGAAGTAATTCAATCATGAGGGTCTGCCACCAGCAATGGAGTGACCCAGTGATGCATTTGAAATTTGAATAGATTGGGGGAGGTGGTCACTTAGGGTATACCCTAGAAAGATAAACTTGCCCCCAGCCCCCTCCTTTGCTTCCCGGCCACCCATAGTGAGCAGCTGCCTCTGCCACATGCTTCCACCATGCTATTCTGCTCCACTGAGGCCTACAGCAATAGAACACACCAGCCATGAACTGAAACCTCTGACACCATGAGCTAAAATAAATCTTTCCCACCTTGAGTTATTTTTTGGTAGTGTCACAGCTATGACAAATTGACCTTCACATCTGAATTCTTTCATGGCTGGTGTGGAACGGAGGAAAGTAGAAGAAGGAGGAAGTGTGGAATTGCTAGAACTAACAGAAGAGCCACTTACCAGGACCCATCATTCCCTTCACGTTGCTGTCTCCTACATGGACAGATCTGGACTCTTGGGCTGCAGGGAAAGGAAAGATTTCATTCAACATTTAGTCCACAAAACACAACTATGCACCTCTATGAGCCAGGCTCTAAGGACAGGCTTGCGGATTTTATCATTTCATTGGAGAGACAGCAAGAAAAATACAGTAACTACAGTGTAGTATAACAGCTATTTTCTCAGCTGTGCAAATGTACAATTGGTACTTACTTCAAGTGATTACTGTAAGAATTAAACAGTCTGATATATGTAAACTGCTTAAAGTAGTACCTAGAATACTCTAAAAGCTAAATGACTGTTAAACTATGATAGTGGTAGAAGCCATGATGACAGTAGTAAGAGCAGAATGATGTGATTAAACTGTAAGTCAGACTTACTCTGTTTAGTCTTCCAATTATTTCCCATTTCAGTGTAAAAGCCTAAGTCCTTACAATGATCAGATAACCCTAGAATATTTGCTCCCCATCTCTGCTTGCAACTTTATTAATTAAAAAAAAATCCATCTCCTGTTGTCTTCCTTGTTCATGCTACTCAAGCCCTATTGATGACTTCCTGCTATTCTTTGGACATGGCTGTCATGTTCCCACTAGGAATGTACCAGAGACTCAAGGCTTCTCTTGCTAAAAGCACTGATTCTTCCTTCTGACCTGCAGATTGATATCTCCTGGGTAACTGTCTTCATATTGCATCTGTCTTCTTTGCTACTGTAAAGTTTGGGTAAGATGCCTGCTCAACTCTAGATGAAGATATACCAATCATCTACAGAATGTCTATCTGAAACTGGTACTACAAGACTGGTAAGTCCGGGCTGGGAAGGTGGCTCAGTGTTAGAGTGCTTGCCTTGCATGCCTGAGGCCCTGGGTTCGATTCCCCAGCACCACATAAGCAAAAAGAAAAAAAGCCAGAAGTGGCTCTGTGACTCAAGTGGTAGAGTGCTAGCCTTGAGCTGAAGAGCTGAGGTACAGCACCCAGGCCCAGAGTTCAGGCCCCACGACCGGACCCAAAAAAAAAAAAAAAAAAAAAAAAGACTGGTAAGTCCAAAGTTTACTTAACCCCTCTTGTATCTGCTCAAGACTACAGACACTAACATAAGAGTAATTAAGGTGTTTTCCAGATTTCCAGGGATATCAAAAGATTATCATCTACTAACTTTTAGAATGATCCACACACCACCAGGGTAACTACTAGAGTTTCCAGTCATTTCCCTGAACCTGAAGGAAGACCCAATCATGCCCCCAATTGACTCTATTTGGTTCCACTGGCCCATTCTTTCTGTGAGTCATTTCTCCTTCCCAGGAACAGTGAACCTTGTAAGGATCTTCCTTGGTGAAAATGAGGCCCTGCAAAACCAGATGTGAGATAAAGATGCTTGAGTTTACATACCCCGACTCCAGCTTTTGTTCTTCTCCTATATAATCCTAGAGCTATTATTCCTATCCAGACAGCAAGAGTTAGGATGCTAGTCCTAACTGTGGCTAGGGCCACACCCAAACAAATTATTCCCCACTTTGCCACCACTTTTCTGTCTGATTAGACTTTTGGATAATGAATGGTGAAATCTGGCCTATTGGGACCTTTAGAGTCAAAGCCTAGGACAGTGATAACACTCTGTGGCAATAGCTGTTCCCTCTCTTCTCTTCCACATCCATAAACTAACTTCCTCACTTTCTTCACATCTTTATCTGGTGCCCTGTCTACAATATATTTCTCCTTTGTTGTCTTCTAATCACTATGGAACATCCTACATATTCTACTTACCTTGTTCATTGTCTGCTTCCTTCACTACAAAGGCTCCACAACTTTTTTACACAGAGTAAGTTTACTTGAAAGTAAAAAGAGCAGGGCACTGGTGGCTCATGCCTGTAGTCCTAGTTACTCAGGAGGCTAAGATTTGAGTATCACCGTTCAAAGCCAGCCAGGGCTAGAAAGTCTGTGAGATTCTTATCTCCAATTAACCACCAGGAAACTGGAAGTGACACTGTGGCTGAAAGCAGTAGATCTCTACCCTTAAGCAAAAGCACTCAGGGACAGTGCCTAGTCCCTTAGTTCAATCTCCAAGACTGATGAGAGAGAGAGAGAAACAGAGAGACAGAGACAGAGACAGACAGACAGAGAGAGAGAGAGGGTGCAAGAGAGAGAGAGTGTTCAGGGACAGTGCCTAGACACTGAGTTCAAGCCCTATGACCAGTGACAACAACAACAAAAAAGACGTGAAAGGCAAGTTGTGAAAGAAAAAAGTGGCAAGATTCTCCATCTGAAAAGGGCCCCCAAATTGTTTCTATTTTGTTTATTACTACATAGCACCCCCAAAACAATGCTTGAGAAGTATGGCCCACAGACTGGCAGAATTATTACATAGGAGATTATTGAAGCGATGAAGCACTCCCCCCCACCTCAAGATCTTCTGCATCTGAGTCTTATGTTAACAATGTTTTATCAATCTGTTCTAGAGAACTTGGAGGAATAGGAGTTCACCCAGAAAAGTGAAAGGAGGTAGCAGAGGACAAGTAAAGGGAATAGCCATTGTGAAGGGCCAGAGGCCAAAGAATCCATAGAGCAATGCAAGAGCTAAAAGAATAACAGGCCAGGTACTGGTGGCTCACGCCTAGAATCCTAACTACTTAGGAGGCTGAGCTCTGAGGACCACAGTTCAAAGCCAGCTATGGCAAGAAAGTTTGTAAGACTCTTTTTCTTCAATTAGGCACCAAAAAAGCTGGAGATGGAGCTGTGGTTCAAGTGGTAGAGCACTAGTCTTGAGCAAAGAAAGCTCAGGGAGGCACCCAAGCCCCGAGTTGAAGCCCCAGGACCAGTTACCTCCCCCACATACCTCAAAAAAAAAAAAAAAAGAAAAGAATAACAGGTGGCTGGCTATAGAGTTAGAAACAGATACAAAAGGTAAGTCTGAGGATGAAAGTAGAGGTTAATTCATGTGTGGCTCTGTAAATGGTGTTAAGGAGCTTGGAGAGCTGTTTTCAGTGGATTCAACAAATCCTGAAATAATTCCTCTGCCTGAGTGCTGTTACCCATCGTTTAAAGATCTACAACTTTGTTTTGCAAATATAATTTTCTATATTTTAGCTTGTGCATATGCTCTGATTTCTTAGACCATATGTTAATTTGACTTCTACTTTCTGAGCCCATTTTCTACTCTTTCCCAACAAAGAGTCATCCTCTCACATATTTCTTTTTTTTTTTTTTTGTCAGTTGTGGGGCTTGAACTCTGGGCCTGGGTGCTGTCCCTCAGCTCTTCAGCTCAAGGCCAGTACTCTATCACTTGAGCCATAGCACCACTTCCGGTTTTCTGGTGGTTAATTGAAGAGTCTCACAGACTTTCCTGCCCGGGCTGGCTTTGAACTGCAATCCTCAGATTTCATCCTCCTGAGTAGCTAGGATGACAGGCATGAGCCACCAGTGCCTGGTCTCTCACATATTTCTTTCCATGTCATAGAGCAAAGAAAACAGCCACTAGTAGACCTACCTCGCTGATGGTTTTCCCAGGAGGTACCTACTCACATGGGAAAGAAAAATAAAACACCATGGAAATCTGTACTTAGAAGTACATCAGGTAAAAGCCATTTGATTCAGAATTTTACATTCAGTTATTCACAACATACTTAATGTCTATAAATATAGAGGTCTGGGATAACAGATGTGTACCACCAGGTAAAAAGCCATTTGAAAATAAATTATTTTAGTCCAATTAAAATTTAAAGAATGCAAATTGGTATTTCCCCAGAAAGGAAAATCCTTAAAATTGGACAGATTCCTAGGATCTATCTCTTGGGTGATCTAGACTCTTCTAAATTCTAATAACAAAGAAAAATTCTGGGTAGTGTACCATTTTCTTCTAATAAAGATGGAAGGCTTAAGCTCATTCTTACTAAGCCTTGGAAATGGGGGGACATTTGGGGGTATTGTCTAGTTGATTTGTGAACTATACCTTTTTCATAGGCCTGAGAAGGCAAAATATTGGTAAAGTCTTCACTTGGAAGAACAGGTTCAGGAATATTGATGGAACGGAAAGGACTTCCTTGTGTTTGTGCAGGCCCAGCCTGAGTACCATGTTCTTCTTTCTGAGTTTTCCTAGGAAAGGGAAACAATGATAAGGCCAGTTTAGTTCTTAATAATGATAGATTAGGATGGAATTCAGTTAAGAACAAAGACAATGTCTGAATTATTAGGTTGAACCTATATAAATTGCTACTTTTGTAATTTAAAAATAGGGCATAGTAACTAGGCATGGTTGGCTCACACCTGTAATCCTAGTACTTGCAAGGCTGAGAATAAAGGATGGCAGTTTGAGGCCAACCTGGATAGAAAAGTCTGTACAACCCCATCTTAAAAATAACCAGCAAAGCCTCACATCTATAATCACAGTAATGCAGGAGGTGAGATCTGAGGATCACAGTTTGAAGCCATTCGGGCAAGAATGTGAGACTTTTATCTCCAATAAATTACTCACAAAAAGCTGGAAGTAGTAGAGTGCTTGTCTTGAGCCAAAGAAGCTCAGGGACAGTACCCAGGCCCAGAGTTCAAGCCCAGGACAAGCAAAATAAATAAATAAATAAGTAAATAACCAGCAAACTTCTAGAATAATCTTCTCTGGGAAAATATCTTATGATAATTCCCTACCTGCCTCGTGCTTCTTCACTCTGAATAAAATTCATTTAATACATGCACACACACACACACACACACACACACACACACACAAAGCAAAAAACAGGGCTGGAGATGTGGCTTAAGTGATAGAGAGCCAGGCTATCAAGCTCATATTCCATACTAGCAATTCCTACAGTTCAACTTAATTGGTTACCTAAACTGAAGAAAAACTTCAATATCTACAAAATCATTCTAATTACATTTTCTTCCTTCTTATTTGTTCTTAGTGGCATCTCTGTCTATCATAAGTATCTTTAAAGTTTGCATTGGTAACTATTTGCTTGGAATAATTTATATTTACTTAACAAAACAACTCAGTTCCTGGGGAGTTGTAGATCTACAATTGAAAACCATAATCAATTCTACAAGGTCACACAAATATTATTCCTGTATTTTTATTTTAAACATGATAATGTTAAACATATACCAATAAAGATTATATATACATAAAGGGAAAATTTACTGATTCCACCTGGTTGACAATGTTTTTTTTTTTTTTTTCCTCTTCTCTTCTCTTCTTCTGCTCAGCCATTTCATATAGAAGGAGGACACTTCAGAACCCTTCCCTTTCAGATCATGGCAACTTTAATGTATTCTATAAGCATAGCCACTAAAGTCTATTTTTAGGAGAAAATGTGGTAGTCAAATGGGAAAGACAATGTTATTTTGTATCTGTGGTATTGGGGCTTGAACTTCAGGACATCATACCTGAGCACACCCCTAATCTTTCTAATCTGGTTATTTTTGAGATAGCATCTCATTTTTTTTTTTTTGCCAGGACATGACCCTGGGCAAGATCTGCCTATGTTAGACTTAACATTTTAGCTGAAATAACAGACTTAGGCCACCACACCCAGCTCTCAGCTTTTACCAAGATTATAGATGTGAGCCACCAGTTTGAGACATTATTTAACATAAATATTTTAATCATAGGATCAAAATAATAGCAGTATTAGAGAAGTTTTAGAATAACAACAACAACAACAATAATAATAATAAGTCACTGAGGGCTACACATCCTTAAAACCAAAATCATTCTTTTAAAAACATAGACACAGGGCTGGGAAGGTGGCTCAGTGGTAGAGTGCTTGCTTTGCATGCGTGAAGCCCTGGGTTCGATTCCTCAGCACCACATAAGCAAGAAGAAAAAAGCTGGAAGTGGCGCTGTGGCTCAAGTGGTAGAGCACTAGCCTTGAGCTTAAGAGCTGAGGGACAGCGCCCAGGCCCAGAGTTCAGGCCCCATGACCGGACCCCCCCAAAAAAAAAACTTAAAAAAAACATAGACACATAGATGTGTCATTTTTATTTCATATCATATTAAATGGATTTTTCATGCAGTATCTTCCACCCATTTTTTGTATTGGCCAACTTTTGTGGCTTTCTCCCTTCCAACACATGTTGAGCTGTGGAACTCAGTGGTCCGCAGTGGAGATGGTGTTCTCTCAGTGCCTCTGTATAAGCCACTGCTGATGATTTTGGACACTATTTAGTATACTTACTTGGCTTTAACTTTTCGAGATTCTCTTCGCTTCTCTTGTTGAAGTTGTTCAATTTTCTGTTGCATTTCTTCTTGTTTAGAAGTGATAGCCTGAATCATTGACATTGCATTGCTCAGCTCTTCCTAAAAAAGAAAAAGAAGAATTGCTATATTTTAAACTGGTACATAGAATAAAGGTATAGAACATAATATTGTGTAATCTATATATTTTTATTTAGTGCATAGTTTTAAAGGAAGAAATGAGAGATGAAAATTTTGCTTCCATTGTGGTATTTAACTTCAACATAGAGCTCCAAAAAAGAAACATAAATATTTTCCATGATAATTAATATTCCCAGAGAGAAAATTCTTATATTTGGTTGCTATGATGAAAGGAAAAATTTATACTCCTATTTTAAGAGTCAACATGCTCTGCAGCAGGAAAATCAAAGAGGCATCTACCTTGAAATAGTTTAGTGAGTTCTTCATCTCAGTAACTTTTTCTTCCATGGAGCATCGGCAGCTTTTAACCTTCTCTTCCAAAGCATATTCTCCATGTTGGATTCGTGAGAGCTCCTGCATTGCTTCTGTGAAACCAGTTTTCAGTTCTGAGGCCAGGGCCTGCAACTAAACAATGCATGAAAAAGTGAACTCAATTTACTTTAAGTTATTACAAATAGCTCCATTGGCCCTATTGTCTTTTCCTGGAGAAACAAGGCTCTTGTAAATCTCTAGATTTCATTTACTTAAGTTTGGAACCCCATAAGGGGACTTTCATACCAACATCTAATGACAAAGATGTTTTCTTTATGCAGCAAAATTAATATGTAGCAAAAAAAAAAATAGCATCCGTGAAGTTTACAAGTACACCTACAAGCTACATGCATTTAAAATCCTTTGACTTAGATGAAGTGTACTTGAAAGCAAAATATAACATCCAGGAACTCTGAATTCTGTAAAAGAAGCAAAGGTCATACTCTGCCTGGTTATTATAAGAGAGTAAGAAAACTCAGTTCTTTATTTCCTTAAGAAGTTAAAAAATAAGAAGCATAACAACTAAAGATTTATAAGAATTTCTCTCAAAGACAAAGAAGGCTTTTTTTTTTAAATTTTCTTAAATCTTTGGATATCATCATGGAAAAGAAGTAGTGTGTTTTTAATGATAGTAAATTTGATCCATAAAGAAGACTCAGAAATATCTATAATGGCATGAGCTGGCCATGTTAACATGAACCATTTTCAGCAGTCAAGCCTGGTCTCTAGGAGTATACACACCATCAAGTTCCACACGACAAGCAAGATGTCAATTTTAGAGTTGGACAGAGAACAAATCCTAGTTTTAACTATAAGGATGAAGACTTTAAGCAAATTGGTTAACTTTTTGGTAGCAGTTTCCTCATCCATACATAATTAAAATAACTCTTTTCAGGGTTTTCTTCAGAATTAAATGAGTAAATGTTGGTTTCGCATTGACCCCAAGAAATGATTGATACTTAGGGGTACCAAAATTTTTAATTCTTTTCCTCTTTAGGTGGCAAATCAAAAAGTTAAGCAGGGCTGGGTGCCAGTGGCTCACACCTGTAATTCTAGCTACTCAGGAAGCTGAGATCTGAGGACCATTGTTGAAAGCCAGCCTGGGCAGGAATGTCATGACACTCTTATCTCCAATTAACCACAAGAAAGCCAGAGGTGGCCCTGTGGCTCAAGTGGTAGAACACTAGCCTTGAGCTGAAGCGTCTAGCAACAGCACCCAGGGCCAGAGTTCAAGACCCACAATCGATAAAAAAAAAAAAGTTAAGCAGAATAAGGCACATCATAGCAAGAACAAAACACTAGAAAAACAAATGAATGAACAAAACAAAAATGGTTGCACAAACAGAAATAATGAGCACTTCTAAAGATCACTTTTATTTATGGAACAAAAGCATTTTCAACAAATAGGAAATGAAATAAATTATGATAATAATAACAGATAATAATATTACTTCCTTGACATTTATGACCTTATACTCTGCTAAGAAGGGACTCTTAACTCCATGTCTCCCTTCCAAACAGAGATGTTTAGGTTTATTCTATAATTAAAATACCTACCAAATAAAGATTGAAAACTGAAGCCTAGCTCTTAGGGAAGTTTATTCCTATATGTATTTCTACACATTTGCAGACTATTTTATTATTATTATTTGCAGATTTGCAGGTTATTGAAATGACTTCAAGTTTTAGTGGCACCTTCCATTATAAAATGACTTACTAGCCTATCCCATATTTTAAATACAGTGGTGTGTTTTCCTTGGTCTCACAGGGGGACTTGAAATAGGGAAAAGTAAGAGGCACCAATAAGAACATTCTCAGGAAAAAAAGCAGAACCTATGACACGTTTGGAGCTTGAAGACCAGGAAATATCTGTTTTACATTCCAAAATTTTTTAATTAGAATTAATCTTTGTGATGGATCTTGGCACATGTGCTTATTTAGACATCAGGATGGATTGAATCACCACATCAAATACTTTCTGACCTGGTCGTTTTCATTATGCAAATTCATCTTCTGTAAGCAAAATTAAATTGATGACTATACAACATCAACGTAAAAAGTATGTATATTTCAAAGCTGAAGGAGGGAAATCTTCATTGCGTTGCCCATACATTCATTCCAGTGCCCTGACATTTACTTAGTTTTCCTGTCTGGATACAGAATGAATTACTATCTGACAGAACAAAGTTTCATGATTATTGCTTCCAACAAGTGAACTTGTGGTTTTTGCCCAGAAGTCAAAAGACTACAGCAGAGTTCTAGAGAAAGAGACTTGCCCTCATCTGTAGAACCTCAGCTCGCAAAAACTTTAAAATGATCACAATTTTCCCTGATAGAGAATTTTAAAATTGTTGGCTCATTTCCTGCTCCATCATTTCTGCTGCCTAACAAACACCTCCACGACTGGTGATAGGACAAGAAGCAGCAGCTATTGTGAGCACGATCACTCACCTGAGATAACATAGATCCCTGTTAAGATGGTTCTTATTACAGAGCTGCTGCAGAATGCTACTAACCTGGCCTTGAGTAAAAAATGCTCGAAAGAAGTAGTCTGAACATTCTTTCTCTGTTCACCTGACAGCCCACAGCCCACCCCAAGGATTAGGAATGGGGGTCTACCTTGTTCTCCAGCGAGTTGAACACGTTCCTCATCTCGTTGATTTTTTCGTGAAGCTGCTCTAGAGAGATTATGACCCCTCCATTCTGCCGCTGGAGGCGGGCTCCCACTGGAGGCAGGTTCAGGGAAGACTTGAACTTCAAAGCCTAGGATTCCACAGAGCGCATCTTAGGCTCAAGGAAATAGGGGAGAGGAGGCCGAATTCTTCCTATTTCCTGCTCTTAATTTCTGCTTCTCAATTTTCTTGCCTTTCTTGGCTTCTTAACTCTTCTTAAGATGAATTTTAGCAGATGTCTTCTGATTTTTTTTCTCTCTCTGGCCCCAAACTAAATTGTTCATGAGTTTCAACTTGGCTTTTTTTTTTTTTTTTTTTTTTTAATGGTCTTGCCATTACTTTCTGCCACATTACCAGTCAGGCTACTAGATGCAGAGGCCTGGGCCTGGGCCTGGGCCTTGGGGACTCTGTCATGTCATTAATGCAAGGTTTGGGATACCTCCACAAGGCACAGGAAATTCCTTCAGCACTTGACACTAAAGCCCAGGTGTTTTGGAGTGGCATGCGATGACAAGCATGCCAGGTAACTGTTCTGCTTTCCCACGAAACCAGGGTCATTTCAGAGGAAACCTGGTTGTTGTTTGTTTGTTTGTTTGTTTCTGCCAACTTCCATCTTCCAATTTTAGGCTCTTTATTGATTCCCCAAAGATGGCATGATTTAAAGCACAAAGTGGGCAGCCATGTTGAAAGTGAATTTTCTGATCCTCTCCTCTACATTCCCTGCAGAAGTTCACCCTTAAGGTCATTCTTACAGGACATTTGTGAAGCTGATGTGAAACCTGGTAGCTGTAAAGTGTATCCTTTCCATCCCTGAATGCACCCAGGGAAATTAACTTTTTTTGTGGTAGAAGAAAACGTCAATGATCCCATAGTTTTTTAACTAGAGATCCTTTTGGCACAAAATGTATTTTCTTAAGTTACTTTCATTACAGAGAAAAAAGAAGAAAAATGAGAATTACCCCAAATCTGATTACTTCAATATAGCCATTAACATTCACATTTGCTTCTATTTTATTATATGCATGTAAATGCCTATATGTATGGTGTTTATGTGACAGAATATTTGGTTCTACCCCTCATATTTTTTGCCCTTAGATTCTTTTTTTTTCATCTATTCATTTTTGGTACTAGGGATCAAACCTAACATGTTGCACTTGGTAGACAAGCACTTTGCCACTGAGCTATATCCCAGACGCTTCGATTTTTTTTTTTTTTTTTGTTAGTCGTGGGGCCTGAACTCTGGTTCTGGGTGCTGTCCCTCAGCTCTTCAGTTCAAGGCTAGCACTCTACCACTTGAGCCACAGCATCACTTCTGGCTTTTTCTGCTTATGTGGTGCTGAGGAATCGAACCCAGGGCCTCATACATGCAAGGCAAGCACTCTACCACTGAGCCCAACCCCCCAAAGATTATTTTTATTTGTTTGTTCTTTGTCTTTTTTAAGACAAAGACTATATAATCCAGACTAACCTCAAATTCATGACTCTCTTCCTTCTGCTTCCCAAGTTTTGGGATTACAGGTATGTGCTGCCATGCCTGGCTTGCCCTAAACCCTCTTCCAACAGGCTTAAATTTTTTCTGTCTATTTTTAATGACTATACAATATTCTATTGTATATATTTCAGAATCTACCCACCCTTTCACTCTAGTTAAAAATGTATGCATGTAAAAGCTTTTAAAGATTATAAATGACATTTTCTTTTCTTTTCTTTTTTGTCAGTCGTGGGGCCTGAACTCTGGGCCTGGGCACTGTCCCTCAGCTCTTCAGCTCAAGGCTAGCACTCTACCACTTGAGCCATAGTGCCACTTCCAGTTTTTTTCTTTTTGCTTATGTGGTGCTGAGGAATCAAACCCAGGGCCTCAGGCATGCAAGACAAGCACTCTACCACTGAGCCACCTTCCCAGCCCTATAAATGACATTTTCATATAATCTTTTTTATGTAAACATTGCATATATTTCCTCAGGATAAGTTTTGAAATATGAAAATTCTTCAAGTTAAAAACATTAGGCATGGGCTGGGAAGGTGGCTCAGTGGTAGAGTAGCTTGCCTTGCATGCATGAGGCCCTGGGTTTGATTCCTCAACACCACATAAGCAGAAAAAGCCGGAAGTGGCGCTGTGGCTCAAGTGCTAGAGTGCTAACCATGAACTGAAGAGCTGAGGGACAGTGCCCAAGCCCAGAGTTCAGGCCCCACGACCAACCAAAAACAAAAACATTAGGCAGGGCCGGGTGCCAGTAGCTCACGCCTGTAATCCTAGCTACTCAGGAGGCTGGGATCTGAGGATTGTGGTTCAAAGCCAGCCCAAGCAAGAAAGTCTGTGAGCCTTTAATCTACAATTAACCACTAGAAAACTGGACATGATGCTGTGGCTCAAGTGGTAGAGTGCTCACCTTGAGCTGATGAGCTCAGGGACAGCATCCAGGCCCAGAGTTCAAGCCCCACAATAGACAAAAAAGAAAAAGAAAAAATAAACCATTAGGCAGTATTTGATCCAAAAAGAAATCTCCTATATTATAGAGAGTTAATAATATTCAATTAAATTTAAAAAATACAAAATATTTCACCACAGGACTTGACAAGTTATAGTAATATATTTAAGTAAGGTTAAATGAAAATATTTTGCCACAGGGCTCAAAAAGTTATAAGACTGTAGTTATATATTCTTGGAAACATTTTATATCATCTGAAAAATTTCCCAAATTAGTGGATTTAGAAAAAATGTTTTGGATATTAAAATATATGAAATTTAAATAATAGAAATGTAGGAAGCTGCAGTGTTTTACATCCCCAAGAAGCCAAAATTACAGTTGGAGCTCAAATTGTTGATGTAAGGGCTGGACTAGCAATGATTAACATTCATAGGCTGCCTTTATCACAGACCTTCCTTCTCCCTAATGGAATTACAGTTTTAAATCCATATACAAAATGCAGTGATCAAAAGTGAAATATGACCACCTGATTCTGGAAAAGTTATTTCATTCCACAACTATGAAAGAGGTATGTCCAGAAGACAAAGAGTGTGAGAAAAAGGAAGTAGACTTGGACTGAAAAAGGGAATATACTGAGCTTGCAAACCTAAGTGTAGTTGGTGCATCCATAATGAATTATTTGGCAATTCTATCTTGGGTAAGCTGAAAGGCAGCATTAATTATAAAGTGTGCTGTGCCTTTTTGATGTTGTTTTTTATGTTTTTATTTAGATATTTCATATACAGAAAAAATAAATACTTACTCTAAAATTTTTGCTTTGATTTTTCTTTTGAGACAGGGTCTCATTATGTAACCAGCCCAGGATGGACTTGAATTTATGATTTTCCTGCCTCCTGAGTCATGCCCAGCTTAGTTTGATTCTGATATTTAATCTTTTTTTTAGGTGGGTGCCAATCCTGGGACTTGAATTCAGGGCCTGGGTGCTGTCCCTGAGCATTGTTTGCCATAACTCCATCTCTGGCTTTTTGGTCATTAATTGGAGTTAAGGGTCTCATGGGCTTTCCTGCCCAAGCTGGCTTGGAACCATGATCCTCAAATCTCAGCCTCCTGAGTAGCTAGGATTACAGGCACAAGCCACCAATGCCCAGCTTTGATTTAATCTTTTTTTTTTTTCTTGGTGGGGCTGAACTCTGGGCTTGGGCGCTGTTCCTGAGCTCTTCAGCTCAAGGCAAGCGCACTACCACTTGAGCCACAGCACCACTTCCAGTTTTCTAGTGGTTTATTGGAGATAAGAGTCTCACGGGCTTTCTTGCCAGGGCTGGCTGATCCTCAGATCTCAGCCTCCTGAGTAGCTAGGATACAGGCATGAGCCACGGTGCCCAGCTCTCTGATTAATCTTTTTAACAAATGCTTTGGGATTTGTTTTGATTAAGGTATGACAGTTTTTCCAAAACTACTTGGAACAAAACTGGATGACTGCATCAGACCTCTTAGTTCATCTTGCATCTGTTTACTCATTCATTCAACTGATATTTATTGAATAGATATTGTATGCCAGGCATTGTCCTGTATGCTAGGAGTACAACACATGAGCAAAATAAACTAAATTCCTGCCCTTAGAGCTTACATTCTAGATGAAGAGACAGGCAATAGTAGAAAAAGCAAGTATATGTATAGGATAACACCAGGTAGGGGTGAGATCTGTCAAGAAAATAAAATCTGGAGATAAAGTATTGCTGAGATTTCACATTTTGCTTCAGATACTCTCCCTTCTGATATAGATAGTTAACTCTTCCCTCCTTTCTCTTCCTCTTCTTTGTTACTTCTCCTCTTTCTTCTTTTGGCTAAAAGTTGCTTGGAGTACACAGACTTAGGAAGTGTTCTTTTAAGAGAAGGGTTGGGTTTTCATAGCATCACAGAGGTCATATAGACCAGCTTCACTTTCACTGCTTCATGCATTCCACTGTGAACAGATGTACTTGGATTTGTGATACAATAAGATAATGAGGCCATCCCTTCTGCAGCTATATTTAGCCAACATCCAGGGAGTGACCTACATAAAATCTGTAATAGACTTGAAATCATACCTGAGTTTAAAGAAGTACTCACTCCCATTCATCCAAATGCTATACCCAGGTCAGACGTGAACAGAGGGGAGGTGGGCAGGGATAGCATTAGAGGCCTTGGACCACCATCGTATCAAATCAGCACCAACTGAAAACCCAAGCTGGTCCTGGCCAAGCTGCTCCCTCTGTCTGGAATTGCTTTCCTCATATCCACTTGTCAAATGATTGACTTGTCCTCATGTGCCAAGTTCATATCCTTCAGTCAATACTAATTGTTCCCTTTCTGTCTCTTATAGAGTTTTATCACTGTTTCTGATGTAATATTTTCAATAGCCTATCATATATTCATGTATGAGCTATTTATTAAATGTGTTTCCTAGGTTGTGGACATTTTAAAAGATCAATGAGAGTGTCTCATCTGTTTAATCTCTCGTTAGGCTAAGCATTGGAAAGCATAAAGTAACTATCAGATTGATTCTTTGCCTTCACATTGATGATCTAAGACTAGGAGCAATGTGGTTAGAATGTGTTACAGTGCTGTGCTCGCTTAGCTTAATAGGGCCTACAATAACAAACTGTTGAATATTTCTAGAAACTAGTTCTTATTCTTACTTTGTCACTTAAACTCAATGAATCTTAATAACATTTCCCCTAAACTACATACTCCACTTCCTTTATGGCACTGGAGTTTGAACTCAGGGCTGTGCTTCCTAGGCAGGTTTTCTACACTGGAGCCATGACTCCAGCCTATCTATCTGCTTCTTTAGATTCCTATCTTTGTGTTTGAGATACTGATCTTTTTCCTGGTTACCTGGGCTTATAACCTTAGTGCTAGTTAAGAAAGAATCTTTTCTTCCAATTACTGAAAGATCTGATGATTCTTTCTACTTTCTCATATCTTCCAGATATCATACTCTGAAGGCTAGATAGAAACTGTGTTTCCACAGACTAAGCTGTTTTTGCAAAATTGTGTTAGAATAAACTTCCATGACTTTTTTTGTGCCAGTCCTGGGGCTTGAACTAAGAGCCTGGGTACTATCCCTCAGCTTTTGTGGTCAAGGCTAGTGCTCTACCATTTGATCCATAGCTACACTTCTGGCTTTTTTGGTGGTTAATTAGAGGCTGGCTTCGAACCATAATTCTCAGATCTCAGCCTACTGAGCAGCTAGGATTATAGACATGAGCCACCAGCACCCAGCAACTTCCATGATTTTTAAGAGTAGGATTTACTTTAAATTTACAGTCAGAGAAGAGGATCCAAATAAATTCTATTTACAAAGCTATAGCAGGCTGGTAGAACTTTGTTGTAAAGGTTTTTTTTTTTTTTTTTTAAAAAATCTTCCTTGTAAATCAAATTATTCCTGTTATTTAAAATGAGCTTAGTATTTGGAAAATTTTCCACTCATTTTCCAATTATCTTTCTAAATAAGAAATTAAGATAAACAGATCTTGTTCTCTCATTTTATCAAAGGATATGCAATTTATTGCATTGTAGACAAGCCTCGGTGACAAGGGTGGGTTGAAGGGAACAGACAGGAAAAAAGCATGAAGTTAAGGTGGCTGTACTCTATTGTATACATTGGATCACTGTTCTCTAATAATCTGTTCTGTTAAAGGTACAATGTAGCTGGAGATAGGGCTCAATGGGAAGAGTGCCTGCCTTGTAAATATGAGGCTCAGCGTTCAAACCTCAGTACTGACCCGCCCTGAAAAAAATAGATCCAAGGTACAATGAGAGTGGTCCTCCGCCCTGCCTACCTCATAGTTAGGAGCACCAGTGTAGGTTTGTTTTTAGTGTTGAGTGCTGAAATAAAAATCTCTGTAGATAGAGGACAGTTGACACTATTATATACAGAAACATTAAAAACAATCCATTTGTCTTTACCTGGTAGATCTGTGTAGAAGGATTATTCACTGGCATATGCTCATTCTCTCCTGCAGGAAAAAAGAACTTGTTCAATCAACACAACTCATTATATCCCTACTTAACCCTCATTAGACACATGCAGGGAATAAGAGAAATTATAGTATCCTATGCCTGTGCCTGCCTGAGAAGAAATTTAATGACTAGAGCAAAATGTAAGGTCGTGTTGGTGGATTTTATATCACCATCCTAATGACCAAACTCTACCTACCTGCTGTAACTCTTGTAGTAGAAAACCACAGTGGGACAATTTCCCCACTGAATGATTGGACAGCCAGAAGTACATGCACAGAAAGTGTCTCCCTCATATTCTTGGAGCTGAAGGGTTAGGAAGGCCATTCTTTACCAGGGACCTGTCTAGTTGTCACTACCTAACCTCAGGAAGCCTGAATAAAATATCCACTGCTTCTCCTATCTTTCATCTTTGCTGAACTTCTGGACATTGCTCAAATCAGATAAGGAAATCTTGCAGGAGGACTGGCAGGAGGGTATTTTCAGTGGAAAAGTTCTGGGTAAAATACAGTATTGTCAACACTAGAGATTGGGATCACAAGGAAAACACAGAGATGTGGGCTGTAAAAACCATCTATACCCTGGGGAGACGAATAGCTTGACCTACAGTGCACCTTTCAGGACCACATTGGTTAGCCATGAAATGAAACAACCCATGTTAAAACAAAGGCTAGTGGCTCATCCATCACTGAATCGTGGTGCATTGTGTCATTTTTATATGAATTAACCAGTTTACAGATGGCACCTTTGGTTGTAAGCCCTTGATGATACGAGTGTATATACTGTTCCTTCAAATATATTAGTATTAAGAATACCTCACAGGGACCAGCCTCAGTGTTTGAAGTTCATAAACATAAACCTCAGCCTAGAACTTGTACTTGTAATGAGCTATCCCTGTAATTGCTCAAGTGTTTATGATTACTAAACTTCCGCATAAGCTTGAGTAAGGATTATTTATCCTATTTATACTGTTGTCTAGTTTATATAAAGGTAAGAATAAAGATGCAAAAACACAGACCAACATCTCAGACTGAGGATTGGTGCTTTATAGTTAGAGTCTGACTTCTCTACCGCTGCTTCCTCTGTTGTAAATTGGAGATGATCAGAGAACTTACTTCTCTAAAGTTGTGTCTATGTGGTAAACATAAAATATAAAGAGACAGTACATGCTTCTAGACTAGGCTAGAAGGTACTAGATGTCTTATTTGAATGTGTATCTTTGCCTTATTTAGCATATTGTTTTAAGGCAGTCCTAAAGTTATGTTAAGCCAAGTTATAGATAGATAGGTAGATAGATACATAGATAGATAGATAGATAAATAGACTTCCATTGATATATATAATACAAACATTACATATACATTCATATGATTATTATATGTATAACATATTAATATATATATTACATATACATTTAATGATTTTATATTTAACATTTATAATATATCTAACATTTAAAACATAAATATCATTGCCTATCATTATGTGATGATGGGAATGTTTTGTTAGACAAGACTAACACCTGTATTTCTTGAATCTAAGCTGTAAAACAGAGAAAAATCTGACCTTGCTTTGTTTTGGTTTTTTCCATGTTGCCTGTTGCTCCTCCTCCACTTACTCCTCAACATCGCATCATTATTGTCCTGGATCAGGCCACCTCTCCTTCCCCGTGCCTGTCAATGGAAATAAAGGATCAGGGACAGTACATAGAATTGGTGAGAAAGCTGGATGCGCTTTACCTGTTATCTTTAAAATGTTGAACACAGCTTAAGATTGATGCATTCTCAGAAGACTAGAAACAAACTGAGCAAATACTTAGATTAAAACCTAAAGGTAAATATCATTTTAGTATATAAGAGATTCATTACTCAAAATTATGGTGGTTTTTAATATACTACATTCTGTTTTACTTCTAATCAATAATTTGAGATTTTTGATTAGCAGGTTACAGTTTAGGTTCATTATCTTATGAACAGATCGAGTATGAAGACTAAGAGGCCTGTTTCTATTTCATTAAACTAAGTTTGAGGAGCTTATCCCCATTTTCAATGTCTGGTAAATTCTTTTGCTCCCAGGAAATTCTTATCAAATGTGAGCATTAGATACGAAGCTGAAAATTCAGAATGTAATCTTATTTGGGCCTCCTTTCATCCAGCCAGAATTTTAAGACATTTCCATGGTTGAGGAATTCTCCCACCTCACGAGCCTCCCACTCCAGAAGCTAAGTACCAGCATCTACTGGCCTTCTTTGCAACTAAGGCATGATGGACATGGAACATAAGACATGCCACATCAATGCACTCACCCCAAAGACTTCCTAGGAAATGTCCTAAGTTCAATTTTCTAGATATACTTTCTAACAAATATAAGAGTTGCTAAGATGGCAAAGGCAGTAAGGAAGGCATCTGGAAGAGACAGCTCCAAAGAATGAAATCCATTGCATGTGGAGATTTCTTCAGCAGAAGTTTCACTATATGTTTTGGGGCACTGCTGCTGACCACATAATCCTCTGCTTGGTTTTTCGGTCTTCTGTCAGTTCTACCCCATATCCTTTCAATATATTCTTTAGCTATTAAAATCAGAGTTATTTTCTTTTGCTCACAACAGAGACTATTGATCAAAACAACCAAAATATATTAACACTATTGATATTATCCAAGATTGAGAAATACAGGTTTAAACTTTGTTCCTCACTTCAGAAAAGATAAATCTGTGGTGATAAAATGTAGATTACAGCCAGGTATCAGTGGCTCATGCTTATAATCTTAGCTACTCAGGAGGCTGAGAACTAATGATCGCAGTTCAAAGCCAGCCCAGGCAGAAATATCCCTATGAGACTCTTTTCTCCAATTAAGCACTCGAAGATGGAAAGTGGTGCTGTGGCTCAAAGTGGTAGAGTGCTAGTCTTGAGCAGATGAGCTCAGGGGTAGCATCCAGGCCCTGAGTTCAAGCCCCATGACTGACAAAAAAAAAAAAAAAACTGCAATGTAGATCATAAATTGCCTAGGCCAAGGTAGAAGTGTGGCTGAGAAGAAAACAAGGAACTTTATAGAATTACAGAAATGTCTTATTATTTAATTCTGGTAGTAGTACATAGGTATAGAAATGTGTCCAAATTTATCAAACATGTATTATAATTGGGTATGGTGTTTTTGGCGGCACTGGGGTTTAACTCAGAACCGTGAGCTTACCCTTGAGCCATACCCTAGTACTTTTTGCTTTCAGTTATTTTTTAAATAGGGTCTGGCATTAATGTTCATGCTGCCCTAGATGTTGATCCTCCTATTTATGCTTCCCATAGCTGGGATAACAGGTATGAGCCACCATACCTAACTAAGGTTATATTTAGTTCTTTGTAAATTACACCTCAGAAAGGCCAACTTAAAACTTTTCATTGTCCACTGAAGTTTATAATAGCAAAATAATAATTTGTCAGGCACAGAAGGTATACATATGCATGAAAAGGCATCAGAAAGAGCTACACAGTTGTAAGTAAGTATGAAGAAAGGCCCAGCTGGGCACTAGTGGCTCACACATAAAATACTAGCTTACACAGGCTGAGATCTGAGGATTGAGGTTCAAACATAGCCCACAGAAAAGTCTAAGATTCTTAGCTGCAAGTCAACACTTAAAAAAGACAAAAGTGGAGCTGTGGCTCAAATAGTAGAGTACTAGCCTTGAACAGAAAAGCTCAGGGATAGTGTCCAGGCTGTGAGTTCAAGCCCCAAGACCAGCACAAAAAGAAAAAAGAACAAAAAAGAAGACCCAAAGTTAAGGCTCTACTGTTTGGAATCTTGCATATTCTCATGAAAGCTTGAAAGTTATGTCTAAATGGAACATTGTCCCTAGTTTCTTGACTCTCTTTGCATAATTAACAGAGCATTACTACGATATGAAATTTTGGGGCTGGGATTGTGGCTTAGTGGTAGAGTGCTTGCCTAGTATGCATGAAACCCTGGATTGAATCCTCAGTACCACATAAACAGAAAAAGCCAGAAGTGGCACTGTAGCTCAAGTGGTAGAGTGCTAGCCTTGAGCAAAAGAAGCTCAGGGACAGTGCCTGGGCCTTGAGTTCAAACCACAGGACTGGCTATAAATAAATAAGTAAATAAATAAATAAATAGAACTTTCTTCTCTTTAACAATTGTTAATTTATTAAATATCTAATCAATCCCATGGTGAATGTGTTTAAAATCACAAAATCAGAACATGAGAAACAGAAGGACAGTGAGAGAATAATTTCATCCAACTTCTTCATTCTGAGATGAAGCAATTAAGGCCTGATGTGGGAAGAAAAGTTATTTGCCACAAGTTGAAATTATTGCTAGAAGTTATTTGATTACTATCCAGAGGGGAAAAAAGTCTTGAAATATGAAAAGCCATAGCTTTATGGAATTTTTATTCCCAGGGATTTCATCATCTAATCTATGATGAACTCAAAATAAGCAAGAAAAAAATTCTGTATATCCTAGATAAAAATGAAAATCTAGGTGTTTTCAGAGATTTAACATCACCAAGTTCATTGGTACTCATATGGCCATTGATTTCAAGGCATAGTAGGGAACATTTGGACTGCCTAGAGGGGAAAAGCCACATATAATGCTTCTTTTCAAACAAACTATCATGACCATTTGTTAGTATTGTCGGAGAATCTCTCACCTCTAGACTGTTCTACAGCATTGTTAATGGACCCAACCTAAGATATTTTTTAATCCATATTTTCCTTAAAAAATTGGAATTGGGTTCTGGTGGCTCATACCTGTAATACTAGCTACTCAAGAGACTGAGATCTGAGGATCATGGTTCAAAGCCATCCCAAGCAGGAAAATCCATGAGACTCCAGTTAACCACCAGAAAACTAGAAGTGGCACTGTGGATCAAGAGGTAGAGTGCTATGGGGCTGGGAAGTTGGCTCAGTGGTAGAGTGCTTGCCTTGCATGCCTGAGGCCCTGGGTTCGATTCCTCAGCACCACATAAGCAAAAAGAAAAAAAGCCAGAAGTGGCGCTGTGGCTCAAGTGGTAGAGCGCTAGCCTTGGGCTGAAGAGCTGAGGGACAGCGCCCAGGCCCCGAGTTCAGGCCCCACGACGGGCCCAAAAAAAAAAAAAAAGAGGTAGAGTGCTAGCCTTGAGCTGAAGAGCTGAGGGACAACACCCAGGCCCAGAATTCAAGCCCCACAACCAACAACAACAAAAAAAATGCATCTTTGTTATTTATGTTTTATTTATTTATTATTTATATATTCATTCATTTGCTTACTCATTCATTGATTTTGGAACAAGGTCTTGCTTGAATTCAAGATCCTCCTTCCTTGGCTTCCTGGGTATGGTGATTGCATTCCAGCACACCAGGCTATTCAGGCTATTTTCATCATGCCCATTTGTGCAGAAGGCACAAATGTTCCCCCCAAATTCCAAAAGATGTTAATTTTTTCTATTCTATTCCTTTCTCCATACTCACATAATCACATACTAACACATACAGACCATGCATTGTGGGATGGGGCTGTCACTGTAGATTCATATTATGTATTTCTACATCTTAACCTTTCTCGTTTAATACACAAGTTAATTAATTTATAGCAATAAATCTAAGAAATTCTCTCTCTCTCTCTTTTTTTGCACCAGTGTGAGGGGCTTGAAGTCAGCGTAAGCACTGTCCCTTTTTTGCTCAAGGCTAGCACTCTCCTACTTAAGTCACAAATCCACTTTGACTTTTTGATGTTAAATTGGAAATAAGAGTCTCACACACTTTCTTGCCTGGGCTGGCTTTGAACCTTGATCCTCAGATCTCAGATCTCAACCTCCTAAGTAACTAGGATTACAGGTGTGAGCCACCAGAGCCTAGCTAGAAATTATTTTTGATCACTGCATAATATCCATGATTTGGATAAACCATTAACCATTCGTATACTAATGGGTATACCTTTTTATTTCCATTATCTTGGTACTGCAAACAACAATGACAAACACTTTGGTGTTGGCATTTCTGTTATGTGGAGTTTTAATAGATATGGTTGGTCTAATTTTCCAAAAAGTCTCTGATTATTCTGTTTTCCCTCAGAAGCATTGCATACGTGCCTCTTCTCTTGCATTTCAGCCAGCAACAGATGTGAATACTTCTTAGTTCACTTCAGTCAGATGGGTGATAAGTGATACTTAATAGTTAATTTTGCTGATTGTTACTGCCTATCTCTTCATATACTCATTGGGTATTTAGAGTTGTTCCTCTATATTACCTATTCCTCTGATATGCCAATTCTCCTATTTGGTCATGTGCTTTTCCTTATCACATAATAGCTTCTATATAATACAGACTGTCACATGCTACACTATCCAAACTATCTTTTTTTTTTAACTTGATGGTGATTTTGAAATCATCAAGTCTGTTTCCTTAACTGTGCTAAGTTCCTTAGTTTTATTTCATTTTTGTTTTTGTTTGACAGCATCTTGATAGTAGTTAAGGCTGCCCTCAAATACACTATGCTCAGCTTCCCTAATGCTGGGATTACAAGTGTGTACTACTGTGTCCTCCAGCTTTTTGGGGGGTACAGAGGGGCTGGCCCTGGGCCTCAGCACTGTCCCTCAGCTCTT